CTTTAAATTTTATTATGCGTGGTGTATATTAGATGCAAAGTGTGAGCCATCTGTTTCCAAATTTCTGAAGGCCTGAAATAGCTATTTATAAATGAGAGGCGGGTAGGCTGGTAGGGCAAAAATAAATGCCAATGCTAACTAGTGCAGAGATCCTAATTTATTAATAGATAATTATTTTTATTTTAATAGTTAATTAAATTGTAAATTATTCATTCGCGGAGAACATTTTAGTATATAAGAATTTTAACACATTGGTGGCTAATTTTTTAAATTAAGGTTACGATTGGTAACACCTACTTGATTCTCACCAACTAAAGTTTATTTGTAATTACTAGCCTAAATAATTATGAATCTTGAAAGATATTAATTATATTTTCCTGGGAGGTTATAAACGGTGGCTTATTATATTTTTTATTTATATCATGAGGTTACTTTACTACAAATAATATTATAGACGAAGCTTTTATGGTTTAGATTATATTTTGGAAGAGGGATTACCTCCATCTCTCAGTAGACCTTGATTGGGCGTGACAAATTTGCAATTTTATATAATTAAATTATTCAATATTATATCCAACTTTGTAATTATATTTAAATTTAATATGATAATTATGACGTTAATATAATAATGACCTATATTAATATTTGCATTCAATGTCTTATTTTCCATATTATATTCAAGATGTTCTACAGAAATAAATACTAAAAAATGTGATTATAAATTTTATTTTACTATTTTTATTTTGCAAATAACTATCAGCTAAAAATAAAAAGAATATCTTATATCTTAGAATCTTTTATTTTGTAAACAATCCAAGTATCTTATATTTTTTTTTAAATTTTTGAAAATTTATATCTTCATCGAGGATATATTTATTTATAAAGAATCAAAATCTAGTTTTTTTTCTAAAGACCCTGCTATGATCATTTTCATTGGGGTTATATAAAATCATATATATATGAATATGAAATAAAGTGAATTTATAGAAAAATTTATTTTAGCGAAATATTGTTAATATTGATTTTATTTAATTTAACTAAAGCAAATTAAAATAATTTGCTAGTAGGCTGATCTTAATTAATTTTTCGTTAAATCCTTTAATATATAATAGTTAATACATACCATTTGACATAATTTGATTGAGATTAGAATAAATGGATTCCAAATTTAGGCAAAAATAACTAAATGTTTAATGCTACTATCAAATAAAATTTCAATTGCTTTAAATAATATATACAAATTAATATACTCAAAGATTCCTTTATTAGTCTTAATTTTATCTTTCAGTTTCATTAGCCATTTAGTAGTACAAAGATAAAATTTTTCTAGTTTAAGACAGCCCTCCCCCCAAAAAAAAAATTTTTTGGCCCCCAAATCTGGCTTCCAGAAAAAATCTTTGGCCCCCAAAAATTTTTCGCCCCCCCCCCCCCATTTGAAAATTATTTTTAGAATTGATTATTTTTATATTTTTTAATTTAAATTCAAAAATATTCAAAAAACATGTCTATTAAGAATTGATTATTTTTATATTTTTAAAATAAATTTTGAATATTTTTCTATCCTGTTTTATTTTTATTTTTACCCAATATTAAATTATCATTCATTCATTTTTTTTCATTTGTTTTTGTTGTGTATAACATTCTCTATAGGTATCACATTTATATTATAATATATAAGCAGTTATTTTATTTTACAGCGTTTATTTTAAAATTATGAAGAAACAATCAGTTATAACTCTTATTTAAAGTTAAAGTTAAACAAATGTCAAGCAACATCACCTCTACAAACTACTAGTAATACTACATCAGAAATTTTAGAAACTGTTTCTTCTCATAGTTAGTATAAATTTATATTATTATTTCATGACTTATATGATATTGATATAGGGCAATACCTATATATTATTATTTCATATTTATTTATTTTATATAAAATAAGAAACAGACATTTATTATTAATATTATCATTTTTGTATAATAATTTTAATTATTAAAATAAATATATTCACTCATATTTCAAGATATGAATGAAGCTAATAATCTAGAAAATGATCCTCACTACACTCAGGTGGAGGAAGATGGTGAATAGTTTAAAATTTAACCCAAATTTTTCTATTTATATATTTTTGACAATATCAATAGGAGAAGGAGATTATGGTGTTTCATTTTTACATTTTGATTTTAAAACAAATAAAGACGAAGAAGAGACTCAATTTTCTTCATCTAGCAGCTCAGTCTCTCATTGTCAAGAGGCAACTAGTAATTGATTTATAAATATAAAAATATTATATTTTTTGGTTAATCTTTAAAGTTATAATGTTTATGACCTTTTTCTAGTTTTTAATATGAATATCTATAATTTTAATGATCAACTTTACTGATAATCTTCATCAGGGTTGGGCACTACAATATAGCAAATATTTGTATCTTAAATACAAGATAAATTTTGTGTTTGTTCATTTTCAGTATGCCCTTCCTTCGCCCATCCTAATGACCATTATTATTTATGACCCTTTCCCTCATTACAATTTATTAATTATAATATATTTAGTGTAAAAAAAGTCCTCTAATGGTTCAATTCAAATCCCAGGTGATCTTTTGAATAAATCACAATTAAACAATTACGCGAAAAAAGATATCCATGGAAGGCAAAGATCATTTCAAAAATCATGGTATAGAGGCCGAGACTGGTTGGAGTATAGTGTAGAAGCTGACGGTGCCTTTTGTTTTCCATGTAGGAAATACTTGTGTAATCCAAGTAATGAATTTGGACAAACGGGATTCAGAAATTGGAAAAATGCATTAGCTGCCAAGAAGGGACTGCTAAAACACGAGAGCGCAAAAGCTCATTTAAATTCAATTACAATATGTCATGATAAAAATCAAAATATAAACAAAGGTACAGAAATAACTAAAATGTTGGGAGGTGATCAAATTAATCGTAATCAATATTATATTAAATCAATATTTGATTTGATGCTATTTCTTAGCATACAAGAGATACCTTTCCGTGGGACTGGTTCAACAAATATTATGGATGCTGCAAAAGATGAAAACATAATTTATTCTTCTGGGCTATTTATAGCAATGTTTTCCTACACCATCCAAAAAGACCCTGAATTAAATAAAATTATGAAATTTATACCCCAAAATGCCCAGTATACATCACCACAGATTCAAAACGAAGTAATATCCATTATGGCAGATATGGTGCTTGAACATATTTCAGACAAATATAATAAAAGCGAGATGCCTTTTTTTTGTCTTAAGGCTGATGAGACAAAAGATGCTTCAGGTTGTGAAAACCTGGGCATAATAATTCGCTATATTTTTTCTGGAGAAATCCAATAAAATTTAATAGGAATCATTAATTTAGAGTGTCTTTCTGCTGAAAGCATTACAGATTGTATTTTAAAGCAACTTAATGATCTAAATATTAATTCAGCTAATATAATAAGCCAGGCATATGATGGTGCAAACGTTATCTCTGGCCGAAATGGAGGAGTGCAAACACTTCTTCAAAAAAAAATTAATAAAAATGTTCCTTTTATACAGTGCTACAACCACAAGTTGCATCTTGTGGTTCAAAATTGGTATAATAATATTGTTATTATTTCTAATTTTTTTAATTTATCAAATGCATTGTATAATTTTTTCAGGCGTTTTAACGTATCCTGTAAATATACAGGCCACACCCTTAAGAGACTTTTAGACCAGAGGTGGACTGGTCATTTGGAAACATCTCGCATTATTTGTGAGAATTTTGAGGCTATTGGTGAAGTATTATTTTACTTTTCTAATAGAACTCTTAATTCAGAGGCTCAATTCATGATTCAGTCGAAGCCTCTGGTCTTTTATCTCAATTTATTAATATAAATTACATTATATTAGCCATCATAATTTATGAGATATTAATTACAATAGATCCATAAATAAGTATCTACAATCAGTAGGTACTAATCTAGTGGATGCTAAAAATTGTATTGATTCTACTATCAATATATTAAAAAATAAAAGAAGTGATAATTCTTTTGCTTTGATTATGTTTAAGGCTGAAAAACTTTTATCAAAATTTAATCTTACTCCCCAAAAATCATCACGGGTAAGTAAAACGCCTAAAAATTTCCAAGATTTTTTAGTTGATAGCAAACTGGAATTCGATTGTGAAAAAGATTCCAATTGGAGTTCTTTAAAAGGGATATTTTATGAAATTATAGATAACTTTCTGGATCGTTTTTTAGACCGATTTACAGAAGATTATTTTAATCTTTTTTCATCTTTTAATACTTTGTCCCCCCTTGATGATTATTTTTTATCAGATAAAATGGCCTCATTAAAATCCCTGTTAAACTTAAATATGGAAACACTGCATCATGAAATGAAAGGATTGCTAGCTTCAGAAGCTAAAGAAAATCATAATTTTGAAAATATCTTACATATTATAAAAAAAATATAATCATGCATTTAAAGAATTATATAAATGCTACTCAGCAGCGACAATCTGGGATATCAACGGCTTCTTGAGGCCTCGTTCTCTACATTAAAGAGAGTTTTATCGAGCAGTAGAGAGTCTATGAAGGATAAACGTAAACAAAATTTAGTATTAATGGCGTATGAAAAAAGAATAATGCAGAATTTATCTTTTAGTTCATTTATATTAAAATTTAAAAATAAAAATCGCCGTATTCTATTATAGTAATATTTTGTTTTGTATATGCATATTATAGTATTATTTTGTTTTGTATATTCATATTATAGTATTATTTTATTATTAAATTTTTAATAAAAATAGGAAAATTTTTTTATGAATGCTTAATTATTTGTTTGATTTTAAAAAAATAGTGCCCCCCTTCCCTATGTAAGCACTTTGCCCCCTAAGTGAAAATTCCTGGCTACGGCCCTGTTGTTCTGTCATGATATGTAACGACAGTTACCGTTTAGCATATGATATATATAAATTATTAGTGATATTTTCATCATGCATTAAATAAATTTGTAATTTCCTAAACATCTGTTTTTAAATTGCTCTAAAATTTTTAACTATTCCGTTCCGCTATTATAAATATAAATATGTCAAATTTAACCGATTTAGAAAAAAGATTACATGACTTGAGAGGAGTAATTAAAAATTATGATATTAGCTTATTTATATTATTAAGGACAAAACTATACCTAATATAGAAGAATTAGAAAAAAAACTAAAAGAATTGCAGGATAAACCTAACATTACTTATTTTGATAATAATAACGTACACTATTAATTATTATCTTTATAATTTAAAAAAAAAACTAGATGAAATTAAATCATCCTCAGACTCCTGAAGATCTCATTAAACAAACCACACAATTAATACAACTTGAGAATAAATTAATACCTGATTTAACTGAGAATCAAATAAGAGAACGTTTAAAAAGATTAAGAGGCATAATATAATTATCTATTCCATTATATTTTTTTTGATAGAATGTGGAAATTTTCTTGAACCTTCAGGATTGCCAAATAATGTAAGTAGTGTGATCCTTGATTTATTAATTACTTATTTATCTTAGGATTTACCAACTCTTACTGAAGAAGAAGAAACTGATCAAATTGTTTCTAATGTAATAAATAAATATAGTAGAATTATTAATATAACATTACAATTTTTTTTGCTTCAAACAATAAATATACCTTTGACTTTTAACTTATTTCACGCACCTTTTACATTTTGATTTTTAAAAAAAAATTATTACATTTCTAAAACTTTATGGGGATTGGATCAAAAAAGTCTATATAGAATATTACTATTTTTTATAACTTGGTAATGCATAGACTTAGTATGAAATAATGTCTTTATAATTTCTTTAATTCAATATATAAAATAACAGTTATTGCTTATGCCAAATAATATTACCATGCCTTTCCTTTCGATATGCTTAGTTCTTTTTTTACAGATATGAGAATATCTCATTGATAATAATTTTAATTAAAATTAGTAACTTATTGTTAGCATATACAAATTTTAAAAAATTTGTCAATATTATTTACACCTTCTATGGTTATGATACATATGTAGTAATGTTTTTAATTATTATTTGCTTAGCTGCATTGCCAATTCCAATCATTATATTTTCATAATACATGAAATAAAAATATAATTTAGTATATCAATCAGATATTTTAGCAATACAACTTTGCCGGGCATGACTAAAGTACATCCCCGAAAACTACGCGTCCCTGGTCAAACGGGTTTAATTTATATAATATTGATAAAAAAATCTTATTTAGCTTTATAAGATGAGTTAAGAAATGTTTTTTATGATTTTTAAAAAAAATGATAACTTAGTAAATTTTTTTAAAAATTATTTTTTTTACATCAAAAAACTACGCCCTCGGTCAAGATACATTTTTTTAAAAAAAATAAAAGCAGGCTCATTAAATGAATACAGAAATTGTTTTTTTATGATTTAAAAAAAAAATGATAACTTAGAAAATTTTTAAAAATTATTTTTTTAAAATTAAAAACTACGCGTCCCCGGTCAAGATACATTTTTTTAAAAAAAATAAAAGCAGATTCATATTAAGCTCATTAAATGGATATAGACGCGTAGTTTAGTCAAAAAAAAAAATTTTCGAAAAAAAAATTATAAATACCATTTTCGGAATTTCCTTGAAAAACTACACGATTCTATATTCATTTTTATAAAAATAATCTATCTTGACCGGGGACCCGTATTTTAGTCAAAAAATGAAGAAAAAAAAGTGTTTTTTTCAAAATTTTACTAAGTTACCACTTTTTTTTTAAATAAAAAAAAACATTTTCTGTATCCATTTAATGAGCTAAATATGAATCTGCTTTTATTTTTTTAAAAATATGTATCTTGACCTGGGACGCGTAGTTTTTTTTATGTAAAAAATTAGTATTTTAAAAATTTTACTAAGTTACCACTTTTTTTTAAATCAAAAAAAACATTTTCTATATCCATTTAATGAGCTAAATATGAATCTGCTTTTATTTTTTTTAAAAAAATGTATCTTGACCGGGGACGCGTAGTTTTTAATTTAAAAAAATAATTTTTTAAAAATTTTAAGTTATCTTTTTTTTTTAAATCATAAAAAACAATTTCTATATTCATATAATGAGCTTCTGCTTTTATTTTTTTTAAAAAAAATGTATCTTGACCGGGGACGCGTAGTTTTTTGATGTAAAAAAATAATTTTTCAAAAAATTTACTAAGTTTTTTAAAAAATCATAAATAACATTTCTTAACTCATCTTATAAAGCTAAATAAGATTTTTTATTAATATTATATAAATTAAACCCGTTTGACCGGGGACGCGTATTTTAGTCATGCTCCAACTTTGCCAGTACCAATTTAAAAATTAAATATAATCCAAAAAAATCTTCATTTCCATAAAAATTCCTTTAAATGAATTTTAGCTGTAGTTTATTTTTTATATTTATTTTTTATCAATTCATGAATTAATATGTAGGCTAATTTTCTTAAAAATTTTAAAGGGTTATTATTATGAGCATCAATCATTGGATTGGTTAATAATATTAGCCTTATATTTTATCAAGTGATTGTACATGTTATTTCCTATTTTTTTTTTGACAAATTATATTAGATCATTAAAGAGGTAGAGATTGAAAATGCTATGGCCAAATATCAGTCCTCCTCTGAACCATCCTTATCTCAGGAATCTAAGGACTTAGAAACTGATGATGATATTAAAATTTGTGAATTATGCCCTCACCTTGCTGTTATCATATGTTTAGATTGTGAAAATAAATATTACTGTTCAGTGTGTTATGATGACTATCATGATAGTGGAGACTTTTTTGACCATAAAATTCAATTTTTTTAACAGTGTATTTTTCAAATTTACAAAAAAGAAGATTTATTTTCTTCAAATATGATTATATCAACAAGAAACTTGGCATTTGATAAATTCTGAATGCAATATTTTTATAACAAAATTACTAATCATACTTGATTAAACATTTTTTTTTTCTTAAAGTTATTTTAATATATTAAACAAAATAAGGGGGGGGGGGGGAATTAACAAATTATTATAAAGCATGGAAATACAATATATTTTTTCACTAAATTATATAATATAAATCCGATAAATCTTATCAATTCTCTATGAATATTTAAATTGTATTGTAATACTCTGTGATATGTTATATATGCCTCATGGAAAATTGATTCTCTAAATATACCCAACTTTTACTTAAGAATTAATAGTATTTATTTATAGTTTTATATCTATCTATCTATCAACAATGTATTTATTATATTTATAAATTATTAATTTTACATACTGATTGTAGAATAATTTTTAATATATTAATAAAAGAAATTTTATCATCATGTCATTAGAATGTGAATTTTTTAAAAAAGCCTTAAAACTGGCATGGCATTGGCCCATATCCAAATCTTGAAGAGCAATTTTCTCAGTTTCCCATCTCTTAAGGATCATTTCCCAACTAAGTTTTTAATTTTCCGCTATTCGTTTTCCTTCTAAATTAATTTATTTAATTATTTTTATTGTAATTAATTATTCTATCAAATTAAGGGTCGACATGACCTAACTTGTTTATAATCTAAAGAACGGTTTAATGCTATAGAGCTATTAACTCTATAATCTCCAACAAATTAGGGTTGGCCTTAACCCAAACCTTCTGGAACTCACGTATCCCTGTCTGATGGGAAAAGACCAGATGCTGTCACATACCCTGGTTTAGAGAAAAACACCTTATTTGGAATTTCACATGTGTCTCCAATTTTCCTCTAACCCAAACATTGATTCGATTATTACAGCTGAAAGGTCATTTGATAAAATGTAAAATATAACGAAAACTAACTCACAACCCCATAATATCAATTTAGCTTGGCGGCCTTTTTTTTAAAGTAATAATTTGTAAAATTGAGACTCCTTTATTTTATTTTTGATGAATAGGGAATGAGCTATGTTACTTTTATACCTTATAATTAAAATATGAACAACTATATATGTTCAATTTCCGATTATCAACCAATACATGTACCGCTTTAGGTCAGCATGTGTAATCTCTTACAAATTTGTTTGAATATGGTAGTAGATAACAGGGCTGTGAACTCTTCAAAAAAGGGTTTTCGTATTCGGCTAATTTTATTAAAAATGATCGGGTTCGAGCGGGTCGGGCTTTTAAAAAAAAATTCGGGTCGACCCTGGGAATTTTTTTAAATATATCTAAATTTATTAATTTTATATTAAAATTTTTTATTGTAAAATAAAAATATTTGATTTTATTTATTGAAACTATACGACTTATAACATATGTCTTTTATTTTGAGTAATTATAAAAAATAATTACTATATTTAAATAAATTCGGGCCGGGCCAGGTCGGTAGATTTTTTTTAAAAAAAATTTCGGACCGGGCCGGACTTGAAAAATTAGGCCCGATTCAGATCACTAAGCTCTAATATAAAAAAAACGATTCCACGATTTTAATATTGAAAATAAAATAAAAAAAACAAATATGTTTTAAATATTTAACATTGTTTTTTAATTATATAAATATTGTACATGTTATATTTTTAATACTGTTCAATTTTTTTATAACTTATAGAAAATAAAATTTTTAAAAATTTATCAACCCTGAACCCTAAAGGCTCTGGTTGAATAAAATTTCAGGGTTTGGGTTCACAGCCCTTGGTAGATACATTTCAAACAAAATCAAATTTATTAAAACAGTTTGAAAATGGCACAATCATTTGTAGTAGGGCTTCTTTTTTTTTGAAAAATATCCTATTCTCTGAAAAAGTGTTCCAGTATATGAATTTAATATCAACCTAGAATGACGATTCATTTATTAAAAGGTGTACATACGGCATTAAGACGAAATTTAAGAGACATTTAGACGAAATGCCTTTCAGTGGCGTCTGCTACGCCTGAATTCAGTGTAAGGTACACTTTTTAAATAGATCAATCACCAGTCGAAGTTAGTACTGATATCAGGCGCGTACGCGGGAATTTGCTGTGGGGGGGGGGGGGGGGGTAAGGTGGTAATAATTTTAAAATTTTAGAATTACTCTAGGAGTTATTTAATCAGTAATTTCTTAGGACTATAGTAACTATAGAATATTGACAATTAAAATATAAATTAATGGGAAAAAAATATCAATAAAAAGCACTCTTTGGATTGAGTTAATTTTATAATTATTTTATCAGTTGGAACTCCCTATGTATAATAAAGAGGTCTAAGACATTCAATTTGTTTTTAGAGGCAGTACTCTACAGTTTTGTTAAAGGGTCGATATGAATTAATTTTTAAAAACGGCATATTATCCTAAAAAAGATTACTCAGCCTCGAGATTTCGCACATAGATGGCGCAAAAGATATGGATATCTTTTGGGAAATCTCAAGGTTTAAGCAATATTTTTCTTGCCAAAATATTGAGTTAGCCTTTTTTAAATCGGGGGTCAATTCTAGCTATTTAACATCACTACTTCTCAGGTATCTTTTTTGCTGTTAAGAAGACAATGTTCTTTCATTAGTAGAAGTACTAAATGGGTAGTTGCCAAAACATAATAATTTCAATGTATTAGGAAAATAGGTTTGAAATCATGTGAAGTATTTAGCATTTTTTTGCAACATTATTAAACTGACATAGTTTGTATTCAGGTAGTAATGTATTACATGGGATACCTTAATATCTTCAAAATAGAAATCTGCCGTAATTCATTTTTTCCCCTCTATCATCTCAAATAGATTATGAAGAAGCGGTAATAAAATTTGCAGATTTGTTTGTGTTGACTGATTGATCATGAACCTTTCATTCATTTGAGTTATAAAAGTATCCAAGTAGATAAAGCAATTTATTATATAATACTCTTCGATAGACCCTATATTAATATCGTAATGATGGGTTTGTTTGGTTGCCTTAAATTCATAAAACTCAACTTTTGACTAAACAACATTTAATTTATGAAATTAATCATCTACATTGGCCCTAATTTCCTTAAAACTCCAAATAATGCTTTCAGCTATTCTAACCTCAATCAGATCGATGCTTGAAATATTTTACTTTAGTTTTGGAGGAAAAATGTTTTAATGGGGAAAACATTTGAGATCGATATTGTCATAAATTGTAAGATTTTTTTTTTATTAGAATGACAATCATGATGATAAAATTTTATCGTTTTTTTTGTAAAAGCATTTTTTTTACATGATTGTTAATTTATGCTTAAAAATCAATTAATTTTTTTACGATTTTTCAAAGATTTCTGGATTTTTTCATATTAGATCCATTTAAAAAGTAACTTTTAATAACTCTAGGCAGCTATGGTGGACATGGAAATTAAATTTTTTTAATTAAATTGCTTTATTTTGAGATTGTTGGATTCATTTGATTGTGGCTTTTTCTTCGTATTTTTGGAAGTAAGTTTTGTACGATTATATTTTTGAAAGTATAATCATTATTTTTTTAAATTAAGTTGTTTGCTATTTTTGTTAGATATTAATTCATATAATAAATTAGTAGTGTGTTTATTTCTGAATATGTAAATGTAATAATAATAAAACAAAATATTTTAGCCAGATGCATTTTTTTTAGCTCACCCCGCATCGCACGTCAATGAATATCATTGATTCCCACTATATGTAAAATGTCTATCTTGTAGATTTCAAAACTATTGTGGAATCATCTTTTAATTTATATAATTGCAATACATAGATAGACCAAGGGTATGTGGCGATACTGGCTTGGTAACATTATATATAATATATTAACTATATACTAAATTATCGATTTAACTGGAATTTTGATAATATTCATGTTGATAGTTTACTAATGAAATTTTAGATATACTCGCCATTTTAGGGGGTAATGATAAATCATGGTGGAGCGATTTTAGCAGCTGACAATTTTTTAAAAAATTATTAAAATTAATATTAATAAATAAAAATTGATCTCGTAAATAGATTTGTTAAAATCGATCAACTGTTAAATCGCGATCGCAATCGTATGAATCCAAGGTAAGCCACGACTAAAATTTATCAAAATAGCAATAAGAAAAATCCTTATATTTTTTCATATACCTAAACGTAATCACGTGGTCACGCCCTATCTAATAGGAGTAAAATTACAACGCTATCTAATATTTTAATTAAAAAATCAATAACGTTCTACGCTATACATCATTCCCCCAACGTTAGGTCATCCACAGTCATGTATTGCGTGGCGCTGACTATTTGTATCCTTATTTAGCAGATAAAGTTTTTTCTCCCCCCCCCCTAAAAGTTTTGTATAATTTTTTTATTAAACTATAATCCTCTAATAGTCAACTACCGTTTGAGAGATATTAATTAGTATAATATTCCCAGCTTTTATTATTTGAAATAAAAAAAAATTCATAAAATGCTACGTAAGATGCAAGGCATTATATTTTATCAATATTTTATTGAAAATCGGATAAAAATATCATTATTATTTATATATTAATCATTACAATTTTAATTATTTTAACCATGATTTATAAGTGTGTTCATCATCAAAAAAAAAAGAAGTTTAAAAAAAAATTGATAAATTCATTGATAATGCATTTAATATATATTTTTTTTGAAGAATAAGTAAAAATATCTCATAAAGTTATTGTACAATATTTTTTTAAAAGTAAAAAACTGGCTTGAATAAAGTATTACAAAATAGTTTATTAATAATTTTGCATAACGAATAATACAATAAATATTCATTTTTTAAAGTCTATTACATTAAAAAATAGTAATTGTTATCCGAATCATTGTTAATTGTAACTACTTAAACTCATCTTAAAATAGTTGATAAAATAATTTATTTAATATATCAAAAAAAAAGAAATATTTAGCATTTATTTCTAAGTATTTTAATGAGAATTAGTAATTATTATAATAAATTAAACCTTTTTTTTTAAATAAAATAAAATATATATATAATTGCAATAAGATATAATAGGATAATCCTGAATCTTTTCGATAATAAATTTACAAATATATATTTTATAACTTTTTTAAAAAAAATTTTTCGAAAGAATTATTTTTTTGTTATTGCGATCTTTCCCTGAAACGTCTTTTAGTCAATCTATAATATTCTGTGCCAGGAGCCATATTTCCCATTGTAGCTATGTTTGGCGCCATATTGGGACTTTGTCCGGCCTTCGTACAAGATTCGCAGCAGAACTGGGCAAAGTAAGGGTTGTGACATAGCTTGGCTTGAACCACGAGCTGACATTGCATGAGAGCAGAGTTGTCCACGCAAGCGCCCGCTGCTGGCGGAAGCTCTTCATCGCCCTTTTCAACTTCCTCGCCTCCCGCGGCCTCACTCTCGGGTTTTATGGGTGGTGGTATTCCTGTCACTCCGCCCTCGCCAGTCTCCCCTAAAGTTTCTCCGGCTCCTTCTCCTACCTCTTCGGTCCCGCCTTCTTTAGGTTCACCAGCATCCTTAGGTTCTCCATCATCCTTTGGTTCTACTTCATCTTTGTGTTCCTCACCACCTACCTCGGCTTCGCCACCTCCAAATTCGTCGCCTTTAGACTCAGCTTCTTCGGAATCGGGAACTACTTCGCCACCTTACATTTAAAAGAAAAAATAATAATAAATTATTATTTTTGGAAATAATATTAAAAAATGGAATGCCATTATAGGTTGACAACTAGGTTTTATGCATTTCTTTGTCACTTTGGGCCGAAATAAAATATGGTCATAATTTTATTCTTAACACTCATTTTCACCCACCCCCCCCCCCCCACTCCTCAATAATAAATTTTTAATGGTACTCCTGTGAAGATAAAATGGAAAGTTAAGAGTTAGAGCTTTATAACTTAATTCAATCCTATTATATATACTTAACGAATACGATAAGATCTTGTGTTGTTATAAAGGGCTCATTTTGAGTCGATTTTAAAAATGGCTAACTTAATATTTCATCCAGAAAAATATTACGCAGAAGATTTTGCTCATAGAAGGAACAAAGGTATGGGCATATATTATCGAAATCTCGAGGCTTGGGTAATATTGGCTAAAATATTGAGTTAGCCGCTTAACAACATTAAAGAGAAAAACGAGATAAAATTGCACTTTATCTATAATACTATAATACATTTTACCCTTAAAAAAGTGAATTTATAATATTATTGAATGTATCTTTTATTTTCAATTTGATTGAATAGTAACCTAAAATAATTATTAGTTGAATAATTACTAAGGATAACAAAACCTTCAAATCACAATTTTAAAATATAATTACTCATGTTTTTTGGAAACTTGTAGTCCCACCTCCGTTTTTATATAATATTGTTTTATTTTATTTTATATTTGATGTAAGAAAACTATTTTGAATAAAAAATTTTAATGTTAAAAAAAAAAAAAAATTACTAAGGATTGAAAAAAATGGAAATAGGAAATATGATAAGTGAATGAATAGCGATATGTTGGTTCTATGATACGCAATATTTTATTTATTTTAAATTTTTACAGATAATACGATATTTTGCGCATATAATCAAGGCCGTGTTATCATAAAAATTATTGAAATTATAGTGAAGGTCATGCGTTTATAAAACTATTTTAACAGTCTTTGGGTAAAGTATTTTGTCTTTTTGATAATTTTGCAAAATTGATATTTTTTAAAAACAAGAAAAATTAAGATTTACGTTCTAATATGACAACTTTCGTCTTATCCGATGCAGTTGTGAGCTTGTTCTTGGCTCTGCATTCATATTCGCCTCCGTCCCATTTATTAGCACCGGTTATTATCAGAGTACCATTACCTAATATCTTTAAAAGAAATATATATATATAATAGTAGGTTGCAAAAAATGACTGGGAATAATATTCATATGAAAATTAAAAACTTTAATTCTCGGATCATTTTCAGGAATTTGAGTATCGTCCTTAAACCATTCCATCTTTTCGTAATTACCCGAACCTCCGCAGGTCAATTTGATACTTTCGCCTTTGTGGTATTCCTTACTATGACTATCGATTTTGGCTCCTATGGATTCTTTTTGTTGAGTATAGATTTAATATTCAATAGGTGAATGAAAACAAAGTTTTATAATAGAAGCTTTCCATCCTTTCTTGAATCCAATCTTCACCATTCCTATTCCATTTAATTAGGTATTATTTTACCACACGCGAAAAAAAACTAACCTTGTAATTGAACCACAACTTCTCCGCTTCCCGATTCGCCATAGGGGTTATTGACTAAACATTTGTAGACGCCTTCATCCTGAGCCAATACTGGGTCTATAACTAAAGACATGTTGTCCAATTGAGTGTATCTTCCGCTATCCAAGTCTACCTTGTTACCACCCTTAAGCCACATAGCCTAAAATAAAATAAAAAAATATTATAAAAAATGTTAAAATAAAATTTTAAATAAGGATGAAAATATCATAAAATTCCTATTTTTTACATATGGTTCGATTATATCTTGCATTGGACAATCTAATACTAATCTTGCTCCTAAAGCACCTTGCCCAACAGCTGAAGCAGATGGGGTAGGGGTCGCCTGGGGCGCCTGTGTTGGAGGTCCTTATAATAGAAAAAATTATGACTATATAAAAAAAATTCTATTTATAAAAGAAAGAGAAGAGAAGAGAAGAGAAGAGAAGAGAAGAGAAGAGAAGAGAAGAGAAGAGAAGAGAAGAGAAGAGAAGAGAAGAGAAGAGAAGAGAAGAAGAGAGAGAAGAGAAGAGAAGAGAAGAGAAGAGAAGAGAAGAGAAGAGAAGAGAAGAGAAGAGAAGAGAAGAGAAGAGAAGAGAAGAGAAGAGAAGAGAAGAGAAGAGAAGAGAAGAGAAGAGAAGAGAAGAGAAGAGAAGAGAAGAGAAGAGAAGAGAAGAGAAGAGGAGAGAAGAGAAGAGAAGAGAAGAGAAGAGAGAGAGAAGAGAAGAGAAGAGAAGAGAAAGATTTTACATAATTCAATATATATTTATTTTGATACTTCCTGCATCTGGTGTGACTCCGGGAACAGTATAAGTATCTTAAATAATATATAAATTTTATATTTAGGTTGAGAACATTAATCAGAATATTGAACGAATGAAAAAGGGTTATGATTCGGGTTCCAAATAAATCATATAAAAAGTGTTTCCACTTCTGGTTTCAAAAATCTTGGTGAAACGGGTTTTTGGTCCGGATTCCTAAATATAATGTCCGTGAGTTTCGAGTTTCATTTCCGGTTCCAAATTATTTTAAAAGCAATCAAAAAAAGATTTTTTTTTAACAAATAAATAAAAAGAAAACCTTCCAAAAATGATATCATACTAAAATATACAACATTTTAAAAAATTACAAATCAATAAGGCAATAAAAATGTGATTTAAATGATTTAAAATATTTACCGCTAACAACTAATTTTATATCGGATAAAGCAGAGGGTCCGACTCCGTTATCCGCTCGACATATATAAGCACCCGAATCTTCCGCCTTTGCTTGATTAATTTTTAAACTTCCGTTGTTCAACTTTTAGTATTTTTTTTTAAAAATGGAAATTGATAAATGAATGATGTTGAGATTGTTAATATGGAATTAAATAACCGCTTTAACTTAAGTTTTTTTTTAAACAGTTACATAACTTTAAAAAAAGACATCAAATTTTAAGAAACATTAACTTGTGCATAAAATTTGAATGCGTAAAATTTCTAACGAATCTCTGCATCATAAGCCTATATTCCCTACGATGAGTATTGATAATATATATATTATCCATCCTTCTACAAGAAACTTACAGAATTATTTTAAAAAAATATATAGATAAACTAACCAAGATTGTATGGGCGTTATCGGGCTGTATTATATTTCGGTCTTTGTACCAAATTATTCTAGGTTTCGGATTTCCTTGAGCATCGCAAGGGAGTTCAACATTGTCTGCAGGTCTAACCACATATTCACCCGGAGCTGGGGATATCTTAGGCGCGCTTTGGCCTGCTGAGATTTTTTTTTTAATTTGTAATGAACAAAACTAATTTATATTATACTCAATAAATCCTGAATAGAATTTACTTGAATAGAGTTCTTAAGAATCTTATATAATTAAAATTAATATATGGCTTGTTTTCTTTTATAATTCAAGGGTGTCGAAAATAATTTATATACCCTATGAAAGCTAAAGCAAATGATCATTAACAAAAGCGTATTTAAAAAATAAAATTTATTCAGTTTTCCAAAAAGTTGAGTTTGGTAAAATATGAATTATTAGGATTGTAAATAAAAAAAACCTTATATTATGAAAATTTAATATAACGTGAGACTTAACTCTTCAAATTTTGATTTTTGTGTTATTTTACGATCAAATCGAACTCAAGATCCCTTAGACTAGTAAATATTTTCTTAGACCCTTTATTTTGTAATTTATGCGGGATAGGATTAGAACCACGCCAACATTTTAAAATACTAAGTTAAATATACCGGAAGGTGGTTGTCTCGCAACAGCCACACCTGCAGCAGCAGCAGCAGCCGCGGCGGCGGCGGCAGCAGCTTGAGCAGCTCTAGGATCACTTGGCCGTTGTTGTTGACCTTTTAAAATCATTATAATAAAACCGATTAAAACTTTCTATAACTTTTCTCATGGTTTAGATTGGTTGTAGAGGTAAAACAAAAATAAGAATCAGCCAACTAAATTAATCACTCCTAATAAAATTTCAATAGAATTTACAATCAAATCTAAAGGAAAATATGGATCATTTAAATAGTTCATGTATAACAAATCTTACTGACCTGGGTAAGCCGGTTCTTGGCCAGGATAACCAGGTTGTTGACCTGGATAACCCGGTTGTTGACCTGGATAAGCTGGTTGTTGACCTGGATAAGCCGGTTGTTGACCTGGATAAGCCGGTTGTTGGCCTGGATAGCTGGGTTGTTGACCTGGATAACTGGGTTGTTGACCTGGATATCCTGGCTGTGGAGGGTATGCGCCGGGTTGTCCTTGACCATATTGTTGAGGATATTTTTGTTGCTGCTGAGAGGGTGAACCCGGGGGACCCCTCTGCTGCTGCCTGATTTGTGTTTCGTAATTGATCGGTAAAACTCCACCTGGATAACCGGGGGATCCTGGATAACCGGGAGATCCTGGATAACCGGGGGATCCTGGAGCTCCTGGGTACCCGGGTTGCGTAGGAGGTTGACCAGGTTGGCTGTAAGGTGGATATCTTGCCGCACCGTAACTAGGGTCTTGTCCCGGTACGATTGGTGGCTGGCCTAATTGTTGACCAGGCTGTAAACCCTGTGATATCGAAGGTCTTTGTCCAGGAATAGCTAGATATCCTGGTGCTCCGGGGTATGGAATGCCAGGATAACCTGGAGACCCAGGAATCGCGGGATAACCCGGACTGCCTGGAGTGCTAGGTCTCGATGGGTACCCTGGAGGTGCCGATCCACTAGGGTATCCTGGATAACCAGGATATACTGCTATGCTCGAATGAATTGAATCGGCCGGATAACCCGGCTGACTTGGCCGTCGTTCTGGAATTGGTTGTCCTGGCTGACCAGGTGAACCAGGTTGCCCTGATTGTCCAGCTAAACCAGGTTTTCCTGGTCGTCCATAACTTGGTTGTACAACATCTGGTTGGCCAGGTTGCCCTGGCAATTGAGCAGCGGCACCCCCTGGCCCTTGAGGTCGGCCTCTTTGTTGCTGTTGCCTGGCTCTCTCTTGATTTAGACGATCCTGCTCTTGCTGTAACCATATACGCTGTTGTTCGCCTGTAGATAACCCTGGGGCGCCTGCTTGTCCGGGGTAGACCGATATTCCTGGCGAGCCAGCCTGTCCTGGGTAAGATCCTGTACCATATCCAACTCCCGCCACGGCTTGAGATTTTCTCAGGTGTGGTTCAATGGGTTCTAAACACTTGGTCGCACCACACGTGTCGCTACAACATTTAGAGCTATCGGGGCAGTATGCATCGTTAGCACATTTTTCGTAATTAATAGATTTACCATCGGCCCCCATTCTAGGAGGGCATTGACCACCCGGTGGTGAATCTGGGGGTGGACATGTACCAGGTTTCTTCTTAGGCTTGCACACTGGTTGAGGCACACATTTAGGGGTACCAGGTGTAGAGGTCTGCTTATCACAACCTGGCCCGGAGTTCGGGGTTCTTTCTAGCAAACACTGGGAATCTCCTGGACAATTATGTGTTTGGCATGGATCTAAGCAATCGCAAGTTTGACAGCCCGCATTTTGACCGTACCCATAAGGACAAAATCTTACGCATTGAACTGATGCACAAGGACGTCCCGATATGGATACACCACCTTTTATTAATTATATATTAAAAAATTGATATATTAGCGTTATCACTCTTGAAATTATAATATTACTAAAAAAACAGGTTAATTAATCTATTAAATTTAAACCTTCATTAATAATCATTTGTCCTCTGTTTTGGTCAAGAGAAATGACTTCTTGAGGTCCAGGCTGTAAAGCCATCACGTCATTACTAGACAAGGATCCACTTGATAATCTTTCTCTATATAATATATTTATATATAAATTATGAATTTATTTTCATTCGAACAGGAAGAAATCTCATTTTTTTCTGATGCTTTTATAAAATATTTCTCGGAATCAAATCTTTCGAGAAAAAAATTGGATTGGTTCTGGCAATTTTTTTTATCGATCCAGGGATGAAAATACGTCAGATGCATGGATCCACTTAACATATACTAATAAAGAAATAAACCTAGCTATTTTATCTTGTTTCTCCTTGTTTCGTAGAGCTTCTTGTTCTTTCATATATTCTTGAGCCGCCACAGTTCTCTGCGGTTCGAACCCGGGTGAGGGATTGAAAGGCATTCTGGCAACATCAACTGTTGAAGGTCTTCTGGGAGCCTCGCCTGGATAATAGTTGCCAGGTTGTGGCTGTGCGCCCCCATCTCTATGAACCCCTGATTCCACTCCCCTATTGGAGCACACTTCAGAGCATTCTTGTTGATCCAGGAAACGATTTCCATTACCCTCACAACCTCCATAAGTAAAAGGATAGCAACGTCCTTGTGAACGATCAAAGTACCACATTGGTATTTCTGATTTACAGCTACCGGGATCTTTGACTTGGGAACATACATCTACAATATTCGTATAGATATAAGATATCAAATTTTTGTTGATATAAATGTACCAATATCTTTATATATTCCACATTTCCTTTCGCAGGTTTCCCGCGTTTTAAAATTGTTAGCGTTGCCATCGCATCCGCTGAATCTAAAAGGTTTGCAGCCGTTATCCGCAAAGTAATAACGTAAATGTGTTTCCGAACAATTTCCAGTAGCACGAGGAAGATTACAAATGGCTTTTGTCATAATAAATAAATGTGAATACTTCAAAAATTTGTCCAGATATGTCGCGCCAAATCAAGAAATTAATATATTATATAACAATTATGCGAGCAAATATTTGACTAATTTAAAAGATCTCTAAGATTTTCCTCGTGGGCTTAGGGTATCTTCAAATTTAAACCTTGGCTGAAAGTCTACATGAATAGGGGGGAGTACATTTCAGGCGTGTTGCCTCCAAGTATTTTCCTTATGTAGACGCTGGTTGAGACACTCATTAATATTACAAGAAAAGTCTTGGGAACGATGCCCTGTGGGAGACCAAAGATTATATGTACAAAAGGCGTGGTCAATGACATGAGGTATTTAAACCTCCATTACTGGGCACTAAGATGGGATTAAAGTAAAGTTACAATATTGCAGATTGGATAACCAGTATAGACCATAAATTAAAATTTATAACTTGAATAAGAAAATTAATTATTATTTTGCCAAAAGGTTTATTAGAATCTTAAAATAATGTAAGTATTCATCCGTTAAATTGTTTTCTGCGAGTCGCTAAAGTGAATATAATATTATATATATTAACGAGAGATATCTTGGGGTGAATGTTGACTTTGCGGCCTTTGCTGATGATGCTGACTGCCTGGTTGAGCTGAATAAACAAATAGTTAGAATATTAGATATGTGTAATGCCTCATGGGATTACAATTATTAATATCTATATTTTATATAATTTATCTCATAAGCCCAAACTTAATATAAAGAAAACCATTTAATCTTTAAAAAATATATTTAACTAGTTTTTAAATTATTGTAATATTGTTTTATTACCATGATGAGCGTCTTGTTGGTAATGAGATTGCTGCGGTGGTAGTACAGAATATATAGGCTGCCCTGCTCCAGCCCCTCCAGCTGCGCAACTTAGTAGGCACAGTTGTTGGCTAGCGAACCTATTTTGATTTCCCTCACATCCCCCGTACATGAATTGCTTGCAAGTCTTTGTGATGGGATCGAAATGCCATTGTGGTTGCCAATTCTGACATCTTCCAACCTCCGGCGCTAATCCGCAAATTCTGACATCTGATAATATAGTTTAAGAGAAATGGCAATGCAATCGATGGTTAGTAACTGTTATAATTTTAAACCTATCAGATTGATTAACATTTTAAAGTTTAAACCCTAGAATATTAGACATATCTAATTGAAAAAATATCTCTACGTTGATATTATCGTAATGTTGCTTATTTTATTATTTTATTAGGATGTTTGAATAATGAATGTCTTCTAATAATCATAAAGTCACGGACATAAATGTCTTGGACAAAAATACCAGGATAAGAGTAACGCGGGGAAAAACATTAGACAGAAATACCCACATAGACCAAAAAAATGGTGGCTTTTAATATTTTTGACCGGGGTACATCGGGTCTTTTTGTTCCAGAACATTATCAGGCGATTTATTATGACAATCGAAGACTCGTAGTAAATTATATAAAGAAGTATATGAACGGAGGAAAGAAATAATACCGATATTTATTAATTATTTTTTTTGAAGGGACTTCATCACTCTTTTACCCTTGTAAATTAAAAGCAAAAAAAAAAAAGAAGAGTATGTAATAACCATTTTTAATGACTTCCATCGTGACATGTCTAAAAACTTCTAATTGGGGAATCGAATTGGACCCTGAATAGCAATAATCAAATAACAAGTTGTTTTATTTTGGTTAAATTTCCTTTTAAATAATGCCAATTGGTTAAAAATATAATAATCAGCTGCTAAATCCGAATTAGTGAGCCGTTAAAAAGCCGGTTTTGGGTCGAATTTTTCAAAACAGCCCGATTAAGATTTTGGCTAAAAAGGCAAATAGATGTCGTCGAAGCATTTCCTGCCCAGCTATGAGCGCAAAATCTTAAGGGCTTTTGCAATCATGTTTATTTTGGTTATAATCTTAACCGGGCGGTTTTTTAAAATCGACCCGAATCGGGGTTTTTAACAACACTCTTTTCCGAATATCCGAATATTTATAGTTTTTAAATCCTAAAAAATGAATTATTTCATTTAATGAGGGAAGACTTTAAAATGTAAGGGGTTAAAAAAATAATCTATTAATTATACATTTTTTTTCGCATCTTTGTTTAAAGTTATTAAAAGTTGAAGAAAGAAAAAATATATATAATAACAGAGAGTAGAAAAATAAGGTAATACCTATAGGAGCTTGATTAGGCGCAGGGCCTCCTGGATAACCTGGTCTGGTTGGAGGGATTTGGTGGCCTATAAGTAACCATTATAAAATATTTTTTAAAAATAACGGAAATACAATTTTACAAATTTTTTTTTTGTTTTGTTAGAATATTATAGTATTTAAAAGTGAATCAAAACTTTATTGAGAACTTAATAATATTTCATCCAGAAAAATATTGCGCGAACCTGAAGACTTTGGTCATAGATGGCCCAAATGTTTGGACAACTATTAACAAAATCTCGGGGTTTAGGAAATATTTTACTGGCTGAAAATATTGAGTTAACCGGTTTTAAAAAATCGGCTCAAATCAAGCCGTTTATAGCGACACCATTTAGAACCAAAGTTATGAATCAAATAAATAAAAATTATCGTGATTATTCCAATGACATACAATATAATGCCTCATTAAAAGTGCACAACAATGAAAAACAGCTGGAGACGCCATATTGGTTACCCCATATCATTAATAAAATTTTTAAACGCTGGGCCAATTCGTTACTATGTCTGAGGCAAACTTTATTAATGAATTACCAGATCATGGATAGAGATATTTTTTAACACGAGAATAATTATTATATGTGTTACCAAAATGGCGGGCCCAGCTGATTTGCATTCAACGACGCTTTCAAATGCATTATTATGAATGCATCGTCAGTTTAGTTAGGTATTATTATATGTCATTGAATTATTCGTAATTTTTTTAAAAATAAATTTATCCTTGTAGATAAATTATTGGATAAACGACTCGAATGCGAACACCGCTGTTAGGCCACATTTATGGTAAATGCGTTATGTTCGAGCGTTGCGTTATTATAAAATCAAGCTAATAAATAGGTGTAAATTTATATGACGCGTTATAATGATAACGCTATGATGAAATTTGAAAAACGTATGTTGCGATGCGTTGAAAAAGAAATATGCGATATGATAAAATAATAATAGCAAATTCGTTAAAAAAAAGGTATATAATTTTTCTTAAAAAAAATGTACAAAATAATTATCTCTATTTTAACTTTATCTTAAATTAGTTTTTAAAAACTAAATCAGCTATCATAACGCTGCGTTAAATAACGCAACGCTTGAAGATAACGCGTTTATTATAAATGGAGCCTTAGATATTCGTATTCATTATTTGAATAGGCATAATTGTAAAATACCAAACCAATTTCGAAATATCGGGTAAAATATCTTATCAGCAAATTCATAGTTTTTAACGGTATAAAATAGATATCATACACGAAATATGTTAACTGGTAAAATCCTAAAATATTAACTTAGATTACCTGGACTCCCGGGGTAGCCTGGAGCACCGGGGTAGCCTGGAGCACCTGGGTAGCCTGGAGCGCTCGGGTAGCTTGGAGCACCTGGGTAGCCTGGAGCACCTGGGTAGCCTGGAGCACCTGGGTAGCCTGGAGCACCTGGATAGCCTGGAACAGCCGGGTAGCCTGGAATACCTGGATAACCTGGAGCACTTTGTTGGCCTTTATAATTCAAAAATATATGTATAAAAGAATGCCATCTTTTCACCTTATATTTATATATATATATATTTATTTTATTATTTAAATTGCATGGGCCAAAATATGCTAACCTGGATAAGAGGATGCCGATTGAGAAGAAATTACAGATTGAGCGGCGATATTATTTTGAGTAGGACAATGCAGATAACACAGTTCTTTAGTTTCGTAATTGTTGGCGTTCCCATCGCATCCAGCTTATTAAGGGTTAAAGATAATTTCATTATAAACAGATATATATGTGTGTGTATATATATATTATTGAATATGGTTTTAAGATTATTAACAAGAAAGGAAGAAAAACTATAAAATATCGTTTATAGGTCTAAGAAAAATTAATGATTCTGTTTATATATATTATATTTTGATATTGGCACGATTAGGCTTATAAGCGACCCGGCCAGAATTTTACAAAATAGCCGGGCCAGTAATTGCTTTCACCCGGGTCGCTTTCCTGGCCTGGTGGATAATAAAAAAAATTTGAATTATTCAAGGTTATAAATAGGAAAATTCCCTTGCGGCCCAGCAAAATAACAAATGGTCCGACTACTATATAACAGATACACAAGGCACACACCCTTACATTATAGTTACTTATTTCCACTTATAATATTTGAGCATAATAACGTAAGTTATTCAATATTTCCATTTAATTGACATTGTACTTTCCCAATAGTTTATAGAGTCAGTGTCAATGAAAAGGTAGACGAAAACGAAATTTAATTTTAATGGCAATATCAAAAGAAAAAAATAACCCAAAATTTGTCTTTTAAATTCTCCAAGAATGATTTTAGTCAAGTTTTAATCTTAAAAATTGGTCTTTAGGCTAAATGATTTTCTAGGCAATATTGGGAGTTTTTAAAGTGTGTAATTTCTGAAATCCTAAAATAAATAGGAAAAAGATAAAAATATCAAAATGTACACCCAAATGCAAAGATTTGATCTAACATAAATACCGGGAAGACGTTAATGCTAACCAAAACATTATATACAAATTATATTGATTGTCTATCATTAAGAAATTAAATTTTTAAAACAAATCAGACCAAATATATTTTAATGCTTATCCCAATCACACATTTATTAGGCATCATCTAATGGTTAAACTTGTGTAACATTTTGAATAATATCAAAACCTAGTGTTGTTAAACGGCTCATCTTTAGTCGATTTTTAAAAACGGCTAACTAAATATTATAGCTAATAAAAATATGGCCTAATCCTAGAGATTTCGCTGATAGATGTCTAAACCTTCGTGCCATCTATGAGCAAAATCTTCAGGCCTGCGAAATATTTTTCAAATCGAGCCCGTTTAACAACATTATTAAAACCAATCAAAATTCTTAAACCAATTTAATTAAAATATTATATTTCTGATAATCAAACTCTAAAATATTATATTAGGGAAAATAGTGTGATAGAATAGTAAAGAAAGCATAAAACAAACACAATAACGTAAAACATTTCAAATCAAATAAATAATATTATTGCTAGCTTGCGAAATCTTCGAAATGGATCAAATTTACTCATTTTATGCAATTATTGGAGCTGATTCATCACCGCTATATTATCTATATCTGCCTTCTCTCTATTATAACAGACTTAGGGGGGACCGTCATCATGCCTCTATGATTAAATGGACTTGATATAAAAAAAATTACTGCCCAATATAAACGATAATCTACTACACTGGTTGGGCCCTCTATAGGGTAGTGGAATTACTCAACCTTTTGTGGAATTGTCTTCCTGCGTGTAATGCTCAAGTATTTTTTTTTAATTTATTTACTATATATGAACTGGATGCATTCCTTCTTTATGTAATCGAAAAACCAGCGAGGATTACTCTCCTTGCAGTGGCCAGTGACTTTAGGTAAATCGCATTCTGCCAAACGATTAAATAAATAAATAAATAATAAATTATATTATTGATTCAGTAAATAAATAATAATCAGTACTGTAAAAGTTACTTTAAAAAAAACGCGTTACTCGTACTAAGTTAAAGAGGAACGCGTTACCGTTACTCATTATCTTGCGAAAAAGGGAAGGCGTTACTCGCCTTTCCAAAAAAATGTAACGCGTTACTTAAAAATACCTTTTTGTGAATTTTTTTAAACAACTAATTTCAAAATTTTGATCGGATATTTAGCTGTGCTATATATACTATACACATGATCAACTTGCGGAGAGGATAGGAGGGTTGTATTATATTTAATGATTAAATAAAAACTTAATTTGGGGAATTTATTAAATTAATATTTAAAGAATGATTGACATAGAATTTTCATTCATATCTTGATCCAAAATTCTTATTATTTTTATCAGAATTCACCTTTTTTTTTTATTTGAGCTACTGGACATCGAAGTTGGAATATGTGAATTAAGGCACAATTATAAACTTATAAAGTGTAGACTTAGTGCACTTAATTTTCTTTATTTGAGTAAAAAATATATCATGATGGGGCCAGGGCAGAGTAAAGTCATCTTCATCGGAAAAATTTATAGAATAGATCATAATATTAAAGAATATAAATACCTTGATTGATTCAATATCAATTAGAATAACAATCTTGACTATATAAAATTCAACAACAAAAATAATAAATAAAATAAAAATTTGGTAGTAGATTTTAAATAAAAACTGGGTTTAAATTTAATGTTAAATTTTAAAAAAAAATATATATATATTATTTTGAAAAAAAAAAATTAAAGTAGCGTTTATCGTTACTTTTTAAAACAAGTCACATATGGCGTTTTCCTTTTCATCAAAAAAAAGTAACGACGTTACTTTAACAGCACTAATAATCAATGTAACTACTAATTTTGACAACATTAAAAAATTTATCTAAAAAAAGTCATTAACCTGGCGGTAATCGATTGGTAGAAACGTAACCTATAGGTCTAGAACGTCCATCAATATTGGGAGCTGGTTGAGCTTGCGGAACGGGAGTGGTTATGGTTGTATCTATGGGTATGAAAACCAAGATTAAATAGTTTCGAATTATGAAATATATATATATCAGATCAAACTATATATTTATAAATATATATATATATAATCACCTGGTGGCATAGGTCCTCCTCCAAAATTTTGAGAAGAGCATTTAGCCGCGCATTCATTAGCATCGTTAAAATTATTTTTATTGCCTTCGCAACCACCATAATAAAAACGATCGCATTTTTGGGTCTGGGGATCGTAAAACCAGCGAATAACGAAATCTCTGCAGGAACCAGGGTCTTTGGGCAAGGAACATATATTTGCTCCGCCAGGTAGAGGTTGAACTGATGGCCCTATAATTTTTTTAAAAAATTTGGTTAAACACATATTTGTGAAAATATTGTATAAATAAATAATCAACTTTCAAGTTAAGTAAGGTTTTTTAAGGAGTTACTGGAAGGCATTATTGAAGAGTAAGGAAGAAAAAAAAATATAATGAAAGAGAAGCAAGTAATAACAATATATTACCGGCTGGTCCGTGGATGGCCTTCTTCAAGAACACTGGTACTACGTAATCGACACTAGAATGGGAGCAGCCATAAGTACCGAAATCCGATTCCGCTAGGTTATTTATAGTTAGGAGCCCTTTATCGACCCTGGCGTTTGCAGGTAAATCCCCGCCTGATTTTGACCATTTAACATTTTCGGCTCCGGGTTTAGATCCCATCAATCCACCAGGTCCGTAGGGTGTGCAATTGAAAGTTACGGTTGAACCTACATTTGAATAAACTGTTCCGGTAGGCATCATAAATAGATCTGTGATTAGTTCAGTATTTGGTACAACTACACCTGTCGGATGTTGAGGTGGGTGGCTATCCATTCGAGGTTGTTGAGGAGGGTAGGCTGGTTGTTGAGGAGGGTAGGCTGGTTGTTGAGGAGGGTAGGCTGGTTGAGGCGGTGGGTAGGTTGGTTGAGGCGGTGGGTAGGTTGGTTGAGGCGGTGGGTAGGTTGGTTGAGGCGGTGGGTAGGCTGGTTGAGGCGGTGGGTAGGATTGTTGAGGTGGGCCAGGTTGTCTAGCAGGTAGATATCGGGCTTGTTGAGGAGCCGGTGGATGACCTTCAAAAATTTTGTGCATTTTAAACTTATCCAATTTGAACATAAATATATTTTTTTTTTTTAAAAAATAGATTATTGAAAATAATAATTAGATTTATTCCGGCCATTAAAATATTTTATAAATGTCAGATTCAGAATTTTAACAGAGATTTATGGCTCTTTTAAAATAGGAATAAAATTGATCAGTTTAAAATGCGGCATGCTACCATAGGGGGGATTCAAATTATAGGGAAAATGGTCTAAGAGGGATATGTTAATTTGGATTTTTTTGTAATTATATTAATTAGATCTACTTGTGGAGGTAAAGAGAGGGATAATAACGTTATTGGCTTATGGGGGTGTAGAAACGCTTGGATTTATTGAATAAATAATTATTCTAATTACCATTAGTATAATACAACCGTAAAATAATAAAATTTTACAAGCCAACTTAGCAATTTTCTTAGCCTAAAATCAAAACATTTCGTTTTTAAATTGCTTATATTTTTCTTAATTTCATTCATTGTACGTATATTATTTTTCTATTCCTAGATGCAAGGGCATAATTTGATAGTTCATTTTAAAAGATTATAAATTAAAAGAGGTTAGGCGGCAACCTTGTGGACTAGGGGGTTGCCTCTGTTGTAGGGACGAGGCATCATATTGAGGTAGGTATTGTTGTTGTGGGTTTGGACGAGGAAGAGATGGCTGAGCCTGTTGACGAGATTGCTGATAAGATGGAGGTAGAGGGTAAGGTGATAGAGGTTGTTGTGGTGGAGAGCCTCTTAGACATTTCTGTTGGCATTCTTCTTGAGTCGTGAAACTGATTTAATATTAACACAATAAGTTGACAAATTTGCGAAACTAATAGTAACTTTAATTCTTTCTTTTTTTTCACGTCTTATATATTTCGCGAGAAAAAAAAATAAATAAAATTTGTTAAAATAATCTAAAATAAAATATATTTAAATTAATCTTGACAAATAACGATCTCTTAATACCAAAAAAAAATTATAATGATAATTTGGACAATTTCACACACAAAAACAACACATACCTTACCTTACTTCTTTTAAGTTTTTTTTTTAAAAATACAGTAAATGTTAGAAACTTATTAACTCTGCTAAAGGCTCTGTAAAAAAAAATCGTATATAAATATAAGTAATATTTATTTTTGTTATTGCGATAATGGCAACATACCATGAAATACTTCATAAAGTGGGCTTTGCGAGAGTTCTAAAATATGGTCTATAATTAATGTATACTCTTATTTTAGTCCTTATCAAAAAATATCTTCGAATATATTACCACCCCCCTCCCCGGAATGGAGAATAATACTAAAGTAACTAAATTCAGAATATATTAAAATCTATATATTTTAAAAAATACCGATTATCGTTTCCCGGGCATCCCCCATAGTAAAACTGTTTGCATTGTCGTGACTGAGCGTCATAAGTCCATTTCATTTCGTATTTATTGCAACGGCCAGGATCCGTGGGTTGAGAGCAGGGATCTTGTTTTAAATAAATAATATTTATTTATATTAGGGATGTAAACTAAATATTTACTATCGGATCAGGCCAATATCTTAAGTCATTCATATACTTGTAGATAGATTCATGAATATAAACTATAACTTGATCATTACAATATATTTAAATGACTTGTGTTTATGGTAAGGTTAAATTATAGATGTTATACTGCTCGAGCCGATTTTTAAAAGCTATATCTATATTTTAGCCAATAAAATATTGTCTAGGCCTCGAGATTCTGCCGATAGGATGTTCAAACCTTTGTGCCATCTATAAGCGAAATCTACAGGCCAAGCGTAACATTTTTCTGGATAAAATGGTGAGTTCGCCGTTTTTAAAAAGAGACTCAGATGGAACCAACACTAGATGTATGCATTAAAAAATTTAAACGATTGGTGTTGTGTGTGATGGGAAGTCAAATAATGACGCCTATATAAAATAAATTAATCCGCGAGAAAAAAAAATGTTTACAAATAATCCAAATATGTATAAATACAATAATAACTAAAAGGAACTCCCATCACAATATCTCAACCCTTCCCCACTCCAACGTTCCTCATTAGAGGGGGTAAGGATCTTTATTCTCCAATCCGAACAATTCCTCCAGTTATCGAGCGGCTACTCCTAGCTCTAAAAATTCCTCCTCTGTCACCGCTTGTTTTTCCAGAAAATACAACAGGCCGCCTCTGTTGAGACGTTGACGGCATCCCCAAAGTCTCCGGTCTTCTCGGCGACGGCATCTGCAGTACTTCCCCTATTCCCCCCCTCCTTTCCACGTTTATTTCCCTCCTCCGCGGAACATTCACTTGCGGACAGTCCCTTCTCAAATGTCCCTTCATACCGCACCGGAAACATTGCACTTTGCTCGTCTCCTATCTCGTCTGTGGCACTAACCTGGTTTCTGCACTTTTGGCTAGCGGGGTTCGGGCATCCTGATCTCTTGAGATCAATCTCATTCACTCACCAAAAGTTCCATATCATTGCTGATAATGGTGTTCCGAAGCATGTGAGATCCTTAATCTATATATCTGTACACTCAATGTTTAGCAAATATTTCTGTTTGGATTGGGTAGATTTTTAGGATCTCACATGCTCCGGACCACCATTATCAGCAAGGATGAGTGAATGGAGATTGATCTCAAGAGATCAGGATGCCCGAAACCCCCGAGCCAGAAGTGCGGAAACCCGGTTGGTGCCACAGACGAGATAGGAGACGAGCAAAGTGCAATGTTTCCGGTGCGATATGGAGGGACATTTGAGGAGGGTCTGTCCGCAAGTGAATGAGCCACGGAGGAGGAAAATAAACGTGGAAATGAGGGGGAAAATGGGGAGAGTACTGCAGATGCCGCCGCCACGGCCGAGGAGACCCGAAACCATGGGGAAGCCGCCGCCACAACAGATGCTGCCGCTGAGGAGACAGGAAACTTTGAAGATGACGTCAACGTCTCAACAGAGGAGGCCTGGTATTTGAGGTTCCGGAAAAACAAAAGGTGACGGAGGAGGAATTTTTAGAGCTAGGAGTAGCCGCTCGATAACTGGAGGAATTGTTCGGATTGGAGAATGAACCTTACCCCCCCCCCCCCTGATGAGGAATGTTGGAGTGGGGAAGAGAGGAGATGTTGTGATGGGAGTTTCTTTTTTTTTAGTTATTATTGTATTAATACATATTTGGATTATTTGTAAAGTCTTTTTTTTTTCTAGCGGATTAATTTATTTTGTAACCTAGGCGTCATTATTTGACTTTGAAATGGAAGACTCAGAATGAGTCAGTTTTTTTTTATTTTGAATTAAAAAATTTTAACAAGTATTTTCCAAAGTCAATAAAGTTATTCTTTTTCAACTCAATTAAGTGAATAAGTGATTCTTCAAAGGAGAGAACAATTCCGAATAACTGTAATAATTAGTATGTTTTCCAGAATACAAAATAAGATATATCATATCGGATAGGCCTCCTAAAAGTGGTATTGGTGCACTGCTAATTTATATATAATTATTATTATTATTTAGGTGAATACTATATTATAAACAATTTTGTCTAATATTAAAGTGAATAGCTAACGATAAGGACAATTTTCATTTAGCGCTCATCTTTTAAAAAATCAAGAGTATTTATGATAATTAATACAGGATATTTGTATTTGTCTCGATTTTTAATCAGAATTATAAAAAAAAAGGGCCATCTTTAAACAATGGAAATTATAGATATAACAAAAAAAATTCCTAAAATAAAATTATCTCAAATCTTTAGGTTAAGGCTAAACTTGGAAGTTTATAATGTCTTCAGTCTTATTAATATAATAGAATCTGATCTTTAATAAAGGACTAGATAAAATATGATCATTATTAATCGTAGATAAAAACGAAAAATATTTGTAATATATAAATGATTCCCCGTTTCCATTTTATAAAGAAAGAAAGAAAGAAAGAAAGAAAGAAATAAAGAAAAAGAATATTAAAATAAATAAAGAATATATTACCCACGGAAGGAAAAGGTGGACCGGGCTGTCTTGGATAACCGGGTAAACCTGGTTGTCTTGGATAACTCGGTTGGGGAGGGTATTGCGCTTGGGGTTGAGCTTGAAGAGGCGGTGGGTAACTTGGCCTTCTACCATATTCGTCCGCCTCACCTGGAGATTCTGCATCATCATCGTCCAAATCTTGCAAGCAGAATTCCTTGCAATCGGTTTCGGAGCCAAAATTGTTGGCATTTCCACCGCAACCCGTGTAGGTAAATGGTGTACACCTTTGACCGCGGGGATCGAATGAAAAACGTCTTTCGTTCTTTTGACAATTACCTGGCTCGGTCGGCAAGGAACAAATGGAGACGTCTTTTTTTTAATTAAATATATAGCAATTTAATCACTTATAAGCATATGGGGTAATCTCTCCATTTTTAGCGGGACCAAAAACAAGCGATAAAATTTAATTTTGGTTACTTCGGCGAATTTGCAAATCACCCCCAACTAAGTTAATTAGTAATCGGTTTTAATCTAATTGATATAATGTGTGTGTTTAAGCACTCCTAAAACGAATAGACATTGTCAAAAATTTCTTATCGCATAATGTTATAGTTAAGTATGATATTTAAATTACCTGGATCAATCCCAGCGCTTTGGCAAGCACTTTCGCAAGCTTCCTTCGTTTCGAAATTGTTAGGATTCCCACCGGAACCTTTAAATTTGAAAGGCTGACACATGACAGTGAATGGATCGAAATAGTATCGTGATTTTTCTTCATTTCCAGCCCCGGATTTCTTAGGCAAAAGACAAATCTCTGAAGGAAATATTACATCATTATTATTTTTTGAAAAATTTTAAATATTTTGTATGAAAATCTATAGTAATTAGTTAGAATAATGATCCATTTCTCAGTTATGAACTAGTAGTGGTCAACCGAAAAGGTTTAGGCATTCTACGATTTCAGATCGAGTTCATAAACTTAACGGATGGAATCTAGTTATTTTGTCAGTCAAAGTAATTAGATTCCATTTGATTTCTAATCTGAATAATGCAACTAATTATTTTTAATTTTTTTTCCGTCTTGTGGGGCAGTTTGAACCTATCCTGGTTGGCCCTCATTAGTAGTTAAGTAGTTATAGAACATTTTGATAAAGAAAATTATGAATTTAATTAATAGCGTAGGCATGGTGGAGGTTAGAGCCCCCTCCCCCCATGTTTTTAATTTATAAATAACAATTTTGACCTACTGTATTTGATTTATTTTTTATATTTTTTTAAATAAATTTTAAATTGTGACAAAAAACCTGTCTAAATTGTCATATTCCTTCTTTTTTTAAAAAAAAATCTACTTTGTCAATTTTATTACAAGGAAAGAATCGATAATTTATTCCTTATTTCAACGAATGGTAAGCACAGATATGCCACAAGTTTATTTGTCTGCCTTTTTATGCCTTTATTAGCTACTACCACATTTAGTCTCTCTAAAATTTTTAAAAGGTGATTGGATTTTTTTTATAATGATAATAATAGCAAAAAACTTATTTTAGTTTTATTTAATTTTTTTTAACTTGCTTTTGTGCTACTAGAATCTTAGATTTATCTTGTTTAATGAGATTTATAACATCTAATGAAGTTCATAGAATCATAAAATCCAAAAATATCTTTAATCGGTGAAAGAGAAACCTTAAAATTTGATATTTAAAATTCATCCGAAGACTTTTGGTACTGCTTTTTATTTATTGGCTGAAAAAAAAATACTGATCGATGGAACTAGTAGCTACTAATCATGCATTACATATTGTTCATTGCTTCTATAACTTTCCTTATAGCAATGATGCCAATTTATTTTTTATTTTGCCAAAAATGTTTTTCTTTTAAAATATCTACCAAACGGGTTGAAGCGGTAAAGAAGTATTGAAATACGCACTAATTATTGACATAAATTTCTGCGATAATGCTTCCAGATTGTTTAGCTTACTTTAACGATTTAAGACGTAATATCATAGTTAGTATTTGTGTTGAGTGAGAAATTGAAAGTAATAATCAGGCATTAAATATTAGCGCACGCCAGATATATAGTTTTTCATATTTTCCCATTTTACCACGATATTTATACTGTCTACCAAACATTATGATCTAAACAAAGATAAAATTTTACTGACAGTCATTTAAAATCTTAAGGTTAGCCAAATCTTGTTACAATAATTTTTTCCTTCATACTGGCTACTATACTAGTTAAAGTAAAACACTAATAAAACACAAAACATTGCTATATTTAGAATTAGGGCTTGTTCAGCCAACTTTAACGGGGATCATTATAAATACCGCCGAACATTCAATAATATTGAAGAATTTTTTATAGTAGGCACCCGATCGAAGGCCGGGAAAAAGGGGAAAAAACGGGGAAAACCCACATGATTCAATTCCTCTAGTCTTTGGTGCATGACTAATAGCATTTGAAAAACAAATCGAGGCACATTAGTCCTATCGCTTTCGGGTAATTTATTGAGAAATTTGCAAACATAATGATTCCTTACCTAATATTTTAGCATCTAATCAAATTAGAATTTGGGAATAAAGGTGGATGCGAAACCGCAAGCCATACAGCTTGAATTACTCTGGAGAATTATTTGCCTTCAGATCATTCAATCGAGCTTAATATAGCGAATGCTTTCAACTCATTTAAACCGCAACATTATAACCCATAGTTTTTCCAAAAAATATCCGAAATTCTTTAATTACATACAATCTAGCTATAGAACACTATCAATAATTAACGTTACCAAAAAGGAACAGTTTTGTCATAGTAAGGACCCCACAACAGGGTAATTCTATAGGCTCGGCCCACCCGTTCTGTTTAGCAATAAATAAAAATAAGATTAATTATGGCGTTAACCTGAATATTTAGCATCTGGATAATGCTACACTGTCGGGCCCTATAAAAGAAATAAATAAAGCTTTCAGCAACTTATCATTATTTTATAAAAAAATTTGAAATATATTCAAGAATAAAATACTCTTCTTCCATCCTAAACCATTTACTCTTATGACCAAGAATGAAATCTGTGTTCTTGGGTCACTAATAGGCGGCACAGCCATTATTCAAAAATTTCTATAAATGAACCTCCATATTCTAAGATTAAAGCAAAATATCCTTTGCCTTCACATCAAGCCTAATATATAATTAAAAACTTTTAAACGTACCCAAAATTCTTTACAGCTTCAAATCATCAGGGGCATTCCTATTTTCAGAAATTCTCCAACGAAATCAAAATCAAATCCATAATGAAAGATATTTTTAATATTAAATTTATCCAGAGAACATGGCTACAAATTACCCTCCCCGCAAAATCTGGGTGACATGGGCTACGTTCTCCTTTATTTCTATCAAACTGATCTTCCATCCGTAACCATGAACTTATTCTGCATATAATCAAACCAGCCGAAGATTTGTTACTTAATTTTTCGCTATTCACTGGTCAGCAAATGTAAAAGGGAACAAATTTTCCCACAACTCACAAAAGGATTGAGATGTAGCTATAGTGTCATGCTCCATTGATTATTAATTTTAGAGGAATGCCACAGAGCAGATTGCAAAACTCCTGTCAATGGTTATGGACAAGTTCGGCTATAAATGGCTGGACCTATTCACTAAACTATAAGATCACTTCTTACAGACACCGAATTTATTTATGTAGTGGCAACCAGGTTAGGGGTAAAAAAATATTTCTTACTGTCAAGGATATCTAGCACAAGTGAATGAAAAGCAAGACATCCTCTCCATTACCTTTCTAATATATACAAATACTTAAAGCATGAAAAAAAATAATTAAATAATAAAAAACTCGTTATTTAAAGCCGATGTCTCTTTGACGTCTAGAACCGCGAGATTACTTCAGCTATCTATAAATTCACGGCCTGGTGGATACAATTTAATTCCCTGGGATATTGGGAAACACATATAATCTAGATTTTAGGTCCATAGATATTCTTGCCCCATCTGATAATAATCTCGATCTATTAGATGTTACCGAGAAAAGATAATCACAAAAATATTGACATCTATTCGCAAACAATTTATTCATACCAATCGTGGTAACTACAAAACTGCTCATAAGGAAAAACAGGCTAAATTCCTAATCAAACGAATCAGTCAACAGGACCATAAAACAACAATTTCGAAGGTTTTTTTTATGATCAAAAATCAAATCAGCTTAGAAATTTTAAGTTTTAAATTATCCTAATACTAATGTATTCTCCCACCCTTTAGGATTAAGGGTATTCATAGTTCTTCCAAGAATGGAGGGCAGCTGTTTTAGTAAACTTCGATCCATTTTCCTCCTTGTTTACCTTGGTTATTGTAATAACTTATACAGGAAATATGCTAATTTTATTTTTATATTCAGATGAAAGTGCATCAAAATGATATATGGATATATCTTATGGACTCGCTGTAGTAATTTGAGGTGTATATTACATCATCCCCGTCGTCAGATTTAGTGACTTTTTTTTCAATGCATGTTTTTAAAATGATTTTTTTTTTTAATTTTTTGATATGTATTTTAAATTACATTTTTTTTAGTATGTTTATTTAATACATAGTTTGAACGTTACTTTTTAAATTTCTTTATATAAATATGAAATTATTTTTAATTCTACAAAAAAAAAAAAAAACTTGGTTGAACGGGGCTAGATTTCGCCAATTTTTTTATAAAAAGGCTCTAATTCAAGATTTTAGGCAGGAGCATTACCAAAGTTTGAAGATTGTTGCCTTATCGATGACAGAAAGATTATGACATCAATTTGGCAAAATAAACTAAAGAGAGTGCAAGCTCAATGCTTGTATCATACCCACCCCCTGGTATATATATATTTATATGAGGAAAACGAAATATTCGATCTTTAAAATTTCGCAATTTTTATTTTCTGATTCGGATTTTACGTTTGTCTCCAATAAAATATCGCGCGACGTAAATTCTCCAATCCTCATTTTATAACAAAGAAGTTATATACTCACAATCCTGCGTGAACAATTAAAATAAATAACAACTCATCCTAAAATTAAGTAATGTATTATATTAGCAAAATTTATAAGGTATAATACTCTCTCACCCTTTAGGGTTAGGTTTATATTACCTTTACTAAATATATGATAATATATTTCAATATACTGATAAAAAAAAGGAAGTTTACTGGCTAAATTGTGATCGGAACAAATGGTTTCGCATTCTTCCAACGTTTGAAACACATTTTCAGATATTTCGCCGCACCCAGAAAAATTGAAAGGCGTGCAAAGCCACTCTTTAAGGTTAAAATAATAGAGTTTAATGGCCTCTCCCTCGCAACCAGGTTCTGACGCTATTTGAGGTTTAGGGGAAATACACACACCTAGCAACATAGTTATTTTGTTGGAAGAAAAAAAAGACACACCGATTTAATAGTAAAAATTTATAATTCATATAGTTCAGGCAAAAAAAAAAGGCGTTAAAATATTATTTACTAAGATAACAAAAGTTACATTTTTAATTAGGCAAGAAAGCATAGGAAATTATATATTTTTAGAAAAAAACTCATTCAAAAATATTTGAGCATATAATGAATAGACAAGAAAGCATCTTGCCCAGCTTTTGATATATAAAAAAAAAAAAATAGAAATTATTCTTGAGAACATCCTGTTATATATTCATGCGCATGCGTAGTAATAAATTAATAAAAATTTGCCCTGAAAACAAAACTATAAGATTTAAATACAATTTAAACCAGCTGAACTGAATCATTAGAAATAATTATAATGTATTGTTAAACACAAAGTCAGAAATATATAGATCCCGGAAACAAATGCACATTGTGTAAAAGATTTGCAAGGCAATGCATGCATATAAAAATTTCTTATCAATTAATAATATATATTATATATATCTGTTCTCTGAGGTTACATACAAAACTATATAATACATATAATTATAATTATAATTATCAAATTTGTCTTGCAATAGAAAGTATGCTGTGAAAAATGCTAATCCCAAAATAAACCTTTTCAAACTCTAAATTTGTAATCACCCAAATTATATTGTTCAAAATAAATATTTTTTTTAAAACATTTTTAGTAACCCTTGAATAGCCCTTGAAAAATATTTGCTAATCTGTAGCTTCAAAATTTACTTTAAACATAACATAATCTTTGGCCGTTTTCAATAGCTAATAAAGTGTTGCTCGGACTAAATCAATTTCAAAATTTAAACATATCAAAAAATCTAATCAAGCCCATAGCCAGGAAACTTAAGTTGAGAGGAGGGCAAAATGGCTATTCCATCATCCCTCCATGGTTGTTTCTAATCAATAGATTTAAGATTTTCATTCTCTTCTAAATCGTGACCTAAAGACACCCTCTCGCGATTTTTCTGAATACAAGTAAATTATAAAGTGCGCGGTTCGCGAACTAATTCATGCTTTTTAAGTTTATAACGATATATATATATGTTTTTTAAGGCGACATTCAATTTGATTTATATTTTATTTTTTTTTGTGGTGCAAAATGATTAATTCATTTTACTTTTTTCTGTTGGTGGACATTTACCCTCACAATCTGGCTCTTAAATAAAAAAATATTATGAATTTGACGTTTATATCATATGTTTTTTTAATTACGTTGTATATTACACGTATAACAGTTAATATAATTACCATCGGGTCTTTTGGGTTTAGCGGATTGAGGTTTAGGAGGAGTTTCCTTGTTTAGACACACCTTTTCGCATTCCGCTAGCGTCGCGTATTTGTTACCGTTGCCTCCGCACCCGCTGTAAACGAACGGGAAGCAGGCCTTCGACTCCGTGTCAAAGTAAAATACAGGCACGCTCTCCTCACAAGTCCCCTCTATTTTGGGTAGATTGCAAGATTCTAATCATGTAAGAAAGCACAAAAAATTTAATCATATGCTTTCAAGCCAAGCTAAAATGGCATTGGTTAAATTAGTGTTGTTAAAAAGCCTGATTAGGTCGATTTTTCAAAACTGTTGGATTAAGATTTTAGCTAGAATAATAGAATGCAAGCATCGAAATTTGGCGAATAGATGTCCAAGCATTTCTACCCAGCTGTGAGCAAAATCTTTAGGCTTGCATAATGTTATTCTGGTTATAATCCTTATCTGGTCGAAATAGGGGCTTATTAACAACACTAGTTAAGATAATAGGTTATGATTTTACTTAAAGTTGAAAAAGGAAAAGGGAAAAAAGATTAAGATAATTTTTAATGATAGGCTATATGAGTAAATGACGGGAAAATAACGAACATGCCAAAAGTGAATTTGAAAGAATAAAATTTTAGATTAAAAGAAAACATCCAAGAGAACTGCTTTTCAAGTATAAATAATTGCTGGAAAAATTAAAACAATCCAAGAGAGCTTTTCAATTATAAATAATTGCTGGAAAATTTTTTTTTAAAACATCTTCTGTCTTCTATTTTTTTTAATATCCAAGGCAAAATTTACAATACTGCTAACATCTTATTCGCCCACTTTACCATTACGTCTTCACCCATTCGTGTAACTCGTAAAATAGAGTGATTTTATTGCAATATCTTTCCAACACATGCCGCATACCATTTTTTTCTTTAACATTTTCGGCCCTCCTTCCGTTCAATCATGACGTTTTTCACCATCAAAACAAATTCATCGCCATGCAATAATTGAAAAACTTCACTCACCATTTTCATCACAAATAGTTAAGATCTTTGCTGCAGCCTCAACAAATTCGAGCTCTTGGTTTCCTTCCCAGTGATTTCATACATTTTAATATGATCCCTATGTCTCTTTTCTTACACCCTCTATATCACTTTCATGATCTTCGCTTCGATATGCCCCATCCCCTTTTCCAATGGACAACTCCTTTATTTATAAACTGGAATAAACCATAATTTAAAAGAAGCCACTTCATATTTCCGCTTACTTATTTGTCATTTTTGTCGCTGCCTTTCTCCGTCTCCTGCAAAATTGTCTCATTTTTTGGAAATCCACAGCAACCCCTTTCGTATTAGTCAAAAACTAACGCTCATTAACCGATTCTCTTCACTATTTAAAACATTTGCCAGTAATTTTATAAGGCGCCATTTTAATTCTGTGTATATCATTATTTTTGATATTGAGAATTATATTATTCTTTCTTTCCCCGTTCTCCGGCTCACCACAAACTCCTGACTCTTAGTTTCTCGCGTCTTTGTGCCTCCGAGATTTTGTTCTTCTTATAGGTCGTCCCTCTTTCGTCTAAGTACAGAATTTTTCCAATTGTCATTAACACACTAATCCTGGAAACTTTAGCCGCTCTTGTAATCACCGTTATAATATCAGCTGATCTTTTTCTCCCAATCCTTTCCGCTCACGCCTCTGACAAAATATCTCCTACAACTAACGGATACTTGTAATAGAAACTTTTATCGCTATATTTATTCTTTGTATCTTTCAGCATATTTTTTTGGTTTCTCGCCAATAATTTTTATAGCTTCGCCATACTCCAAAATTCTTTTGCCCTCGCCTTTCTTCGTACCAAATCTAAAAACCTTAAGACCCCTATAACTCCATTCAAGTCCCCACCTGGAAATTCGTCTACCCCTGAAACAAGATGGCACTTCCAACAATGTAAAAAAAAAATTTCATCGTTCCCGCAACGTATGGAAACCATTTTTACCATTTGCTTTCCAGTGATCAACCCATTACTTATTGGCTCAGTTTCGCCTCCACAACCTTGTTTATCAATTTCCCTATATCACCCAGGCACAATATCAGTAACTACTTGACCACAACATTTTGCACCAATCGTATCAATCATAGTAAATAGAAAAAAAAGTCGATCTAAGTTGGGTTTTATAATCCATGTAGAATGTTATAGGGTGAAAGTAGACCTCAAATGAGAGGACCCTGCGCCAAACAGCAAGAATAGGATTGGATATTTCGAAGAAAAATTAATCAATTTCCTAGTATATATAGGCAAAAGTAATGGTGTATAAATTGTTTATTCGAGATTCAAATACAAAAATATGCATTTATTCATTTATGCTTTAATCAGTGTCTAACGATGCAAAAATTAAATAACTTTATAGTATAGGATCCTCCCCTATTTTTTAAAAATAAAATAAGATAGTTTCTAATGTCCGTGGGATATACATATTCCAATTTCCTTTTCTTCTTTCTTTTTTTTTTATAAAAGTTTTCCTGTAAATGGAGCGTAAATTTCAATTTTCATTTTTTTTTTTTTAAAGAAAAAAAAAAAATTATTATTTATTACTCTCCGGATCTAAATTAACGCAAAATTTTAGGCAATCTTCTTTGCTTTTAAAACGATTCGCGTTTCCATCGCAACCGCCGTACCAAAAACGGGCGCATTGCCCTTGTTTGCTTTCGAAATGCCAGTACATGGTAAAGTTAATGCATGATCCTTCATCAGATGGTAATGAACAGTCCTGTGGTTCTAAATTTATTTTTTATAAGCGTCATTATTATATATCGCTCCTCTTATAAAAAGAATGGGTTTTAGATAGAATATAGGTTTATTTTTATTTTTTTTAAAAAATAATAATCTTTTTTCCTTCCAATTAGGCTATATATTGTATTGGGTTAATGGTCATCTAGAATGGTTGCTTCTTTGTGAATTGATTGATTAAAACAGGAATTATGTGTAGACATGAAAAATTATAGAGGTTATTACATTATATTGTCAATTTATCTTTAATAAGACAGCTCTAATACATTGTGATATTGTGATATCTTTAAATTCTTATGAGTAGCATACTTTTAATATTAGATTATGACATCGAGAGTTTTCACATTACGAATCTAAACTTAGTCATGTAGAATATCAACACATTACTAACGATTTTTATTCATTTTCATGCGTAACACTTTTATTTTAAAATTTAAACTTATAAACTCTAAGACTACTTGTATAATTGCCATCCCCTCTCAGCGAAGTTTATAATTTGCTCAAAATCGATTAGAAGATTAACCTTTAATTTTTAAAAAATAAAATGGTTTACTTCTATCCTCATCTTTGATCATGTTCTTTTCGTGATCCGGGTGGCCACTAACCCCCGGCCTTGGGGCAGGTATGGGTGGTATGCGTTCGGATGTCGATGGTGGGGGTTCCTTACTGAGATTACGCGAGTCCGGTATATTAAGCAATTTGATGTCCGACCCTGATTTGCATTGAGGGTCGTTTGGGTTCTATTATAATTGTTTTTTTGGTTGAGTTTATTTTACGTTATATTGGAATAGAATATTAATATATATTTTATTGAATATTCTTCCCTCCTTTCCTTTCTTTCTTTCTTTCTTTCTTTCCTTCCCTCTTTTCGAGAGAAAATAAATCTGCAATGGAAATCAAACACTTTAACAAAAAATAAATATCAATTATTTATTCCTAATAAACAAAGAAATTCATTTCTCTTCAAAAACGTTTAATAAATACAAATAATGATAGTTACATTTGAAAGTTGGGTATTAAATGCAAAAGAAAATCTTATTTTTCTACTCCATTTATTGCAATCTTATCCGAAAGTTAATATATATTATATATATTATTATTGAAAATATTATATGATGATGATGGTAATAATTATGATGATAAAATGCATATTAAAAGCTTCTATTATATATAAATAATATTTATGTGACTTTCGTTAAATATTATTATAAAGAATAACTGGACTGTTGTAGCCGTTGAAAAAAAAGAAGAAATAAATTTAATATAATATATTAAATGTCAGTCATTTTCTGACAGGAGGATTAACTTTTCCTAAAGGGAGAGGAGTGAAAAGGAGTGATCACATGGGGTTTTGGGGAAGAACAATGGAGTTTTCTTTGTGTGTCCTTTGGGGTGGAGAAGACATGGAAGCTGGAATTAATTCATATTTTGGATAGTTTATGATAATTATTATTATATTTGATGACTGTTTTATATTATTAAATAGTTTATGATCTTAATTAGATATTTTTATGAATAAAATGGACGTTTACAATTGAAATATTAAATATGGACTTTTACAGGACCAAATCATTTTTCTCGAAATTTCGGCAAAATTTGTGCTAAACAATTTTAAACTCCCATATCTCTTACCAAAGGGGGTCAACGGATCCTGAAACTGATGTTTATAACACTATTAGAATTATTTATAAATTAATCTTACTAAAGTTTCGATGATGAAAAAATATTTTTAGAAATCCCATCTTTTGCTATATAATAAAATCAATTTTTAGCTGTTTTACTTTTCTTCTCAATTATAGCAAAATAAATAAAAACATAATATCCTTAATAACTTTGTTTGCCCAAAAATAGCAAGTAATCATAAAACTCTAGAGCATTACCCGCATCTTTGGCACCGTCTAAGATCTAAATATAGGCCTCGAATAATACTTAAATTATACAGTAATTTGATTGTATTGTAACAATGACTCGAAATTATATTGACTTTATCAAATCCTTAAGACCATAATTATCATCAATAGGTTTTTGTAATATTTTAAAAAGAGATTAATATATATTCTTTTTGGTTTGTCAAAAAAAAGGCTTTTTTTGAACCAAAATAATTTTAAGAAAAACATAATTGGGTTCCTAAAGAAAAGGGAACAATAGTTTTATTTAAAATGTTTCTTTGTATGTTTTGCCTAAGGAATAAGACCGTAGGTTTAAGGTTTGTGATTTAATTTTGCGAGCTAAATTTAAGGTGATAGGAGCGAACTGTCCGTTGGTCGAAGTTGCAATTGGCGAGAATATGAAATTGCTGAAGTTTTTGTATCTGGTTTACTTTTTTTCAGAGAGTAAGCAGGTTGCTATTTATATTGGTGGGGGGGGGGGGGAAGACGTTTTAGCGTTAAACAATTTCTCTGTTTTAAATAGATATGGTATTTTTTTAAAAATATATTGTGAAAAAAATGTTTCAAGGAGAAATCGAAAATATTATTTTATTTTGTTCGCGAGCCGTGATACGCGCTTTTATCGTGCCTAATATTAGGACCGTGCAGATCCACAAATTTTTTTACCTATTCGTTCCGATATTTTGCGATATTTATTATACTATAAAACCGATCCGGTGACCGATATAGATATTATAGTGCACAAATTGAGCGTAACGTAACGCATCCCTTTTGTTTTAAATTGAGGTCGCCTTTTTATTAATATCCGTCGATTCAAAATTTTAAATAAGTTCTAAAAAAAAAAAGATTTGTCTTGGCAAATTATATTATCGTCTGCCTTCTTATTTCTTTAATTTGTAAATATTCCTTTTTTAGGATAGTAGTAAGTTACTTATATATTACATTTTTATATAATATTGAAAAGCGAAGAATAAAAACTATTTATACGTTTTTTTAAATGGTTGCTAACGCCAAACAGTAATTTTACCAATTTGCCACGAGGCCATTTGAAATGCATTATTGGCGCCTTCAACGCAGCGTTTGAAGCGCTCAATTTGTGAGCACTATTAAGTCAGATTTTTATTTACCATATGTCTTCATATCGATGCCATAGAAAAATCAATATTTTCTATAGTTCTCCAAAAAATTAGTTATTTCATTTAGAATATGAGGCAATGTTTATAGGGCTTAATTGTGATGTTGTTGAACGGCTAGATTATTTAGTAGATTTTTTTTAAAAAAACAGCTAAATCAATCGCCAAATTATTACCTAAACCAATTTCGCCAATAGGTTTCCAAAACCTTTCTGCCATCTGTGGGCAAAATCTCTAAGGTTGGATAATTTACACTAAACTAAAATCTTGAGTCTGTCGTTTTCAAAAAATTGGAGAAATCTAGCAGTTAGCTAGATGTGTGTGACCTCGTTAGATCTTGTTGGAGATAATAAATAAACATAAAATAAAATATCTAATTTTTAGCTCTACACAATCTTTTAAAATATTACCATTATTTTTTTTTTACATTACAAATAAACTTGAATTTTGGATCTATCATTATTGAAATTATGTATAAAAAGGGTTAAAATATTTTGGTTTAATCATCATTTGTAGGCATTATTAAGTAAATTATAGTTTATATATATTTTTAGATTTATTAAATTTAATCTTTGTATAATAACGATGTTTTGCCATTTATGAGTTAATTTTATATTTTATAATTATGAATTTTTCGGCGTGATACTGGGAATTTATAATTTTTTTTTTTACAATTAGAAGAGCTTCCCTAATAAAAGGGAAAACGAATTGTTATGTAATTTTAAAAAAAATTTCTCTTCGATTTTATTATTGGAATGGAAAATTATTATTCCTATCATATTAATAAAGGATTACTATTATTTTGGGTTATCATACGTGTTATAAAAATTCATGCGTGGATCATAATGTATTCAAGCATGTTTGGATACCTATCTTACTAATTGTAGATAATTTTTTACCGCTTAACGTTCGAGTATATAATTTACGAGAAAATATATACGAAAAAAAACTGATATAAAATTATATTAAGTAGAAAGGTTTATGGCAAAATTATCGTGATATTCATAGGAATATGTGTATTCCAAACATGGTGGAAATACATTTCCGGTTATAACCATATTTTTAAATTTTTAAAAAAAAAACGCGCTCAAAAAAATGATTTCGCCGGGGAAAAAAAAGAAAACATTGCCCGCTAAAACATATACAAATCATACAATAAACCCTAAACAATAAATAAAAATATATCGGCCCGATCAGATATCTATAAAAATGCTAGGTATCGGTTCAGCCCTACTTTCTATAAATGAGATTCTGAGAGCGAAACAACGCTAAACCCCTTTGATAACATCAGAGACCTTATAGTGCGCACAAATTGAACGTTTTAACGCAGCGTTTCAAAACGCGAATAATAAAAACGTAAACGCAGCCATGTTTAAATTGAACCATTGATTTAGGTTTTTTATTATGATACGTCTAAATTTAAAACAAAAAAAAACAAAATGCTGTCCATATTGAACGAATGCATTTTAAAATGTATCATTTGCGTGGCGTTTTTGAAACGCTAAATTTGCGCGCACTACTGGTCTCTTGGAATGCATTGTAGATAAAAGAATTTATTTAGAAGGGGGAAGGTAGTGGGGGGAAGCTCATCTTAGCACCTCGAATTTTTTGCTAAAAAAAATTTGTATATATAGATTTCATTATTTTATTCCCGCCATTGGCTATAAAATTTTCCTTTTATTTGTTGCTAAACTTAAGTTAATTTTTGAGCGCTATGCCACGCCATTATGTAAAGGACTCGGTAAGGAATTGTTAAATAGTCTTGAGAACGAATTCGCGGATCGAAGCAAGTAGGAACCGCTCCTTCGATCATGATTAACTGATCACAAAATCTCGTATATCGTCTTTTGCGAAGTGATATTCTAATTTTTTTTAAGAAGAGTCATTTCCTAACAATTATTCATCTCAAATATATTTTTTCTTAAAATTGCTTAATTCTATGATTATAAGGCATTAAATTTATTTTATTTTTTTCCGTTATTAAAATAACAATTTTTAACAATTTTTGACATGAAATCTTTTTTTTTTAAAAGAAATCTTAATTTAAAATTAATTATTTATAAACTATAAAAAACTCAAAAAGAACGAACAAATGTCGTATTAAGTTTTGGTGACATTAGTTAATTTATGTATAGGTTCCTTTTCTTAAAAAAACTTTTTGGGAAATTAAATTATTTTTAAGTTTCTTATAATTACTGATTCCTCCATTTATTGAATAATTTTATTTCATATTATTTACACAAAATAATATAAAATTATGCGGTTAAAATCTCGTTAAAAAAAAATAAATGAGGGGAACAAATGCCATATTTGTGTGATTAATCTTACGCAACATAAAATGAGGATATTTTAAAAAAAAATTTTGATTTGCTTTGCTTTGCACATTTACAATATATAATATATATTGTTTTTAAAAAGTATGTATTTGAATTACATGAAATTCTTCTTAAAAAAAATTTAGTTTTTTTTAATAGGGATAGGATATCAAAAAAGAAGAAAAGTTTGAGAAGTGAAATTAATTAAGGCAGGTGTATTTAGTTAATATATTTATATATATTTTTATACATTGAGATTTTTAAAAAAAATACTTTAAAAAACTTAACTTTTTTCAAGAACATACAAAAACAAATAAAATTCTGTTACCATTTTAAATGTGGTAGGAAGAAAAAAAAGGAAAGGAAAGAATTTAATATTAACATTTAGAATTTTTAGAATTCATTTTTTTTTAAATAAATGAAAAATAATCTTTAAAAATATTATGCGAAATATTATAAAATTTTACCTTGATAATTTTTTTGTATTTTTTTACAAAAAAAAATAAATTATAATATACTAACTTTATAAAGATAGAAAGAAAGAGAGATTTTTTTTGAAAGAGAAGATATCCTTCGAATCAGGATATGGAAGGGAAATGGAATGGAAGGAATAACGAGGATCATCAACCTTTTTTTTCCTCAATACGTTTTTTTTTATTTTAAACATAATTTGTTACACATTTTTATGTGTGTTCGTGAGAATTATTTATTAGGCTTTCGGATTTTTTGGATAAAATGTTAAAAAATGATTAATTTTTTATATTTTAAAACTTAATTAAGTTATGAGTTTTTTTTTGTGCTTGCCTTTTTTTTGAGGTCGGGGCAGGTCTTGCCCCGGACAACTTGCGCAAAATATTTTACAGAGCCGTGCCTAAAATTGGCAAAAAATTTTGTTAAGGATAGGAAATAGCCTTATCTATGTCTTTTTTCATTAGTAATATAATTATTATGGGTCTCAGGGTGGGCAGAATTGAGTTGTGTTCATAATATCCAAAAATTAAATTTCACAAAACTTTTGAAACTTTAATGAAAAACAAATAAACAAGTTATTTTAAATACAAAAATATTAATAATGTCCAAAATATGATTCTAAAAAATAATTAACACAATAAACTCGGATTCCATTAAAATTTGTGAAAGTTTTGGAACTTTTCGAATATTTTTTTTAAAAAAAGAGAGATTTTGAACATTAGCCTTAAAAAAAGGAAATTGAAGATATGAACCAGCAAAATGAAATTTAAAAAATAATCCCAATTATACATAATTTTCTGACTGATTAAATTTGGTATAACCTTTGAAAAGTTTGATTAATTTGTTCAGTTTTGTTAGTAGGGGTCATTCGAAAACGAATATAAATCGAATATTGAATTATTAGTAAACGAATCGAATAATTTTATATTCGAATTCGGATTATTCGTAAATGAAACGAATCATTTATTATTCGAATTCGTACGAAGGTATTCGATTCAAATAATTTCCATCAAATAATTCAATACGAATAATATATCGACAAGAATTTGTTTTTTATGCACAATTTAGTTTTAAACAAACTCTGATGATGGACTAAGATTAATGCGCATGGGCAAATAAAGTTTTTTCTTTCTTCCTTTATAAAACATTCCGTTTGTTTTTTTTTGGACAGAAAATAAGTTGCGACTTGGAACTTAAATAAAACCTTTCACGATTAGTTGATAGAAGTGTACCTTTGTCAGTCATATCGCGTGTCAAATTGATAGGTCTATAGAAATGACAGTTGATTCAATTTATATTCGGAATAATTCGCTATATTGCATCAAATAATTCAATTCGAATAACACAAATTATAATTATTTATTCATATTCGAACAGAATGAGCAATTTTAATTATTTAGTATAATTCGTTAATATTCGTTATTTTTTGAATGGGCCTACCTGTGATATAGTGATTTGTAGGGCTATTAAAGACCCTAGATTTTGCTGATTTTTTTTAAAAAAAACGTATAAACCCTGCATTCATAGTTAGCGAGAATTCATGACAAAGTAATATAAAATATGATAATAAATATAATAATTTTACCATTCATTATTGTGTATGTGTAGCTAACTGCGATTGCAAGGTGTCAATTTTAGTCAAAAAAAAATATAATAATCCAAGCGTAAGAGATTTTGCCATAATAAGGACCAAAATTATCTTGCCATTTTTCGGCGAAATTCTCCTGGATTAATCCGTTTATATTTTTTAGTCGAAATAAATTTATCACGATTTACATATTTTTAGGCCTAGTTGAAAAAGTTTGAAATATAATAATAAAAATAATAATATTCTCTTTTTCTACCCAAGTATTTAGGCGCGAAAAATATATATAAAAATTCTGACTAAAGGTTTAAAATATAGTAATTATATTCCAACTAATATAATTAGGCAGACTGAAGTATTATAAAAAAAATGATAAACAATATTTCCCCAGAAAACGTCAGATGTTGTGTAAACCCTCTTCTTCTTTCTATCGCCTTACCCAAAAAGGTATATAATGTGAAGGGTTATGGAGAAATAATTTTTCACCTCGAAAAAAATAATTGCACATTTTCCTCTTATCAACTAACACCAACGTTTCAACTTCGCATAGATAGTTAGAATCTTTGTAAAAAAAATTTATTTTAGGCCCAATCCCGGCCCGGTTTTTTTAAATATTAAAATTGTATCTGGCTTGCAAGTCTATAAACGAAAATCCGATTTAATATATTTATATTTTAAAAAAATATTATAATTTTCATTCGTTCGAATTTAGATCTTGACATGAGATGACGATATCTTTAAAATGGGCTTAAAAATATGATGTTTTTTTAAGTCTAAAAATTACTATCCAGACAATTTAGAAATTTTTAAAAGGAATATATTTAACAATACCACTAGGAAGCCCTTTTAACTCGTAATTAAAAGTTAATAACCCATATAAGGCCTATAATTTTGTTTAAAATAATTTATAACCCCCTCACTTCCCCCCCTTCTTCAGTTCTCTTAGTTTTTAAAAAATGACATTTGTGAAGCAATATATATATTTTCTTTAAATTTTCAATCAATCAATAATTTGAGAGAAGAGAAATGATTAATCATTACGTAGTGTTGTTAAACGGTTCGTTATGAGCCGATTTTTAAAAATGACTAACTCAATATTTCATCCAGAAAAATCTTACGCAAGTCTGAAGATTTTGTTTATAGAAGGAACAATGGCCTAGACATATATATTATCAAAATATCGAAGCTGATAATCAATAATTTTTTTTCTGCCTAAAATATTGAGTTAGCAGCCGTTTAACGACTCTTAATCATTAGATTTCTAAATAAATTTTCCGATTACAAAGTGAAATTGTAATATATCGTAAGAATAATATATTACGCCATTTACTAATTACAAAATACGTATAATATACCTGAACGAAAATAATTTGATTAAATAAATAAATGGATGTTTTTTTTTCTTGCCTTTTTTTTCCTCCCTAACATAAGTCATTATTATACCTCACTCAAAATACTACAATTGGATAGGGCGTAGTCCCGTTCATCTTAATAACTATACATCTGAGTTTACCCTTGAGAAGAAAAAAAAATTGACAGGGGAGAGGCCCCCATATAATTCACGTTCGCTCATTTTGGGCCGGTCTGAACATGCTAGAAAAGAGAGATAAGTTTAGACCGAACCATTCCCATTATTTTATTTTTGAAATAAAATATAGTTATGTAACATTCAAAATATGAAGGAAGAAATATTTTTTAGGGTTAAAAAAAAAAGGTAATCAAACTTTTTGGCAGTCGATAGCAGCTCCAGCTACGTATAAGGAATTAGAAATGCAGGATGCTATTAGAAGAGAGATGAATAACATGTGACGAATATTGTAGTTAGTTCTCAGCAGACTGTTACACGGCGAAGCGAAGGGTGACGCGGTTTTCTCATTTGTGTCGATGTTCTTGCCTCGGCGACTACCGATCGATTTTGGGAAATCCATTTTGGATAATATGATCTGATCGGAAAAAAATGTAAACCTTCCAGCTTCTTCGGACCAGCTATTTTCTTTCATGGCAGTGTCGGGACTTGCCCTATTTCCGGGAAGAAGATTTTATATTTTTATTAAATAATATAGGGTAAAAAAAAGAAAGATTATTTTTCGCTAATGAAATTATATTGTCGCAAAAAAAATAAAAATTATTCTCAAAAAGAATTTTTCGATGGGTTATATTGATAAAACAAATTAATAATAATAACTGGAGTTGATGATATATTTTATTAATTTTTTTTTTAAAAAACTTAAATCAATTTACTGGATTACGATATTTATATTTATTTATTATTTGTGATTTGGGGAAGAAAAGTAGTAAAATTTAAAGCAATTTTAATATTAATTTTTATTATTTTTTGTGAATTAAATATTATATAAAATAATAAATGTTTAAATATATTTTTTGCATAATAAAACAGATACAGATAGTTACTTTAACTAATAACAAAAAAAAAATACTTTACTTTTCATAATGCAAAATGCAATTACAAAGAATGAAGAAGAAAAACAGGCTTTGAAAAGAAGGCTGAAATAAAAAAATTAGAAGAAAGTATTATATAAGCAAATTTAAAATACGTTTATTTGTATAAAAGAATCTTGAAATATTTTTTTTTCGCAATTGCAATATGGGCATTTCCTAGTATATAATAAGTAATTAATGTGTCTATTTTTTTTTATAAAAAATTATATAAACAATTTTTCCTTTTATTTTTTTTCTTCTTTTCTATTTTTATTTTTATATAAATTTTTATCTCTTTTTAAGTATGGCACATTCATCGGATCGAGGGAAGTGAAATTAATTATATTATGTATACGGTGTTTTAAATTAACCTTTTTTTTATTGGACAAAAACTAAGGTCCCTTTTTTGATAAAAAAACAAAAAATATTCTAACTTTTATCCATGTTAATTTTATTATTTATAGCTTATCAATTCATTAATACGCACTATAGCAATTATAAACGTCGCTTCAAAAAGACCAGATTGTTGCCGTAACTGATAATTACATATTAATATTATTTATTATTATTTTGAAAAAATATTAATCAGAATCAGAACGGACATATGAGTTTCATTAAGAAAGCCATGTATTTATTTTATTAAATATTCTGAATAATTCTCAATTCTACCAAGCACGGAAAGTTTATAATAAGAAATAGAATGCGTTTTAATATTGAAAAAAATCTATTTGGACCTGGAATTAAACCAATTACTGTGTAATTTCATACGAATCCTTATATCTTTGAAGTATCTAAGCAAATATATACGCAATTTTATTAAAGATGATAACCGACATTATTAATTTGGACAATTAAAATTCAATTATCAATTCCTTAATAAAATGCCATCTAGAAAAAACAATATCTGTTTTGAATTAGAAATTTATTTCTAAATTTCAGCCCACCCTTAGCTTGGGGACTTTGTAGCAATGATAAAAAATACTAGTTGGATAAAACTATTAGGCACTCTAAGTCTTGATAATTATTTACCTTAGAAAATATAAAGATACACTTTCTACATTTAGATATTTTTTTATAGCACAATTTTTTTATTAAAACAAAAGATAAATATAATAAAGTAAAGTTTAAAATAGGTTAAATTTATATTGTTTTTTTAAAAAAAAATCTTCTTTTATATCAAACAAAAACGCGTAATTATCCTTGAAAAATGTTTAAAAAAAAATTTTTAATATATGATGTAAATAATAATAAATTTTCTTCTTTTCCAAAAAAGCCCCTCTCCAAATTTGCCATCATTATCAGCCTATATATTTTTTTTAATACTAAAAAAATACATTGTTCCGAACGAAAGAGAGTTATAACTTCGGTTAACTCATACCGGTCCAAGGATTAAACAGCTTCTTCTTTTTTTGGATGATCTGGGAACCAAATGGAAGATTTTCCAATTCCACTTATTTTATGGTAACAGTAAGAGTTATAACTAGTGAGTGAAATATTAGATTAATGAATGGCTAGTACCCTTAATTCACGGTTAGCGCAAATTCGCCGCGAAGTATGAATTAGGGGTTACATTCCGACTAATTTTACTGGAATCTACAGACGTCGGTCGAAGAAAATCCACTCAACATCTTTCTCATAAGGTGAATTACATTTTCTAAAAACTAGTTTTAGCCGGCTAACTACCCAACTAAAATTAGTAAGTAGATTCTTCCTTCGTGGTAAGTGCAAAATGGTATATCCTATACCATCCATCATCTCCTTAAATCTAAAGTACAATTTTAAAGATGGATAGATTATTCAATATATTATTTTTTTAATGCGCATGTCAGAAGGCTACACCGAAACGACTATTTTTTTTCTTTTCAAGAGTTTAAAGATATTTCCCCATTTTCTACTTCTTTCCTCCAGCTGACCTAGGTCTTTTTATCACGTGAGCTTACACTTGTATCTCGCTTATTTTGAATTGAGTGGTCGAGACACGGGATAAAAATTTATTTAATAAAATTTTTTTTAGCCCGATTGACAGCTTTCGCTGACCTTCATTTTGAATGCGCCCCTTGCGGGAGCGGGAGCTTGCTCCCTTTAGGGCTGGAGTGAAGGAGCACCGCTCCACCGCTCCTTTAAATTTAATGTATAATTTAAATTATTTTTTAAATATTAATTCTATCTGTTAATTAAAATTCAATAAAAATGAAATTTTAATTTTATTTTAAATTTATGCATTATTAAATGTTTAGCCGAGATTTATATTGGTTTTTCATCTGATCATTTTAAATATTAAACATCAAGTTTTTCCTTTTTATATCGAAATTTTTTGGAAAATCTTGTAAGTCATATCAATATTCATTTTATAGATAAATAATAAAAAATAGTTTTACATATCATGGATTTAGAGATCATAGATGAAGAAATAGAATTTCCATTCCATCATACAAAAAATATTTTAAACTTCTAAAAGATGTTTATCCAAACAAACAAATTTAAGGGCAAAATGCCTTTTGTGTTTAAATAAAACTATTTAATTTTCAAAAGTGAGCAGCTACAATAAAAAAGTATCTAAAAGTAAAAAATCTTTCTTTTAAATACAAAATGATTTTGTGAATTTCATGAAATTAATCATCAGGAAGATAATATATTGGACATATATTTTTTAAATAATGTTACCAAAATTACTATTTTTGATAAATTCCATGAATTAAAAAATATCTTTATAAAATACAACACCCTTCCCTCTAGTGCTCCTGTGGAGCGCCTATTTAGTATTGCAAGAGGTCTTGGGGGAGAGGCGTGGATGTTTGTTAGATTCTAATTCAAAAAATTTATTACATTTAAAAGCTAATACAAGGTTATAAATATTTTGATAGATTATTTAATATAAATAAAGCTTTTTGATAAAAATAATATGTTTGTTTCGTATATCTTCTAAAAAAAAAGAAGGAAAATCAAAGGAGCGGTTATGGAGTGGCACTCCATTACTTGGAGCGGGAGCTAGCTCCTTTTAAAAATGTAGAACGAAGGAGCTAGCTCCTTTTGAGAAGGTAGGAGCGGGAGCTAGCTACTTTTAAAAAGGAGCGTTAACAACTCTGCTATATTCCAATGCCCATTCTATATATTTTAGATTTATCTTCCTTCTCTTTTTTTTTGTTGTTGTAATTTTTTTAAAATTTTCGCAACAATTACAAATAACACAAATAGGCAAAATGAAAAAATCTAATAATAAATGCGAGCTAAATATTTTATCAATTAAAATAAATATAGATTATTACCGATCCCAATAATTATAAAAAAACACAGCATATTGTGTATATTATTTTTAATTGGGGCAACATAAGTTCATATCAAAAATCTGTTTTCTAAATAAAAAAAAGAGAGAAAATTATTATTTCATGTTTTAAATATTTTATTTTGGGAAATTTTTTTAGGAATAACCGGTAATGTTTCTAATTATATTTATTTTATTTTTTCGATGATTTGTTTAAAAATAATCTCAATATTTTAATATAATGTATATGGGAAAATGATGGATAATATTCCAATCCAAATCCATCGTGTAACATTATACATCTTATTTAATAAATAACAAATGCTTCCAAAACTTTTAAAGAAATCGAAAAGAGGAAAATTTCGTTTTATTATTTTTTTCCTTTTTCACTGTTTAATATTATTTCTTTTCCCATCTTTCCTTGTATCTTCTCTTCTTATATTCTTGTTGGCTGACCTATACAAATGAAATTCGGTCCAATTATGATTGGGTTAAATTGTTTAATTTTTTTAATCTAAATGATAAACGAACAAAAGCAGAACCACTTTGAAGTTAGATATAGGTTAAGTTTAGCTGAACCCTAGTTTTTATATTTATATAAGGACTTCAAAAAGTAATAAATATACATGGCCTAGCAAATGGATCAATTACCGTGATACGAGCGCCTAGCTAGCGATACCCCGCCACCCCCAGTAGCAGACATTTTTGAAAAAAAATATAAAAGGTTTTCATGAATTGTGAATTTCAAAAGTATTCTATCTCGAATAGGTTATTATTCTATTTTAACTATTAGCAAAAAGTTAAAATTAATTTAAATATTTATTTATTCAACGCGTCATCGAGAAGGTTAGAGTGGCTACGATTTCCAAAGAGATCAGGAGAGCAGTTAGGAGCTCCATGACTATAGAAGACATATATAATCTAGGTCTAGAGATATCAGGTAGTCAAATGATATCAAAGGCGGGGTGAAAGCAGAAGCCATACATATGAATGGATAACCTGGAATACAAGAGGTTAATTACATGGGCAGAGCTAAAAAAAGCCATGAGACACAAGTTTATTTTCTTACATTTATTTATAAACGGTAAACACTGATGATGGGTATAAGAAAATTTTATCAACCCAAAAAAAAATTCTATACCATTATAGAGTTTAATGAGATGTTCAGATATCCCAGACAGATAGAATTTACTGAATATAATTATTTCTGTTTTTTTGTGCTTCGGGGAAAAAAAGAAATTGCAAAATGAATGCCCGACAAGATGGAGCCTTCGATATCAAGCTGTTACAGCATTTTTTGGATCTGGAAGTGTTTATTTTTGAATGCGGACAGGCGCGTACGCAGGAGTTTGGTCTGGGGGGGGGGGGGGGGATAATAAATTTTTTTAAGAAATATTATTGTTATTTAAAAATATCAAGCATAAATTTATTAGGACTAATAACTATTTCTAATACACAATTTTAAATTATATGAATTATAAAAAAATTATATATATAAACCGGCACATAAAAAACTTTAAAATAAATGTGAAATTAAAAAATATAAAGTGAATATAACCACCACATGAATCACTTAAATGACCCAAGATAGAAATTTGAATTTTTTGAGCCTTTAAAATTTATATATAAAGTAAAAAAAATTTTAATGTTGGAAATATAAATATTAATACACAAAAAGTTTCTTAGGAATAATTGTATTTTGTATTATATTTACAATGTAAAATCCAATCTTCGTTGGGATTGAGCTAATTTTTCAATTACTCATCCTTGCTTGGCGTCAAATGCCTATAAATATTTAAAAGATCCAAACCATTCAATCCACTTTCAGAAGTTGTACTTCTTATGTTTTCAGAGAACTGCAGGCCCGGTTCCCGGACCGGACCTTATTTTAATTTTTTCACCTAGGCAGGGCCCGTTTTTTTTTAAAAATAAACCCAGGTCGGGCCTGAATTTTTTTAAAAAAAATTATCCGGGCCCGGCTATATATTTTAAAACCAAATATTTAAAATTAGCTATAAAAATAAAAAATTATTTTAAAATATCCTGGCCGAACCTGAAAAATTTAATTTAAAAAAACCTTGGCCGGGCCGAAAATAAAATTTTTGAAAATAAATCCAGGCCGTGCCCTGCAAATTGTATCTCTGCGGGGCTCTGTTATTCTTCTTAAAAAAGAGAATGTTCTCTCATTAGTTTACTAATGCGAAGAGTTGCTAATATATATAATCATTTTAATACATTGGGAATAAAATCTAAAATATGTTTGAAATTATACAAAGCATCCATAGCATTTTTTGGGACTATATCTTAGTTAATCTTTTAAACATAATCACCATCTGAAAAAGATTGGGAAGGCTTTTGTAGAAGTAATATCTGCAGATTGGTAAGTGCTGCATCATGAATTAAAAACCATTCATTTATTTGGATTATAGTTTTATAATACTTTTCTACTGATCTTATGCTAATGTTTTGACGATGAGCTTGCCTCGCTGTAAATCGAGTGAGACAAATATTAAACACGTATAGCTCTCCTTTTGACTCAACAATAACATATAAAATATGAAATTCTTCATCAACTTTAGCCCTTAATGATTAGTTCTAATAAATTTAGTATGATGATTGTAAGTTCTAATATATTTTTAATGCTCCCTAAAAAAAATCATTTCATTATATTTAAGAAAAATTAACCCACTATCCCACTCCCCTCAAAGAAAATTTCTAGCTACGCGCCTGCCACAATATCACTCAAAAATTGAATGATTATTAAATATTTTTTGTTAGCCCTTCAACTCAACACCCAGCCTAACGATATTTTGGGTTATAAAAATTAGTTAATACACTAAGCAGGAATTAAATAGTGACCTGAACCACATATCTCTGCATCTAAATTATATTTATTTTATCTTTCTGATAATTATGTTTAATTTTTCTTCTACTTATTTTGCTATAATAACTATTTTTATATATATATATATATATATATAAAGAGACAGTGCTAAAACTTTTTTATTTATTTTTTTGAATTTTAACCATTGTAATCAAAAGTAAAAGAGAACAAAATTAAATTAAAAGATGTGCAATTCTTTTATCTACAAAATGACATAAAGTGGAGCTCTATTACCTATAAAACTTTAGGAGCTATGATTAATTATGTGAAATCCAGCATTTTCACTAGTGGCTCCACCAGGGTAAAGGTGGTAAAAATAACATTGAAAACAACTTTATTGCTTTATTCAGGGATTTGAACCGAACCCGGACCCGGAGAAGAAAACCCGGGTTTTTGAAAAAAAATTTAAAACCGAACCGAACCTGAACCCCGTTTATAAAACTTTCAAAACTCCTAACCGAACCCGGGAATTTTATTTGAGATCTGAACACGGAACAAAACCCGGGTACAAAAATATTTCCCTAAACCGAACCCTAACCGATATCTTGCAAAAATTTTGCCGGGTTCGCACCCCTGGTTTTAATATAACAAAATTTAACAATTTCGACATTTATGTATTATTTTTTATTATGAACTATTCAAATACAATAAGGTTCATTTTAAGATATTATTAAAATTTGCATATTTAGAATGGACTTATCTTAGGTATGCATCCTACATTTTAACTATTATTCTTTACGTCTACACGTAAAATATTTTTATATAAACTCAATTTCCCTTAATGTTTGCTAAATAATTTATTTTTTATTATAGAGTAGATGCTAGTATTTTAGAATTTTCTGTTATATAGCTTTTTATCTAAAAGGATATATTCTAACCTTTTTACCCATAGCCATTTTAACCTTATGATCGTTATTGCCTGACTTTTAGCTATGATTTAAATATCTACTAACATTTATTTTTATAGTTGAGACTTTCAAGAAACATATACAAAATTTTAAAATGAATATATGTATATATTTCTAAAATAAATACCAGGGGATTTCAGGAATATTTTGCAAAAGATATTTAGGTAAGAAATTATTTTTAAAAAAAATGCATCTTCCACACCAAATTTAATGTCTTTATGTTCAAGGGTTGAAAATTTATTCGCCACAACATTTTTACCAGGTCAAACGCTCCCTCTGTCTCTTTACTGGCTACTAAACTTATTGAATTACTAAACTTATTGAATTACTAAACTTATGGAATTACTAAAATATATTAAATAAAGCCCAAATATTAGCATAGGTTAACAGAATTGACGCTTTTAGGCTTACAAATTTTATCACCCGTGTTTTAGAGAATCATTAAAATTTCCAAAAAAAATTAAGTTGCAGATTTCCCTGGAAATCTACCGGTCAAATTTTATAAGCATTCACTCTTCTCTAGGGTGATTTGTAACCTTTTTTTAAACATTTTATAATTTTTTTTATCCCATTTCTAATTTGTACATACATATTTTTTAATTCATTTTTTATAATCAGAGTTTTTATATATTTTTTTAATTATAATTCGTAAATGAAAAATTTGTTACTTAAATAAAACTATATGATTTGTTAATAATTAATTAACTTAATATAAATTTATCTATTTTTTTTATTTATACGAAAATTGTGAAAAATTAAATTCGTTATGTAGGATACCATCTGTAAAAAAATTTTAATATTCAATTATTTTTATTTTTTTTTAAATGTGATTTTAATAAAAGAAAAGTGGGATAGAAAAATTTGGTTATTTCTTTATTAATTATAATACGATTCTATAAAATTAAAAACTTTAATAGTCTAACCATTCACCTTGATAAGGTAGCTTTTAAACATAAACGATTTAACAAATTTTATTATTATTATTATGATTCCTGATGATATAATCATATGTTCTAGGCGCCTACATATGACCAATTTATTTCGGTTCAGCCCAATCCTTAATTTTAAAAAATAATTTCAGCACCCAATACGATCCGACAAAAAAAAACATTACGAAAAATATTGAACTGTGGAAAAAATACGATTTTTATTGGAGAACGAAAATAAACGATAGCGAATTTTTTAAGGTTTATAAAGGTATTATAAACACCAAATACTATAAATTTTACCTAGTCTTTACATTTCGTTATTGTATTTATTGATTAGTACTTGAAAAGAAATAAATAGATATCAAATATGGAAATATTTCGTTCAATGTATATAACTATAAAGTCGCGCTTAATTATATTTTTAACCACATCACCCTGGTGCTTTAGCCATTTTGCCCCGGGTACGGGGTAAACTAGCACACTTCGGGTAAGTAATCACAGCCTCCTAGAATATTATAGATAGAGAGCCAAACTTCCTCTTTTTTTCTATTTTGTAGGCGAATGATTTGGACTACATACAAAATCAATTTGGTATATTTAGCTCATGTTTTCAATTTTTATGGTAAAAAATGTGCAACAAAATACCAAATCGTTTTACCCCAGTTTCTCCTCAACTGATAAATTATATAATATAGTTTTAAATTAAGAAAATATACAAAGACATATACAAATTTAATCATTGTGAATTGGAGATGATCATCAAATTTCGAATAAATACCTTTAAATTTAAAATAACCTTTTTTCCATATTTTAAAATAAATTTCTGGTTTTAAATAAATGGTGTATTATGCACAACATAAATTAAACCTCTTTTCGTTAAGAAATAATTTTTCTAATTAAAAAATAATATGCAACTAATTAAGATGTTAATTAATATGTTTTTATTTTGAAATACATATAAAAATTAAAAATTTAAATAATTAATAATTTTCATCTTTATTCATTCAATATACCTTTTTTCTTCAATCCTAGAAGAATTATGATAGACTTACTCGAATAATTTAACCTTTTTTTTAGACCGGCTTACTGATAAAAGTAATTAAGCGAGAACCGAACCCTATTTTAAATTTTATTTTAATCCCCGTGAACACGTCAGTTTAGCCCAATTTAATGGTCAAGATTTTTCTAGTGGATAAAAATACTCAATTTTTTCAAATTATATAGATTAATGTTCAAATATGATATTCTAATATAACATAAATTTAACATCAAAGCCTTATAAATTAATTTTTTAATGTTAAAACTTCATTTTTAAAAAAAATGTAAGATGTTTATCTATTTTTAAAATGAATATAATTAATATTTCATCGATTCATCATAACCCGCATATATAAAATGTGCTTAGTTTCAAAATCGAGTCTTGTTTACATCTAAATTACAATATAAGAAAACAGAACCTTTTTTATTATTATTATTATTGAGTGTCATCTTTTATCATGCAATTTGAAAAAAAAAATTGTTCCAAGGTTATATAACATTTTTTTTAAAAAAATAATAAGTTTTGTGGAGTAATAACGTTCCATTTTGGCATTTCTTTTAAAATTATAAACAAATATTCATATTTCCATAAATATAACTTCTTCTTTTTTTAAAGATTTTATCGTCGAATATAATTTTTTTTTTAGACATTCATCACTTAACCCGCAAAGCAAATAATAGTAAAAATAAGCTATAATTACGATGAGGTAATATCGCGCGGAAGAATCTAAATAATATATAAAAAATGAGATTCTGATTTAACACGAAGTCCAAAAATCTTTAATTAATAAAATGACAAATTTTTATATTTTTACTTTTATTATTTTATAAAAATATTTTTTTCAAAAACTTTGTTTTTCTTTTATCCAATTCAATTCATAATGTACAAATCAAATCAATTTAAATATATTTTTAGGGGTCTTATAATTTTTTAAAGCTCTGTAAATTTGACTAGAATATAGCGAATTAATTATGTATTTTTTTTATAAAGCTTTTTAATCTCAAACGATTTAATATTCGCGACTCGTTATAACCACCGAATATTTTATGTTCCCAGAACTGTCCCTGAAAGAAACTTTCATGGTGGGCCTAGTGCCGTGATTGATGCTAAAAATGCCGAAACCTCCTTTATGATCGAACCGAAATTTAAAGCATCCTTTAGGATTGGATTTCATGTTTTTGGCGCTTCTTGATAACTTGGATCCGGAACCGATGATGAAATAGTTCAAATTTTGGGAAGGTTCCGCTAAGTGCTTTTTTCGGAATAAGTTAATAAGTATGAGAAGAATAGGAGTTGTTTTAAAATTGTAAGAAGAAAGGAATAATTAAAAACTAGTGCTATAATGTAACATCGATGAAAGAAATGTCGTTACCAATGGCGATACTTTTTTTGAGGAAAATGAATTGTTACTCGCTTCAAAAGGTAAGGGTAACGAAACGCAGTTACTCGTTACTGTAGATTTATTTTTATTAAAAAATAATGGAACATATTATATTTTTATTTTTTTTTTTAAATTTTATAATTAATTTGAGCCGAGTTTTTAATTTCAGATCAACCACTAAAGTTCTTCAATTTTATTGTTGAATTTTATGGTCAATATTGTTAATTTTCATTTAATATTGAATCAATCAAGGTATGTTAATTTATATTCTCAAATTTTAAATAGAATAATAGAATGTATATTAACAACTATGGTAACTTATTTCTTCTGATGAAGATGATTTTACTCTTTTCCCTGACCCCAGCATGAAACATTACAAATATAAAGGAAAGGTTTCTTTAAATAAACACACAACCCAGATTAATTTCCGGTAAAAGATATATAAAAAAATTGAAGGTAATCTGAATGAAAATTCTTTTGTTTTTTTTTTGAAATAAAGACCATTCTTTAAACAAATTCTCCCAAATTGAAATTTTTATATATTTCAACATAACTTTCTCATCTTCCGTGATAGTAACGTTTGTTTAACACAAAGAAAGCTGTGTTGAGCACTAAAGTTGTTTTATTTGATCAAAATTTTTTAAAATCATTTAAAAGCAATTTAGGAATTATTACAAAAAGATCTCCATCGTATATTATATTTATTTTCGCGTAATTTTACTTTTATTATCTTTTTGGGGAAAAAAAACGATTGAAAGAAAATTTATATATAATATTTCGTCTTTTTTTTTTAAAGTAACGAGTAACCCTATACTTTTTGTTAATATCTAGTAACGCCATCTTTCACAAAGTAACAGTAACGCGTTCTTTCAAATGTAACGAATGGCTCGTTTTTTTTTGAAGTAACGTTTACCACACTAATTATAATATCTCTTTTTTTCCCTACTTTTATTTTTAAACAAAATTTATCTTTACCTGAAAACTGTGGTCATGCCCGCTTATATAGGCGGAAACATTATATTTGAGAAGTTTCGGTCTCAGCGATTTGAGGAGACATTTGGTGGGGCCATGACTTCCGGTAGAATACACGGGATGGTGACCATTCACTAGTAAAATATCGGCCCTTTTAATTATAAAATTATATGGTATATAATTAGGAATGATGGTAATTACTAACTAATTAGCATTTTATGTACCATTGAAAGATTGCTCAAATAATGTCCGACATTGAAGCTTTCGCGATACTTGTTAACATTTTAATAAATTTAAAAGAACAAAACTAGGAATCAGAGATCCAGAAAGTTCTTACAGTGATATGAGACAAATACACATTTAGAGGTGAATGGCCTATTAACCGCGCATGAATACATGTATTTTGTCGATTACTTACAATAATTCAGTTAACAAATCTATTATTTTATTTAATTTGCCTCCCCTCAATATACACCTTACTGTGATAATATAGTATTGCAAGGTTAGGTTACAGATGTCCACAAAATCAATATTTATGGAGTATATCTTATAGGATATGATGCAGAAACAGCTGATTGATTTCATATGATTTCGGTGATCGATTCTCAATAAACGCATCTAAAAATTATCTGCTTATGTATTAATTTAAAAATATCACAGAATCATTTTTATAAGGGATATTTTGAATATTTATAAATAATATGGCCACCAATCATTTTGAAGTGGTTAAAAACAAAATAAGGTTATGCAATTCAAAAGATGGACATCAATAAAATAGAAGCCGATTTAATATAAGTTATAGATATTAGTGATAGAGATCGGACCTATTTTTCCAAACCCGGCCCCACCCGGCCCCAATTTGTTTAAATATGGAAATTAATTTTTATAATTACTCAAAATAAAAGAGATATGTTTGTTATATGACATCTAGTTTCTATAAATAAAATCAAATATTTTTATTTTGCATAAAAAATTCAATATAAAATTGATAAATTTAGATATATTTAAATAAAATTTCAAGGCCCAACTCGACCCGGCCCAAATTTTTTCAAACAATATTAGGCCCGACCAGGCTCGAACCCGAATTTTATGGCTGGGCTCGGGCAGGGTACGGGTCCTACTTTTGCAAATCTCTAATAGATATCATGATAACGATTTTTCTATTAAATTTTATGGATATTTTAAATATATATAAACATGGCCGCCAATATATTTAAGGTGCCATAATATAAAACACAATTGATTATTAGGTATTCAAATCATATTGCTACATATCCGTTGTCAAATGAATTATTATTAGTGTAATCCTGGGACATCAGGACCAAAAAATTAGTATTAGGAAATTGGTGAATGAGGCATAGCGTCAGTCGTCATTTATGTATTTTCCATATAATATTCGATAACTCGTAAATTATCATATTATAAATCCTGAGTTATTGAATTGCAGATGTGACTTAGAAGTTTTGTATATATATTGACTGAGACACAGCATCACCCGGGTCAGGAACGGGACCAATTCTTTTTGTGAAAACAACACATTGGACAAGGTTAAGGGTTCGATTAGAACTATGGAAAGAACGATAGGATGGAAAATCCTATGAGGTTGGGAAACACGGGTTTCAAGGTTTCTATCATCTGTAAGAGATATAGGGTAGCCTCGAGATTTCGTTAATAGAAGCCCAAACCTTTGTGCCATCTGTGAGATAAATATTCAGGCTTGCGTAAAAATTTTTCTGAATGATATATTGAGTTAGCCATTTTTAAAAATCGCCATAAATCGAGACGTTTAGCAACACTAAGGGTAGGGCTAAAGTTTATATAATAATAGTTTTGGCTGTTGTAGTTGACCGTCGCTTTATATCATTAAGAGAAATATAGGGTGTTCAGGAGTTTCCAGTACAGTTTTAGTGCAATTGGCGTTCTCGTAAAATATTTTGACTTTTTGAAACGTTCCGAATAAAATCTGAAAGGGACAGGAGCACACATTTTTTATCTAAGGAACTGATATTGGAAACGGGTACCAAAATGTCAACGGAATACTTTAAATTTAGGGTAACTGAAATAAAGTAAAACAAAAAACAAAGAGTCCATTTATCCGGTATCTTGAGGTTAACAAAAATGTTCCATGAGGTTGAACAAAACTAATCTAAAATTGAATAGTTTTGTTCTCAACTAAGATCAAATAAACAAAAGGTGAAAGTAATCATGATCATTTAAGTATATATACAAAAATAACATCAATTTAATATTAAATAAAAATCATTGTATAACTTTTCAAAACACATCAATTTAATATTAAATATAATATAATATATCGTTTTAAGCCTTAAGTCTTCTACAATACAAAATCCATTAATAAACATTGTCACTTGTAACAGATAGAATTGTTTAAAATAAGATGCGAAAGCTTTGACTAGATGACAAACCGAGATTATTTAATATAACCCTGGTATGCCTACTTTATGATCATAGATTTAATAATCTAATAATGATTCATATAAGACGCTAATTGGAAACACTAGGAGTAATTTAAAAGTTACTTTTCACATATAGATCTAGATATCTATACCGACAAATGAGCAAAAGATATCTACCACACTCTTTCATGGAATGTATCAAGTTATAGATACAATGGTGTATGAAAATGTCGGAATAACTGATTTACTCAAAATCTTTAGAAGACATGGAAAATTTTTTACTAATTTAGAATTTTTGTTTTCATCGTATTTAAAAATAGTCTTTGTAATTTGATCAAGGAAATTCAATAGTTTGATTTTGTTTTTTCCTTCTTCATAATCATCTATATTCTAAAATAGCAATCACTTCATATCGCAATCTCATGGATAATTTTTTTTTCTTGTTTGAAGAGAATTGTAAGGAAATAAAAACTTTTAAACTTGAAAAATCTATTACAAAAATGTAATAGAATTAAATATTTTTAATAATAAAAAAAAACATAAAAAAATAAGCTTATAATATCTGAAAAATATATGTTATTTGAAACTGAACTGGTAGATATAACTATATTTCAAAAACTATACAGATGATACATTAAATACAAAGATACAGGAAACTATTTAGACAACCAATTAGTTATAGATGCATGTATAGATATACCCTAACATCTCTGCAACTAGACAATGTTTTATCAATTGTCGAAAATTTAATCAAACAAAAATAAGCAACTAAGCAATGTAATAAATTATATATATTCTATTACTTGGAATTGGAGAGAACCGTGTCTAGCCAAAGGTTCTGTAGAGATCTTGTATAATCGTTAATGTACTTACGACCTTCCCCCGATATCTTTGGAGGGCTGGGATAACACATAACAACGGTGTCTATTATGACTAACTGTAAAGTGATATTCCTTAGATGTTTATTAGTGACTCCTGGGCTTATCCGGTAAATCTTAGTGTAAAATAATTGGGGAAATACCCTATATTTTTTTTTATAAAATGGATAATATTTTCAAACATTTAAACATTATAAATTAAATTATTAGAGAAAGATGAAATTAAAATTTAAATATACAAACCAAAATAGGGTGTCGTCCTAGTTTATCTGTTCAATGAAATTAAGCAGAATACGGCCTATAGATTTAATTTAAATATTGTCATCCCTTTTCTTTATTTATAGATCTAGCTATGTTTTTGTTAAATTTATTTTATACTGTCCTAATAATCTTTAGGATATATATTAATAATATACATATTTTTAAAAATTTTATTTAGACATTACTTTTTATAGTTAATAATGTGAGAAGTAAGATTTGATAATCATTGGAGAAGATAATGAGAGTAGAATATAATAAAAGAACTCTTGACAAGAAGTAAGAAACCTTGGAAAGATGTAATAATTTGTAAAGTAATTGATTAGGAATCCAAAATGAAATAAATTATAAAAATAAGTAATTACCCTTTTAATAATCTTTATTCATAGAATAATCATAATTACGTCCCGTAAGTAAAAGGTATAAACAAAGAAATTATAAAAATTAAAAGTCAAAATAATATATTACAATTTATCTTCCAAAAATTAAAAAGTGGCAAGTATACAATACAAACATCGAAATATCAAATCATAAAAAATATAACTTTCTTTTAAAATTAACATACTCTTTTCCTGTTTTTTTCTTATTAAAAATACGTAAAAATCAGAGTTGTTAAACGCTATTTTTAAAAGTAGCGCGCTACTGCTATAGCTATTTGCCAAAAAAAGAGCTACTTTTAAGCTACTTTTTATAAAAAAAATTTTAGAAACAAATGAAACAAATTTTTTTTATTTTTTTTTGCTTATAATGTAAATGTATAATAAATAATATATAAAAATCAACATTTATAAATATAAAAATATAGTTAGTTTAGATTATAAAAAAATAAGCAATATAAATAAATATTTATTTTAATTTGTTGCATTTTAATAATAATATCATTTCAATATTATCATCCCCAAGTCTAGAGCGACAATCAGAAAGTATAAGCTTTGCTTTACTAATTAATCTCTCGACACTAGCACTTGAGGGCAAGGAAGCTCTAAAAATATTTAATCAGATCAATTTATAAATATAAATAAGTTTTTACCTTCTGTTATATGTCCAACTATCTGCCGTGGTACATACATAAGATATATCTGATAACTCTACTATTAGAGCATCTTTCATCACTTTGAAGTTGTCGTCTATTTTATCCATAAGTGTCTAGCGACATAAAACTGTTGTGCCAGGGGATAAAGTTTTAATCATCATAGTAAATGATGGATTATCAACTAAGGACAATGGCTGAACTCTGTCAATAATAAAATCAACAATTACTTTATCAGCCAATTTTTGTGAAATATTGGCATGTTTATTATCAGTTAATTTGGTTTGGATAGTATTTGTCTTTTTGAATGAAGATTCTCCTATACCAAAATTTTTTATATGTTTCTCTATTTCCTTATAGCAATTGGCGTGAACAGTCTAATAAAATAAATAATATCATAATGTAAAAATAACAATTTACCTTTAGGTGTTTCTTCAGGTTATAGCTACTCGATTGATTTGATGATATATTTTTTTTACATTTTAAGCACAGGAATTTGAATCCAGATTTTGTTTTAATATTTATTTAAAAATTTTTTTCAAATCTAGGGAATGGGAAATCGTTATTAGAGTTATTAAGTACATTTTCTTCCATTGAATCTTCCATGTCTGAATCACTTTCAAGAATTTGGATATCCATGGGCGATGCCATTTTAGATTATTAACACAGATTGAAAATATAAATTAAAAATTGAAAATATATTTAAATTTCCAAATTAAATAATAAATTATAAAAATTATAATTAATTATGATATTATATTTAAATTTTCATGTTTATACTTATATTCATTATATTTTTTAAAAGTAGCGAAGTAGCGCGCTAAAAAATTAAATAATTTTAAAAAAAGTAGCGGCTATTAGCTATAGCTACCAAAAAAGAAAGCGCGCTAAGTAGCGAGCTACTTTAACAACTCTGGTAAAAATCTTAAAATTAATAATATACATTCATTTTGCATATCTATAATATATTCATTTTCCAAACATCATATAAATTCTTCTAATTTTCCTAATATTCAAATTAGTCATATAACTTCATTGTACTCAAAACAAAAAAAATGAATATGCCAGTTAACTAGATAGATAGGGTAATAGGCATAGGCATAGCAAGGATTTCCCTAAGGGGTCGGAGGAATTAAAAAGGCGGGCCTTCGGCCGGGTTACCTTAGTCAATATATAGTTATAAAATATTTTTACAAAATAGGAGGTTAATTTTAATAAAAAAAAATTCTGGAACAAATATGGAATATATTTTCATTAGTTTATATTAATGAATTACTTGTATATATATTAATATAAAAGCATGGCAATGATTTATTCCCAAGTTTTTTTTTTTTTTTTTTTCTCTTTAGCTTTCACCTTTTCTGGTGGTAAGCTCCTTCAACATCTCTCTCCACTTTATGTTATTCGTACAATCTCTTTTATCTATTTTATACTTCTTTATATTGGCTCTAACTTTATGGCCCCATTGAAGTTTTGGCCTTCCTCTTTTACGTTTGCCCATCACTTCCAATCTTTCAACTTTATTTCCTATGTAGTTCATAGGCCTTCTCATTGTGTGCCCATACCACCTAAGTCTGTTTACCATTAACTTAGTCTAAATGGGCACTACCTTTAAACTATTTAGTATTCTTGTACTGCGCACCTTATCCTTTCTTGTTACCCCAGCAATCATCCTCAGCATTCTCATCTCCATAGTTTGTAGACTTCTCTCGTCTGATTCTTTGGTTGGCCATGTTTCCGAACTATGTGATTTATTCCCAAGTATAAGAAATTTATTTATAAAAAGTAAGTAGTCATATAGTTGAAATTCCTCTATTATATAAAATTAGTTACAAAAAATTAGGTAAAATACCACTTTTGCAGACATATTTGACAGTTAGAGAATATATTACAGTTAATATTTAACAAATTTTACTAATCAATGTTCTTGATAATAAATATAGCAACAATTTGCATTCAATTATTTAACGCCATCTATTTATTTAAATAAAAAATAATATTAAAAATTAATCTTCATATTATTCATCCCACAATGTTTTAAAAAGATATTTTCTATGTCCTTATCAATATTTTATAGTTTTCTATAAAATATATAATTCGCTATATTGGTAAAAGTTACTTGATTGTCATATGATTGATAAAATTTGATATACTGTAAATCTACGACATATAATATTCCACTGTTTGTATTGTGCTTTAATTTTTTTATTTAATTTATGATTTAATTTTATCAATAGTTTTATAATTATATTCTACTTTTATTAAAATTACTCACTTTATAAAAAATTATATTTGATATATTATATTATTTAGTAATTTTATAAATCTAATATTATTTATAATTAAAATACATTATACTTTTGTCAAGACTTATCTTTGGCTTACATTCCATTTATTAAAAAACATTTTTGGTTCACTTTATATATATAAATGCTTTTTTCCAAAAATGTATAAATTATGATGAATAGTTTTATAAAAAAATATCAACTTTTACATTCTTTCTTTCAAATTATTGTTTAAGATATATGCATACATTTTTGAGGGTCAGGGAGTGGGGGGAAGGACTAAGGGGGTATTTTTTATTAACTTAAAATGATATCCACAAAAAGTGAAATTTCTGAAGGGGGGATTTCCCCTTGCCCCCCCCCCCTCTGCCTACGCCTATGGTAATAGGTAAATATAACTATATAACTAGATTTTACAGTAATTATAAAAATTACAATAAAATTATTCATAAAAAAGATGAAATGTACTCGTTATTGTTTCCAATGCAATAAGTGGAACTAGCTCTTAAAATAATGTTTACAGTTACCAGATCTATGCTATGTGAATCTAAAGGTTAGTAAGTCTGGAGAATGAATAGCACTATGGTAAGTGGGTAGTAATGTCAGGTTATCATTGGCATAAATATAGTTTCGATCATGATACAGACAGAGGCATCCATGATTAATAATTATGTCTGAAAAAAAGTAGGAAATAAATTGAATCAATAAGAAAGGGTGGTACCATAGCTAAAGTGCAGTTAGATAATCGTGTCTAATTAACCCAGAATACTGGTATTCAAGAACATATTACATACAGGCAAATATCCTATGAGATTCAAATTCCCACATACTAACATTCATATACATCCTCTTTAGCCAAAATAAAAGTTTCCCTTAGCCCAACAAGCACACAGTGGTATATCTGTGGATAATGAAAGAAATTTCAGCTGTATATCGAGTATACTGAGATTTTTTAGGACAGTAATCCGGCACAATTAGCTTGTTCAAACAAAATAAACAAATTTATGTTATAGCTATAATCTCAATTAGTGTATGTCCAAATTTATTTCAAATATATAACTTAATGATCGATTTACCCTAGCAAAAATAAAATAGTATAAGAGAAGAGAAGTCACTTAAAACAAATTCGAAAAAAATTATAGACAACATTGAATTCATATTCATAATCTTTTAATTTTTATGTAGATACTATTTTTGTTTTACATTTAATTCCTAAATAGTAAATAATTATAATAGTATATGGTTATTTTTGTATCTGTCGATTTGTAATTGACAGATATGGACGTTTTTCAATATTTTTCGAGAAGATAAAATATTACTATTATTAATCTTTGTTTTAAGTTTAGTGTCACGTGAAAATATATATTACAATTATATTATCTTTGTTTAGGATTTTTACCAACATATATATATATATATATTATTGTGTATTATATGTAAATAAATTCATGGACATGAAACACTGATTGAAGTGTATTTTAAAACAGATCATATGGAAATGTGGGTTTGGATAGTTATCATCAGCGTCTACATGAGCGGGAGGGGTAGGAACAGTTTGCATCCTATTTTTTTGAGTGGGTAGGGGGTAAGCTGCTTTAATGAGGGTAGGATAAATTTTTTGGGGGGTTATCTATTAAATTTTGAGATGAAATAGGACAAAATTTATTGCTTTAAAAATTAATACTTTTATTATAGAATTATTATAATACATTATAGACCAAATCTATATATTGCAAACAATCATACACATTGTTTTCCAAATAAAACTTTCTGCTATCCTTTTAAATTACATTAAAAAGGTTTAGATATATCAGCAAGCTCATAATGCCATAATAATTAATTCATTGTAAATAATGGAGGTTTTGATTGAATTTATTATCTAAAAAATAAATTCTTTATAATCTAAAAAATTAATTCTTTATAATCATAAAATTAGTTGGTAGAGATAGATTAATTTAAGTTATATTTATAAATTCTCTGAAAATAGTATCAATATAATTATAAAGGTCAAAATAAAAATAAAAAGACACCGCCGCCGAAGGCGGCGGGGATTTTTTAGGGGGGTAGGCAAAAGTTTTTGAAGAGGGTTTGCATCCAATGAAAATCCTATCATGTAGACGCTGGTTATCATTATTGGTATACAGTCTATATTTAGAAAAATAGTAGCTGTTTACGAAAATGATTAGGATTTAAAACAACTCATTTCTCCGGCCCCTTTCCTTCTTTCTCCTCTATCCTTTCTCTTCTTTCTACCCCTGTCCTCTCATTTAGAATACTAGAGCTACCATTTTTGCGAATGATATTGGTACATCATTTGCGCCGTGACATTTCCATAATGGTCATGGTTACCAGCTAGTACGTACCAAGGGATACTATTGAGGCTTGAATGATTGTACAGTTGTTCGAACGATGTCTTTTGTATTTTTATATGATATATTTTTTTTAGTATTTTAACAAATTTGAGTAATATTAAAAAATCTCCTACTAAACTCTTATAATATTAGCACTTCTTTGAATGTACGAAACTAAGCTAGTTACAGATGTTAAATAATAGTATCCAATGAAATCCAATCTTAAAGAAGCCATTGCTCGTACAATAAAATAATATTATAAGTATTTACCTTAAATCGATTATCTGCAACATTTCGCACTCCATGCATATAAAAATTATCACCTAGGAGACTGACAAAGCGTGGAGAATTCAAATTAGACCATTGTTTCAATTCCTTCGCCACATGTCTGCCAATACTAGATGTGTAGGGATACTTTGGAATTCCGCCTATATCACCCATTACTACAAAATTAAAGGTGCCATTATTGTGTTCAGTAACGATAGATTTTGATACTTTATTTGTGTTTATTTTTTAAAAAAAATTTCCTTTCATTATTTATTACATAAAATTTAATGTTGCATATATACTACTCTTTAAAAGTGTTCATAAATAGGAATCATCTGTTGTTCCATTTTTTGGTTCGCCCATCGAATAAATTACATTAATGTGCATTCATATCTTGTAATGATACATATGAAAAATTGGTCGATGTTGAAATCCACAAAATGGCGTTTCAGTTTGACTCCTATATATGTAACACTTCTAATTAACGAATCGCCAATTTAGTGGTATGTATACATCATGCCATAAAATGCAGAATTTTTAAAATTCCAACCAATCGCTTTACAAGAGCCATCCTTCCGAAATGTGTATGTCGTAAGGGGATTCGCGAATTCGAGTTTCGAAGAAAAATATTTAAAACTTAGATTATTTAATAGTGCGCGTTTTTAAATTTTGAAGGATCTGATTTTACCGGGAACCCTAAAGTGTTTAATATTGACAAGTCTAGGTCTAGACTTGCCGGAGGACGATTCCGACAAATGCGTTATAAAAGGATTTAATTGCAGTGAATTTTCTAAAACCCCGAGTCATTGAAGACTCCTGAATTTGTTATCTCTATAACATATGGTAGATAACTGGGGTAAAAAAAAATATACACATTATTTTAAATAAAAGCCAAACAGAACAATATATAAATCAATATGTTGCCCAATCTCTCATTCTCAAAATAAAAAAAATTATAGCACTATGCTAAGAGTAAATGAAATGGTTAAGCACCAAAGGTAAAGTCTGAAATTGAACATAACTTTCTTGTCTTATTGAAAAGAATATGAGCGATTTTAACATTTATTTATTACTTGTACTAAAATTTCAAATATTCTTCATCTTTGCCACCATTTTAAAACTTTTTTGTTTCATATGACATAAAAACTAAAAAATTTTTTACATGATGTGGATCGGATTAATCGAATATCTTTTTTAATAGCTTTAAGTAGATGGAACCTTTTAACCGTTTTACATATAGCTGCTTCACCCCCAAGGGGTTTATTTTATAATAACTCGCTATTACACGTCTTCTGAACTAAACTATAAACTTATAATAACTTTTAATTTATAGCAATAATTTCAAGGAACCTATGTAAAAAAAAATTAAAATCATAAGGCTAAAAATGCAAGTAGCTATTTATAATTAATTTTTCAAAAACCATTTTTTGGCAAAATACATATAACCCATAACATTCGCCAAATAAAATGAACATACGTACGAAATTATTATATAAAAAAAATTTATGGTTTTTATGCCAAATGGCGAAAGTTATTTGCGTTGACATAGTTTACCTAGACAATCACTCCAGTCTCCTCCATATGGTACAATTTGGGTCAAATGTCACGTTATCAGCAAATTCGCGTATTGCCAGTTAAATAATCCAAAATAATTTGATATTTTATGATTAAAATTGTCTGAAATTTATTGGATAGGTTATTCTACTCTACACATATTCGTCAAATAAAAATTTGGCAAAATCAGATTATTAAAATGTCAAAAAAAAAGAACACTTACAAATGATTGTGCTATTTACCATCTTAAAATCACATGTTATATACCGCGTTTTATTTAAATTTCAATAATCTAATTTTTTGGAGATGTATTCCAAGCACATGTTGAATATCTACCCTATAAATCTTAGACAATTTTATAAGATACGCTATGCTAAGGAGATACGCGTATTGACTAATTACCCGATTTCGCAACATATATTATACCTCAAGAAATATCTGATATAGAATTTTCTTATTCACATCTAGAAAAACAATTTATAAAAACTTATTTATCATCTAATTTATATAATATATTCCATTTTTGTACCTTCTGTCTTAATGGAATGATTGGTGGCCGGAATAACTAATTGTGCTTGACCTACTACCAAATTTTGACCATTGGAATTTTTGATTTCAATAAATAAAATCCATAATAGCCATCTCATGGTATGAATTTTAGACATTTCATCCATTATTCGAAAGCATAACCTTAATTTGCCGCAAGAAAGCAAAAAATTTTTAATGCCAAATTCGATTCTACATAGTTTTCATAATTAGCATTGTTGTTATCTTTTTTTAAAAAAAGTTTTTCTTATCTTATTCACTGATGACAAAAAAATATTATGTTGAGGAAGATTCATCCTTTATGATTCTTATCAAAATTTTTACAAATTTTTGATTGTTCTTCCATTGTTTGATATTTTTTTTTGTGCAATTAGATAAAGATATGCTATTTATTCACTTAGAAAATTATCATTTTCCTACTTAATTTTAATGTCTAAATAAAAAAAAGAAATTTACTATTTTAAATAAAATTATCCAAATCTAGAATCTAAATAACTTAAAATTTAATAACATAATTTGTAAAAAATGGCAAATATTTATTTATATATTTTTTTTTCCTAAGGAAATGTCATTATTTAAACAGGTGAAAGGTAAAAACCAAAAATTTTAATCAAAAAATACCTTTTTTAAATACGTTCATAAATTTTCCGAAATATTTTTATTACTAAAGCAAAAATTTAATTTAAATGTGATGGTAGGTTAAAGCTGAAGTGACCCAGTGCCTCAAAGTTTTTGAGGACAATTTAGAATTAAGTGAGCAATCACATTCCTATTTTCTTCGAGAAAGAAAAAAAAATTATATATATTCCATCTCGGGATATTTTTAAATATACCAGGAAAAGGTCAGTGAAATTTTATAAAAATAAGTATTTAACTTCCTTCAAAATATAATTTTCAATTTTCAACTTCTGTATTCGTTGTTAAATTAGGACCTACATCACAAGGGTACAATTTACACAGCCCGGCCGGATTTATTTTAAAAAAAAATTTTCGAACTGCGGTTTTATATTTTTTAACCCAGCCTGGGTTTTTTTTTAAATATTTTATATTTATTTTTAATTCTTATAGCTAATAATGGCGATTTAAAATATTTGATTTTAAAATATATAGTCCGGTCTGAGTATATTTTGAAAAATTAAAATAAGGCCCGGCCCGGCCCGTCTACCCGATCCGGTCTTAGGGTCAGGCCTGCAGGTCTCTGTGTTAAACAATTACAAATATAATATTTATATTGGCTTGGCTTGGCTTGCTCATTTATAAATATTAGTTTTTTTTTGTCTTTAATTCCACAGTTTGTTTCACATAACAAAATTATTATATCCCATATTTTATTTTTAGTGTTATCATGATTTTAAGATTTGAAATTAATATTATATAATGAAAGCTTTAAATTTCGATGGATGATTTTGTTACCAAATTAGTACTATAAGGTATTTTTCGACACTCAAATTTATATTAACGCCACGGCACAAATATAATTGTCAATCCTTCAAAGAATGCCTTAATTAACTTAGATATGTGTAATAATATATCTATATTTTGTAAGATAATATATGTCTATATTATAAATATTGATAAATAAATAAATTGTATATATTTTATTAATCGAAAAGAACGAAAAAAATCAGATATTTTTCTTAGGAACGTGTTTCCTGGAGGAATTAAAAAAGGGAACTGTTTTTTTGTCCGGTAATTAAGCATTTTAAACGCTAAGGTTAACGCATGCGGTGAAATTACCGCTTGACGTTAGGAACCATTTTAAAAAACGCAAACTGTGTTTTTCAGGCGCGTTGGACTAAGGTCAGTTCTTTAATAGTACGTTTCTTTTCGCAAGAAAGCTGACAAATCCAGATAGCAGTAATAATTGGGATGGCACTAATTCCATGTCTTAATCACGACGACATAACAAAAATATTTAGAAAATAATAATTAAAAAAAGGATACAAAATCACCCTAGAGAAGAGATATATAAAACTCTTTTTTTTTGATAAATTACACATTTTGGAAATATTATTCCCAAAAGTAACTAGTTACTTTTTTTAAATATGTTAAAAAATATATAATATATATCTCATTCATTATTTTTTTATTGTACGATGAATTTCTTAATATATAAAATTATTATTTTTTTGTTATAAATTATAATGTCTCACTTAAATCGGGAACACCCGTGGTAAATATTTCTTTAGTCTATGAAAGCTTATACTTTTATTTTTTGGAGAACAAAAATATCTCCTTTCTTTCTTTCTTTCTTTCTTTTTTGTTAAAGTCGAATAAAAATTTATTAAGCCAAATTTTAATATAGAAAAAAAAATAATAATTAAATATTATACATTGTGGTTACAATTTGCATGGCGCAAAAACAAAAAAATTATAAAATATTGATCAAATTAAAAAAAATTTATATAAATATTTTTGACTAAATGTTCGGTGGGCATTTAATTTTCATCTTGCAAATTCGTGAGCGCCAAGGGATTGTCGTGTCCTTTGTCGTGATACCCGGGTTCATCGCTCGCGGATTTCGGTCTAATTTCATCGAAGGAAGGCGAGGGTTTTACCGCATTATGGAATTTCTACACATTTCGTAGGCGTATATATTTTTGAGAGTTAAGATTTTGGATTATTTTTTTATATATAAACTTCCGTGAAAGAATCTCCGTCAACTTTCCTCATTCGCAAATATGCCCATAAGGGGATCTGAAAAATAATGACGCAAAATAAGGTCCAACCAATAAATTGAGCCCATACAGGGTAGACATAACTTCCCGAAATCAATCTTCGTTCAATAAATATGCTTTGCACAAAATACGCCCCACACACAAACTAAATTATATATATATATATATATATTAAAAAAATATATCCATTTTAGGCCTCATTTGTAGTAAACGCGTTATTTTCAAGCGTCGCGTTATTCAACGCAGCGTTATGACAGCTGATTCAGTTGGTAGAGCTAAAATAGAGATAATTATTTTATATAATATTTAAGATAAATCGTTTACCTTTATTATTTTTTATAATCGTATCTCACATTTTTTTTTATCGACGCATCGCCAAATTTTATCATAGCGTTATCGTCCTAACGATTTATATTTATAAATTTATATCTATTTATTGGCCTTAATTTTGTAATAACGCTGGGTTTAAACAACGCAACGCTTGAACATAACTCGCTTACTATAAATGAGGCGGCTAATACTCATTTTACTATTAATCCTGTAGGTGCGATATATGCCCATGATATTTGCCAATATCTCTTGTGCGGCAATTCGAATCCTAGCATGTAAGATATATCTTTGGTAAATTTTTCAAATCCTACAATATAAATAAAAAAATTTTTTTTAAAAATACTCACAAAATCCGTTACTGTTTGTGTAAATAACTTATTATTTCTAAGTAGTAGGGAGACCGGGGCAAAACGGAACACCTTCATGAAGTAAAAACCCACAAATGTTTTTTTTTATAAATTGCAAGATAAGACATTTAGCCGGTCAAATTATGCTCAAATTAAAATCATAATGTTTTGACAATATTCACTTCATTTGGTAAAAATAATAAATATAAAAATAAATATGCATATAATTAAATTCTATTATATTTATGATTCGATTCATTTTAGAAATAATGTTTCGTTTTGCTAATATAGTTTTTGTCATGCAATCCAAGTCGTAAAATCAAATCTCCAATAACTGTATCTTATTAACTTATTCATCACGTGACTCTTTTGATATTCTGTCCTCATCTTTCCCATTTTTTTCTTTCTCATATTTAATAAATTTTATTTTTTTTTTAAAAAAAAAATCACAATTTTTACAATTTCTATATTTTGTTTTATTCGTTCGACTTTCAATTTTTTAAATTTCTGTTATAATGTTGTATACTATTATATGTTCGATGGTGTAGTTATCATTTATATGAGTAAAAATAAATTACGAGGCAATGATTATCATTTTATTTTTAACTTAAACGTAGATTACATGGGCGTGCGCAACTAGGGGGTCGGGGGAGGGCCAATCCCCCCCTTCTCCAAAGCCAAACTTCAAATGCTGGTTAATAGTGCGCACAAATTGAGCGTCGTTTTAAAAGCTGCGTTGAAAGCGCAAATAATGCCTTTTAAATGGCCTCTTGCAAATTGGTAAAATTACCGCGTTAGCAACCATTTAAAATAACGTAAAAATAGGTTTGCTATTTCATTTACCTTGTTTTTATTCTTCGTTTTGTAATATTATATAAAAATGTAATATAAACAACTTACATATATCCTAAAAAACAAAAGGAATATTTATAAATTAAAGAAATAAAAAAGGCAGACGATAATATAATTTTCAAAGACAGATGCTTTTTTTTAGAACTTATTTAAAATTTTGAATCGACGGATATTAATAAAAAGACAACCTCAATTTAAACAAGAGACGCCTTACGTTTTTTTTTATTTAAAAATTACGGCAAAACGTAAACGCTCAATTTGTGCGCACTATAAGATATTTTTCAAAAATATTACTTGTTTTTATTATTATAATTCACACTTTATAATAATCAACCTACCTCTCTTATCGTATATATATATATAAATATTCCAATTACTCTGCGCTCCTACAGTTAGCGTAAATACGCGGTGGAGTATACAAAATATAACAAATTGTGAATGCAGGATTCAATGACATATTATAATAATACCTAGTCTGACGATTCATTCATTAAAATGCATTTTTAAGCGTCGTTAAAAGGCAAATCAGCTAGACCCGCCATTTTGGTAACCCATATAGTAATTATTCTCATGTTAAAAAACTACTATTAAATTGATAAACTTGCTTCCTTATTATCTCGATGATCAAGCAATTCTTTTAACAAAGTTTGCGTCAGAGATAAAAATAAATTGGCCTCTAGTTTAAAATTTTTAATAACGATATGGGTAATCAAATTGGCGTCCCCAGCTGTTTTCATTGATGTACACTTTTAATGAATGCATCGCCAGTCTAGGTATTATTATATGTCATTGGCAGGGTTACATGTATTTATCCCATTCACAACATAAATAAATACTCTACTAATTTATTATACGAATTAGATTTCAGATATTTCAAAAAAAAACACTCTTTTGATTAAGACTATTTGAATATATGAACGCATAATATTGGAACTTAATGGAAATTAAGGCAAATGTAGATGACGAATTTTCATAAATTATATGTCGTTGCTTATGTCAAAAGCAGATCTCTATCGATTTAAAATTTGTTCTAAGTGACTCGCAGCAAGGCAAGCCCATCGTTCCAATATTAATATAGGGTCTCATTCGAAGAATACTATATAATACTCTTTATTTCCCACTTGGATACTTTCATAACTCAAAATGGATGGAATGTTCTTGGTTCAGACAGCACTTACAAATGTGCGAATATTATTACCGCTGTTCAAAACTATTTCAAATCTTGATACAGAAAAAAAAGAAAATTAAACATATGGAAGATTTTAATAGTGAGGATATTAGAGAATCCCATGAAGCATTACTAAATGCAAAACTGAGGTCTAAAAGGTTAAATAAGTTTGATCAAAATTTTACGGTAAAAATACAAAATAATAATCATTTTACCTAGATCTTCCCCCTAATGTTTAAAAAAAATGAATATGATACAACACTACAATCCGGGAATTATATAAAAGAAAAAAGTATAATTTAAAATAATAATTTAAAAAATTTATAAAGAAGCTTAATAAATAAGTGTCTTGAAATGGTAGCTTTTATATAAAAGGGAACTTTATGACGATATAAGGGACACACTCAAAAGAGTGCTAAATGAGGGCATGTTTTAAATTAATTGCCTCCTAGTTGATAATCATTTCTCAAGAGGCAGTCACAATGTTGTTATGAGTTTTGCCTATTTTCCCGCCAAGGAGAGGGACCTAGTAGAGAATGCTGATATAAATGACTGGGGTTCAATTCAACTAACGTACGAGCCGCTATATTAATAATAGAAACAAAGATATTCACGTGTCGCTTCTCAATTAACTCTAACCTATTCTTTAAACAAGTTAGTTATTTTTTCAGTAACTATCTCGTAATATTTTGTTGAATTTTATTAAATTTTAGGTATATTATGTTTGTGAAAAGTTATTCTAATTCTAATTTTTAACCATTTAAAATGGGAACATAAGAGAAAACTATATAAATATAAAATAATGTACCGTACAACCACATTATAGCCAGTACTTCGACAATGCCAACAATCACGCAACATATGTTGGCGCAATAATGATCCATAATATCCAAAACGAGCATGCCACCCTATATTATAAATCATAATTTTTGACATTGATCGATATGATAATTTTATATTTCTTCTTATGGATCCATGGAGTGTTTTTTTTTTCATTTTTCAAATTTCGCATCATAGGATAATGAACTGATCAAAATTATATTTAAAAAGGGGGGGGGGGGAATAGTATATTTATCACTTTATATATAATTAGGGCGTTTTAAAAAAAAAATAATTTGAAAGATCTGATTATGCCGGAAATGTATTAACAGCTGGTGTAGAGTATACATTCTGTGGGTGAATATTAGACATTTTTGTCATGAAGGACAGTCCGGTGATAGATGGGCATCTTTTAACTCGTGGCAGCTACTGCTTCAAATCAATAGAAATTTAATATGAATGTGTAGCACAAACAAAGCCCTGTAAAGTAATTTTTTCCAATGTCCAAGTCCGACCCGAGACCGAATTTTAAGAAATTTTGTATCCCGGCCCCAACCGAGCACAATTTTAAATACAAATTATAATATTCAAAGAAAAATTAAAAATTACGTGTATTCATTCATATATTGTCACCTTAAATAAAAATATATTTGATTCCCAATTTTATAAATATAATATTCTTGGGCATTTAATTTAATAGATCTTAGATAAAGCAAAAATTATCGAATTAAAATATTTTGTAACTATTATAAACAGATTAACATTCTAGATTTTATGTTTGCTATGTATTTTATTTTATTTAACCTGGTAGAATATGATGTATGTGAGTAAAAAGATGGAAAGAAGGAAGCGCCCCATTACAAATCACAGTAAATTGTTAATTTGGGAAATAGAAACGTAAATAAATAAGTGAAGTGTGGTGGATGAAAAATGAATGTGATTCTGATTGACATTTATATAAAACAAAATTGTTATTGAGGATATTTCCAATATTTAATATTCGGGAGGCAGCCCGAACCCAAGTCAGGTCGGGCTTTGGACAGCTAGAGTAGTGCTCTACGTGCATATAATAAAGATTTACTTTGTCAGGACCTACAACTACATGTACCAGGCACGTAGCCCTTGGGGAGATTTATCAGAAATATATTCTATCATGTTTGGAATACCTGTCTTATGAATTGTAGACAATTTAGCTGTCAACCTTTGAGCCATTTATAATTTATAGAATAAATGTATGGAAAATCGAGTATAAATTATATAAAGTTTAAAAGTTTATGAAAAATTTGTCTGTAATTCATAGGATAGGTATTCCAAACATGATGGAAACATTTCCGGTAATATCGGATTTTTATTCAAATTTTTTTAAAAACGCGCTCAAAAAATGATTTAAAATTGAAACTTGCTTTTTGATTAACGTTAAACATAAATTTATTAAGTTTTAAATTTTTTTTTTGCAATTATTAATATTTTTTATTTATAAATATTACATTTTAAATTAAAATAGGATATTATAATTATTGTGCCTTATTTTAATCAATATTTTTTTTTCTCGCGATAAAATCCAAATGGCTTAAATATTTTCTTAAATAATAATAACCATCTTTCCTTATTTTCTTGACCCTTCGCATCCTTTAAGGTCATTTACCCTGCTATATTACATTTTGTGTTGTTAAATCGGCTCATTTAAAAACGGTTATCTCAATATTTTACTCAGAAAAATATTACGCGAGCCTAAAGATTTTTCTCGTAGATTTCTCAAAGGTTCTGGACTTAGCTAAATCTCGAGGCTTAGACAATGTTTTTTTCTGTCATAACAAACACTACGTTGACCAAAACTTAACTTCAAACTCTATAGCCACTTTATGGCGGTAGGCCTCTGAGGAAAAAGTGCCAAAATATGAGATAAAGGTGCAATAAAGAGTCAAAAAGAAGAAAAAAAATGTCCAAAGATAAACTAAAGTCATGACAAAATATCTAATAATTCCTGATTTTTTCAGGTCTTAAATGGAGGTTTCCCGACTTTAAAAAAAATGGTCCAACCCTGTCTTTGGCTTCGGTCTTATCAGTTTCCGATCCTGTTTTTTATTTCATATCGGTCTTTGGTCTGGTCTTATTTCGGTTCCTTCCATCCTTGACCTTCGCTAATGTAGAAGTACCTGGGTCCCTTTAGACATGATTAAATACGATTTCTGAAAATCAGATCTTTCAAAAAATTTTTAAAAAAAATGCGTTATTAATAATTTAAGTTTTAAAAATTTGTTAAAAGCCGAGGGTTCATCAAAAGCCCTCAATTTGATAAACTCCTAATCCTGATCACTTAGAAACTTTGAAAAATTTATGCTCTAACCACTCCAGCGATCTAACCGATGAAATATAATAGGAGGTTTAATCGCGGTGCGTATTCAATATTTTACCCTAGTCAGGCAAGGGAATCCTAAAATAAAGCACCCAAAGCATAGGGCGCCACATATTAACGATTTGTTCTTCCTCGGAAAATTGCTAGGAAATTGATCGTGCAGAGCTGCCTGAACCGTTTCTATAAACATTATTTGGCTATCAATGCCCAGCGTATATAACATGATAAAGAAGATCAGATTCCAAAACTGAGGAACGGGTAGTTGCGAAAGAGCTTCGGGATACACGATGAAAGCTAAACCGACACCTAATTAATTTTTAAAATTTTTGAGTACAACTTGCTTAGTATTTTTACCCCCAGCGACAACTTTATCGACAGTTGTGTGCTTTAATTTTGCCATGAACCCGAGAATGGAAAATATTACGAATCCCGCCATGAGACTCGTGAACGTGTCCAATAAACTTACCATGATTGCGTCCCTGTGACAGTTGTTATTGAAAGAGATGTAACTAGATAAGGTCTGGAGACCTCCCATAGTCACGCTCAGTGAAAAAAACATTTGCCCGGCTGCTTTTTGCCATACCTAATTTATTTTTTTTAAATCCAAATGTAACTCGATACATAAATTTTTTTTAAATTTACGATAGGGCTAAGTAACTTTTTGAATTCTGGATAAAGGAAATACGATATACCAACACCGGATCCCTTCAAGGTTAATCCCTTTATGAGTAAAATTGACAGTATGAAATAGGGCATAGTAGCCGTCACGTAGACAACCTAATATGTGTGTTAAATTTCCAGATTACGTGTTATCATAATTACGAGTAACTGGCGTAACAACCTTGACAGATGTCATTAGCGGCACTCATTCGATAATTCGAGGTGGGGGGGGGGGACGATTAAGGCAAGCCTGGATTAATTAATTAAGGATTAGGTCTGATTTTGTGATACAGAAATTAATCAGAGGACTACCGTACTTTAGTTGTTACGCCATCGATGATGATTATAGAATTTTTATGTATACTTTCCCGGTAACGTTTACTCCTTTAAACAATATTAAAAACACAATGAGCCAAGATATGGCTAACCATATTAGTAAATCCATTTTAATCATGCCTATATCATCAATCCCCGACGATTTATAACTTTCCAAAACTTTGCGTCTAATAAATTTTATAATAAAAAAAAAATTAGATAATAAAGTTTATTCGTTTAAATACTCCCAATATTCTTCCGTAGGAGTCGTAGCATTTTCGGGCCTGAATTCATTGGGATTGGTATAATTGAATTCCAGACAATTCGGTGTATTAAAACTCTAAGTAATAATATAAACCTTTAAATTATGAATGATTTCCCCTATTAAATTACATTTCCGCAGTGTGTCCACGGCAATTTTTTTTGTAACGAAGCAAAGCTGTAATATAAAGTAAAAACCATTATAACGTTATAGTAGATGGCCACGTTAATCGAGATTAGAAGCATGGCAAATCCACAACCTACAAGTAATAATGAAAAAAAATATAATTTTATCGCTTATAATATCCGCGAATTTTTCTTGATAAATTTAACGAAACCTTTCGCTATGGGTACAAAGTTGAAACAGCCTGGTGGTCCCTGCCTAGTAAATTGTCCCATACCGAGCTCCATCAAATACATGGGTTTGCCAATCGTTAATAGCATAAAAAGATAAGGAATCAGGAAAGCGCCTGTTCGAAAACAATTATACGTATATACATATACAATGTGACGAGAGAAATAATCTAAAAAAATATATTTTGTATGTCATGAGCCGATTGTTTTCTAATCTTGTATAGGTGTAGCCAAAGAGGAAAGCGAAGAAAAATCGCCCCACCCCTTCTCTTCAAAAATTTGCCTGTTCTTAAATATCATATCAAGCTAATAAAAAAGAAATCCCCCATACATCTCCCCTCAAAATTATATAGAATCACTAATATAACCTATAATACGTGAACCCAAAGATATAATAAAATTTATGGGGGAAAGCCTACCCATTAGCCCCCCCCCCTTCTTAGAAAATTAGGAGTACGCCTATGATTGTATGTTATTAATCTAAAGTTATTCTTATAAAAATTAAAGTCTTTTAAAATATATAACATCATCATCCCATTAAAACGGATAAAACAACACAGCAACATGGGGGCAATGGTGAATTTCTAGAGCCCTCTATCGGATTATAAATATATCCAAGTATCGTATAATAGTATTTTTTATTAGTCGTTACTTTAGTCTTTTTTTTTATATATATTTCAACTGTTTTATTATTGTATAAAGAGGCACAAATTATAATATAAAAGATTAAATAATATATAATACATTTTTATTTTGTGAATGATATAGTTATAATAATAATAATTGTTATATTTTTTTAAAGAAAGTGTTTCTTCTCATATTCACTTTAACACAAAAATAGGTCATCACATTTAAAATCAAGTTCTTTAGTCTCCTTCTTTATTAACATATTTAAAATTTTGACATGATTCAGTGTTGCTGTTTCATCATAGAACGCCAATGAGTTCTAGCCTTGAAAACGTTATTTCAGCAGTACAAGTCCTAGCGGAAATCGCTAATAGTATGATAAAAATTTTACACAAATCGAAACAATTTCTTTTCTTATTTTGTTCTTTTAATCAGGGTTATGACGTACCCTCTAAAGAATTGCCAGATCTAAAACTTCACAATAAATTTGCCTATAATATTCATTAAACTGTCCCGAAATGACGGTATGATAAATTCGAAGCCTCTTCGAATCTTAAAGGTGTTTTTATTTCTATCGCTTAGAACTAGGTTCCTCTGAAATTTAATTCCTTTGGCTTTCTGAACTTCTCTCCAAAAATTATCGGAACTGTCGCCTTGTCGCATTGCATCAAGAATTTTGATCAAGATTTTTTATATTATATTTAATTTGTAAAATAATAATATTCTTTCTTTCTTTCTTTCTTTCTTTCTTTCTTTCTTTCTTTCTTTCTTTCCTTCCTTCCTTCCTTCCTTCCTTCCTTCCTTCCTTCCTTCCTTCCTTCCTTCCTTCCTTCCTTCCTTCCTTCCTTCCTTCCTTCCTTCCTTCCTTCCTTCCTTCCTTCCTTCCTTCCTTCCTTCCTCTCTCAAATATTATTATCGTTATTTTAAGAAATATTATTATCGTTATTTTAAGAAATAGTTTTTGACAAAAGACTTCGTTTTGCTCGTACAAATATGGCGCAAGTTTCCGATTCACCCGTCATCGCTTACCCGTCACTTTTTTTTGATGGCTTAATCTATGACAATCAATTAAAAGATTCTTAAATTTCACACAAAACGGCATTTTATTTTATTTTTTTTGACTGACTACCAATATTAACTTTTATATATATATACATACTATACTTATATATAATAGAAAATGGATAGTGTAATGATTTGTAATATAAGGTAAAGATTAGTATTGCTAAAAAAAACACGATTCGAGTCGATTTTTAAAAACGATTCGATTAACATTATAACCAATCAAAATAATATTGCGTAAGCCTCACGATTTTGCGCACATATGGCAGAAAGGTTTGGGTTTCTTAGGTTTCTACTCGCCAAATCTTGAGGCTTACAACGATATTATTTTGGTATAAAATGTAACACTAGTTAAAGATGGGAAAAATTAAACCTCCGCCATTTTCGTAACACGTTGTCGGAAAACGCCAAACATTCCCGATTCCGACGGAACATCCCACGCACGCCAAAATAAATTCTAAATGACTGCTCCATTTCTGTCTACCGATATATATATCCTCCTCGTACGCCGGCTTCGAGAAATTTTTTTGCGATAGCGGAAAAAAAAAATGTAATTTACAAAATAGGATATTAAATTTCAAAATTCTGAAGAACTATATATAATACATACCTCTTCTTTCCCGAATAATTTTTGCACCTTTTTAACGACTAACGCCATAATGTTAAATGAATGATAAGACTAAAATAACATAAATTGAAAATGTAGAAAAGTTATAATGTAAAAGTATACATATTTTTTTTTCTATTAAATTATCTAACGTTCTTTTTTTTTGTTTTTTGAAATAATTCTATTTTTATTTTTATAATAAATTAAACGAAATTACTTGAATTTAGGACTTTAATGGAAAATTAATAGATATTTAAATATTTTCTTTTTCGATTTGATTGATTTAGAAATCTGAGACACGCGAAATTACGCGTATTCGTAAAAAAAAATTTTTTTGAATATCTTATAAAGGTTTAGGTATATAATGAATGTTTTGTTTTTAAATTTTAGAAATTTTATACGAAAATATTCGTAATTAAATAAGGTCATTTGCAATATTAAGATTTTGGCAGTGTTACTAACTCTCAGTATTTTTATCCAGAAGAATCTTATGCAAGTCTTAAGATTTTGCTCAAAGATGCCATAAGTGTTTGTACATCTATTAACGAAATCTCTCGAGGCCTAGAGAATATTCTTCTGGCTAAAATGCGGCTCAAAGAGAGCCGTTTAGCAACACTAGTTAAAGTTATTTCCTGTTTAAAATTCCTAAAATCAAATTATGACAAATATTATAAATGATAAGATAATGCAATGGTAGGGAGAGTATTTGAATAAAACTTTTCTATAATCGTTTGAACATATATTTGTAGGGTTACTTCTATTACGTAAAACAAGAAACAATTAGGAAAATGTTATTCCAAGAAATAATGTTTTAAAAATAGATTATTTTCTTTTATTAATCATGAAAATAAAATGTTTGATTATTATTCGTTTTAAAAAATTGTTGAAAAATACCAAACCCAAGACTTTTAGATTCATCACTTCGTACTATATTTAGCAGAGTTGTTAAAGGATCTAGGATAGATTTTTGATTAAAATATCTGTATCTAGATATTATTTTAGACGATATATCTGTATCTAGATCCATTTAAAAAGTATTTTTTAACAACTCTGATATTTAGGCATTGACTAAAAATTGAATAATTCGGCTCAAGGAAAAATTTGCACCCCAAAGGAAATTGGCAAAGCATTGAGGGGCGAGTTTATATAATTATACTTGCTTCCAAATTGAGTTATGACAGTTCTCGGGGAAAAACTAGATTTAGTCCTCTTTTAGCCAGTAAGAATCAACCTAAACGCTTTAAAATAGGGTTATAACGTGATTATACTTAGTTCAATATCCCCATCACACTTAAGACTTCTTCTGAGCCGGGGGAAGGTTATTTTTGATTAAAAAAATTCCCCACAGAATTGTCTTCCATGATTCATTTGGCACATGAGAAACTCCCTATCTTTTTTTATACTTTAGATAATTTCTGTTCTGCCATTATAATTAAATTAGTAGCGATTCATTTTTACAGCTAGATGTAGAAGGCATCAACCAACCCGGTTTAATCTGTTTTTCCAAAAATGGTTTGGCAGTCATTCAGACCTTGATTAGAATTTGGATGACAAAATAACTAGATTCCACTTGGTTTCCAAACTCGATCTAAATGCATTCTTTGAGGAATTTTTTTTGAATGTGTGGCGGCCTGAGCTAGTTTCGGTTAGTCTTCACTAGTCGGTTATTTTTTATAACCAGTTGAGGAATCAGTGATTCTACACTATCCCAGAACACAGGGTAAAAGGAACCCCTTAACTTTTGTTAATCTTCTGTAGCAGCCATTGCCACTCACCTATTACTTCCAGATAGAAGGTATGGCTATAGTTATCAACTTCAATCCTTTGCATACAATTTAGTTTAAATAAAGACTCGGAATATACCCCCCCTAACCTTTGAGTAGTGGGTTATTTCATTTTGAATTAGTATTTTTAATTTAACCATATAATGTTTAGTTTTTTTTAAATGATCGATGTCAGATTAAATTTAGACATATCTTATCACTGTGATCTGTCTTTAAAGATGAGGCGTGAGGCATCAGTTAAATATGCCCCCATTCAATAGTTATGATATCAATATTCCCTTATAATTTTTTCTTTGAATAAAAATATATCCCCTTGCTGATTTATTTTTTAATAAAATTTTATTTCCCCGGAAATGATATGATATTATATCAAATCACTCCCTAACTTGATATGTTGATGTTATATTAAACAGCTGCTTTAATATTTGTACGATGATGTTACATCATGGTTCCTGATTTGAAATTTTTACGAAATGGTCCGTTCTTTAAAAAAAAAAGAATGTTTATCATAAATGCTACATTGCCAGAAGACATATTGGACTATAGAACTCTGACTCAAAATGAACAATTAAAAATGATTGACGTATGGAAATATATTTTTTAACGAGAAGCCAATTTATTCCTATGTCTGACCCAAACTTCATTAAAGAATTGCCCGATCATCGAAATAATAAGGAAACAATTTATGGGTTACCTTAAAAGGCGACTCCAGCTGATTTACATTCAACGACACTTTCAAATGCATTATTACCAAGGCATCGTCAGTTTAGGTATTATTATGTGTCATTGGGGAAATAATAAAATTAAGAATCCTTATAAATTATTACGATTAAAAATTTTTATCGATTCGAACTATTAAAAAAAAAAAGGTATGAAACATATATATGCTAAAATTTTTAATAAAACATAACCCTAGCCATTCACAGTTATCGGGGCTCAAAAAATTCTAAATACAGTAAACATTATATTGCATTCATAGATACAGTTCGCTGTCTATATTACGTTAAAAGCATAACCTGGTCGCAACGAATTTTGTGAATGCTAATAATTTTCTAATGATGAATCTTAAAAGGAAAGTAAAAAAAATTTTTTTTAAAGAAATAATTACATATTGTTGGTTTTTATGAATTGATATGATCATTTATAAAAATATAATAATCGCCCTATATCCGTCGGTCCCATGTCAATTCAAACAAAACTTTTACCACGAATTTGGTATATCGTGAATGAATTTTATAGCGAAACTTTTTATCTCGAATGAAAGTGCGCGAAAATTTTAAAACAAAGTCTGTATCGCGACCAAATAGTGAAGACGAAATAACGAAAATAATTCAGCCATTTTAGCGAGTTTAATATGGCGATAATTGCTAATAGTGACCATTTTATTTTTAAAATTGAACATTTTTTAAAAAATAGGTAACAAAATGTATTTGATGAAATAGTTTATAATTTTCTTTTAAACCTTAATAAATTTATATGGTTTATAAAATAAAATATATTATTGGAAAATAATTTTTTTTTTCATATCCTGTTCCTAAATCTTATTTTACAAAGAATCGCAAAATATTAATCAATATTCTCATTCTTCATTAGTTAAATCTTGATCCTAACTGGCGAAATTGATATCTGGATTGCACCAATATTTATTATCTGACGAGTATACTTAATAATTTATAAATTTATCGATCCAGTTTTTGTCAATCATTAACCAAAAACAGTTATAAGCTAAATTTAAAACATTACACACTTTAGGGCCATCTTTTTTTTATAGAATTTTGAATGGCGATTCAAAAATAAATTACATCTAAAATAAGGGTTCCAAAATATATTGTAATCTTATGATTTTACCATCTTTTGTAGATATCTTTTCCGGTTTACCTAGAATATAAAATATTGGTTATATTTTCAAAAAAATTTAATAGGAATCTTGAATCCAATGTTATGACGCAGCCTATAAAGAACGAAGTTTGCCAAACTTTAGCAAGTACTAATTTTGAAGCTTAAGCCAATATGTAATACTTAATTAGAATACATATATTAATGCCTCAACATTATATTATCTTCTTTTTCCCCTTAATTACCCAGAATTAAAATATTTAAAGTAATTTTTTATTGAATTCCCAAAAGACGATTTTGCTTAAGTTAAAATTTTATTTTCTCAAAATTGAACTTCTCAGAAAATATATTAACGCTACTTTTATCAAAGAATTATTAATTATAATTATCCATTATTTAAAAAAAAATTAACATAAAAATGGATTTATTTATAAAAATAGATGGTTTTTAGTAGGGATGTGAACCTGATCCCTAGTACTTTTGCTAAATCCAGACACTATTTAAAAGTGGAGGGTCCTGGGTGTCAAAGGAAAATTAAAAAATTTTGATACAAGTTTAATACTCGGGTTTTCTGGTTGCTTGGGATTACATATGCATCCAGCAAAAATGCCTCAGCTATTGATTAGGCAAAAAATCTTGAAATAAACAAATATTCAGACATCGCAAACGTATTTTTTTTCCCACTTATCACAAATACTCTTGGTGTTTTGGGTGAGGAATTCTTTAAATTTAACACATTATTAAGGAGAAAATTAAGTGAAATAGGTGATCGTAATGAAGCCTTACAATGGTCATCAAACTAATTTCAATGCTATTCTTGGTTCCATATAACACAGGGCCCATTTTTTGTTGAAGGGTTCACATCCCTGGTTTTTATATATAACTTTTTTGTTAAATATAAAAAATTTTCAATTAAGATACAATTTTATATTGGTTCAGAAAAATATTATAATGATAAAATATTGGCCCAACCAATTCTGATACTATAAAATATCATGGCCAATTTAATAATTAGTTAATATATTTTTTTTTAATTTCCACAATATGAGTTTAATATTTTTGATTAGGGGGTGTCCTGAGATGGAATCACCGTGCTTGGTTATGCCACTGTGTATGTGGTATTGGTTTTTAGAAGAAAGGAAAATCTTTTAATGATTGTTATCAAGATTATTTTTTAAAAAAAATAATATTATTTAAAATAATCATGTTAATTTATAAAAGTCATAAATTAATTTTTTTAAATTTATATTATAATATCCAAGGATTGGTAGAAGATAAAAATCCATGATAAGTAATATCAATAAGATTTTACATCCATCCAAATAACTTTTAAAATAAATAAATAATTGATCAGACAAAGGTCTAAATAAAATTTACACATACTAATAATAAAAATAATAACCTTATGTAAGATACCATTCAACATATTTATTAGGCTTATAATATATATAAATCAATCAAATTTGAATAAAAACTTGACAATGTATAAATTAAAATGGACACAAAAAGTAAAGGCAGCAAATGTAATCAACAATTTTATCTAATTAACTTGGATTAATTATAAATAAATAAATAAGTTCAGCTGATATTCTAATATATAGAAAAATATGCATTTTCTTTGTTGTGATATTTGTTGAGAATAACAGTTTGAAATGCACTAACAAATATATTAAAATTTAAGGATATTAAAAAAAAAATATATATTATAATATAGAATGATTATTTGATTTAAATACAATCAACCAAATGACAACATATATATGATTAAAAAATAAGGTAATACTCTTGTAAATAATAAGAAAAAAATTTGATTGCAAAAAATATCCTTTATCTATATTTACAAATTATTAAGGACATTTTACAGAAAACATAAGAGATAAATGAAGTATTTCATTATAATATTTTTTTTAAAGGATCCCTGATTAAAAAACTTATTGTGTTGGGTAATAATTTATAACGATTTATTAATCAAAAGTTATTATTGAATAGATCACCAAATTCGTCATAGTCCAATAAGAATGTATAATCCCCTTCCAACAGGGGAGGTTCAATCGATAAAGGAGAGTAGCAATTAGTAAATCTTGAGTTAATAGGACTGATTTTATTATCTGGTTCGATAATTTTGTTATCATCTTGATTTGGATAAATATAAAATATAAAGATTAGATTTAATAAAACTATATTTAAAATTCAATTTATCAAAATATTCATTAATTTTACAAAAAAAATTTAATAATATAATGTATAAATATTATTAATGAAAAAAATGGAATAGATATTAAATTATTTTTGTAAAAATTTTTATCATGTATATATTTAATAACTCATTTAATTTGAGATTATGGTTTTAGTATGACAACTTTAATAATTTATTAAATTGTTGTCAAATTAAATTCATAAAAATTACTTTGATCACAGATATCATTTAAAATTTGAGCATTAACAGGATTGCTTTTTATAGGAGAAAATGATTTGAGTTGTTCCTCTTCATTTGTGCATAGATAAACTTCTATTTCCCCTTCTGGACTTTTAAGCCAGGCTTGATGTCCCTTTAATGATTATATAAATGAGTATATCTTTAAATAAAATTATTACTGATTTTTGATCTGATGTAACAATTAGGTCAGTTTTTGATGGAGCTTTTATTGCCATAATTAATCTGTTTTTAAAACATGATAAATCTCTTATATCTTTATAAGTTATGTATAAGAGTGGTTGATTTAAGGGATCTTCATTTAAAATTTTTAATTGCACATTTGCTGCATTTATCAAGCCATCAATTTCCTTTTCCATTTTATCAAGTTCTAAAATGTCTGAAAAAATTTGTTAATACATTTATACATGCAAATCTTATCTTAAAACCTTTTTGTAGATTTAAAGATTTGCACAAGTCTTGTTCCTCTATATTATTATTTGAAATCAAGGATGAACCACTAAATATATAATAATTAATAATCAAAATAAGTTATATTACATCCATTTGACATTATTTTTGGAATTTTTTTCTACAAGATTAATGCCTTCTAAAACATTAGTGATGTCATAAATTCTTCTTTTTTGAACTTCTAAAACTTCTGCAGCTCTATTCAAATCAATGATCTAGTTGTAGATAATTTTTAGAAAATTGTTTTTTTGTTGTTTATATAAAGCTTACACCATCAGGAGATTCTTTGAAAAGTGCAACAAATTTTTTGGTCAACATGCCCAATGAAGTGTAATATCTCACCTTATCAGGTGTATCTATATTTTAAGATAATAAAATGATTACAAAAATATTAACTACTAAAACATTGGTCAGGGCTAGAAAAGGAATTTTTCCTACATTTGCTTGGTGTGCATTCAACATCCTCTCCCAATACAAGCCTTCGTTTGGCCTTTAAATGAAATTGATTAAAATATAAATAAAATTATTTTACCTGATTTTTTTTATAAAACACTTCTTCGGGGTCTATTTGAGATTTACATAGTGCTTGGTAATGACTTTCCGGAGTTAAGCTTTTTGAATGTAAATTTATATTTGCACCATAGAGTTTTAATTGATTTATTGTGTTATTAAAAGGTGATGAAAATTTAGTCATATAATCATTCATCTTAGTTATATATAGGCGAATTCCATGTTATTAATAGGTTCGATATACAAATTAAAGAGATTATATCAAGCTAATTAAAATTTTATTATTTACAATAGATCATATGGCGCGAAATTTAACTCCCGCAAAATATTTATAAACCGATATATGATTGGTTTAAAGAGATATAAGTCTGATTAGTTTTTTAGCGTAAATATTACATTTTATTTTAATCCGGAAATATGTTATATTAAATTTAATAATATTATAAGTTATATATTTTAAATGTAAATTTTCAAAGTTGTAGTATAGGAGACTGTGGTAGTTATACAAGATTGACTAAATTTAAAATTTATTATTAAATAATCCAAAAAAATAATATTTCTATAAAAAGTAATAAATATTATATAGTATAATCATTTATCATTATTTGCTTAGTCCTAAAAATTGAAATGTATTAATTAATAATGCACTCCAAAAAATATGAATAATACAAAAACATAAAAATTAAAATAATTCACACAAATTTAAATAATAAAAATCCATCATAATTGTAAATTAGTAGGCTTTTAAATTATCCATATTAACCAACATTATTATTTTCTATGTTGACTTATATTTTTTTTACACATATGAATAATAATATAATTCTAATCAATGTAAAATGTTCGGTAATATATATATAAATCCGTTCTCTTTCATCTATATCTGTGTAATAAACATTTCCAAATTTGCAAATTTATTAATGAGTGTATATGAATAACAATATATATTTTTAATTTACAACATTATTTGTATGGTTTAAATTTGGAACCACATGTTCTATTCATTTTAGTAAACGATAATTCAGAGTTGTTAAAGGATTGAGATCAAAAGATCGATGATCCTGAATTCGATCCTTGGCCATTTGCCCATTTGCTCGGATTTATGAACCTGTCTAAAATTGAGGATGGTAATCGATATCATTTTGTTTAATATTCGATCTCTATTTTTTTTAAATGTATTATTTTCTACTTAAAAAGAATAAAAAAATTTAAAAATTAAATTAAAATATTATTTTATTAAAGAATATCTTTTACATCATATTTTATTCTCCCCCGTCATATTTTAAATTTCATAAATTTCATTGAGACAGCCAAGTTTTATTTATTTAATTATATATGATATAAACTAATTCTAGATTTTAAATAATGTGAAGTGTTTTATTAAATAAGTAAAATAGGTAAAGTAAGTTAAAGTATATTTAATACAAAATATCACGTATATATATATCATGAATTCAATCCTTCAGGTTATATAATTTACAAAAGAAAAGTTAATATTATATTCAATTTAAATTCAATTTATATTACATAATGTCATCAGAGATTTAGAAGATAATACACCTACTATTAATGTGAAAGTTATAAGTGAGAATCGTTTACCTCTACATAAGCTACATAAGTATTTTGTTGATTATAAATAGATTAGAAAAAAAACGGGTATTCCAGTAAGCAAACAACAATAAGATAAAGGAACCGCTGTTATAAAATTGTTTGGATGATTGACAGATAAGAAAATAAAAACGGAGATTGAGAAATAAAGGGATAGAACTATCATGAAGTGTTTCATATTTTCTAATTTACCGAATTATATACAAATTCAATATTTATTTTCATTTTTAAAATCAAAACTAATTTATAGCATTATTATGTTAGAAGAAAAATATTTGATAAATATACTCCAACATTTGAGATTATTTTTTACTCACCATTATCTCAAATCTTAATTGATATGTTCATAGCTATCCCAAATACGTGTATCTATGATACAAGATCCTCTTTCAACATTTTACTTTGTAAATTTTTGACATTTGTAACAAGAATAACTTATTTGTATCTAAGTTATTATATTTTCAAATAAATCATGTCTTTTTTTAATTTTTTGGCAAAAGATATAGATGTAGATACTATACAATATAAATTTTTATAAAATGCAATAATCACATATAAGATATAGTCTTCTTTTTTCTTGAATAACTCCAATATTCTCTAATTAATCCTTTAACTTAAAAAATTAAATTAAACTTTTAGTTTAGCTTCAAATTGAAGATAGTAACAAATATTTTAGGATTAAAACTTGGCTAAATCGCTTTGGATTCTTAGTGATTTAACAATATTCGTGGACCTTTCTTGTCATCATATTTTCAAAATACTGTTAAAATTAGAGTAAAACAACTATAATATTTTTTAATTCATAAGATTATTAACGCTCATGATAGTATAAATAAGAAATAAGGAAATTGAAATTATGAAAATAAATTCTCATGAACAAATCAAAATCCTAACATTAAAAATATTTTTATTTTAATAGAGAGATGTAAGGGCTGACGACAACTAAAGCTTAGATTTTATGAAGAGAAAAACAATATGGTTATTTGAGTAACTGTGATCGGCATATATAATATTGTTGAAATTGTACATTATTTTAAAGTCTTTTATTTTATCATATTTATTTCACTTTATTAAACATTTATTTAAAAAAATCCAATTAAACATATTAATGAATCTTTACAAAATGTAATGATCTTATAAATAATGAAAGGTCTAAAGTATATAAAAGATGAATAATAAGAAATCATATTATTGTTAAAAATATAAACGCAACGCGGTTACCTTGATACCCACATTGAATGGTTAATAAAATAATGTATGAAATGAATAATCTAAATTAAATATGTTAATATTCATAAATATTTGTTGACAAATGATCTAACATAATTCTTTAATTTAACTGAATAATATTTTCATGGAAATTTTTTTACAAAGGAAAAACAAAAAATTAGATAGTAAAAAGAAAATTATAATATGGTTTTATTGAAAACCTAAAGATTAAATTGTAAAAAAATAATAAATAATATGATTTTCTTGAAAAATATGAGATTTGATTAAAAAGACATTAATAATACGGTTTATATTGAAAAACGAAAGCTTAGATTGTAAAAGGATAGTAATATTTTTATTATTGAAAAATGGAAGATAGATATAAATGTCAAAAGAAATTTAGAAATTTTTAGGTACGAATTTATCAATAGATTTTTAGTATAAATTTATAATTAGAGAGTGTTGACAAATTATAATCAATATATAAAGGCGATTATAGGTAAATGGTTTAATGAAGATATGACTTTAAGCTACATGGAGTCTAAAGGGAGTCTAGCATTAAACATAATTATATAATTCATTTTGGTGACTATTATAAATTTAAGGTTAAATTTAAGAATCAAAATAAAAATAAATGGTAAATTGTGCAATAGTAGGGATGTTTAATAGATTATTTAGGTATAAATTAATGAAATGACCTTAGAAATTGAGACAAAAAACTAAGATCAATCGTTAGATTTAAAAAATAGCACAATCGATATCTAGAAAACTGTCTCAGAAGAAACAAAAAGCAAATTTAGACGCTATTATTAGAAACATTATTTAAATGAAGGATATAGAAGCATTCGTGAAATATTTACAAACGATCGTTAATCGTTTACCAGTAATCGTCAATCAGAGATGAAGATCAATTCATTTACAAAAAGTCGTTAGATATTAGATACCAGCAAAAAAAACTTGGATGAATAGCCAAGAATTTTAAGTTAATATTAGAAGAAACAATATTTAGAAAATAGGCTTAAAATAATCTAGAATTGTTAAGCAGTCGTTAGAAGTTGCGAATACTAGACAAAGGATATCTATAGTGAGAAATAGAGGTGGGCAAGGGCCATGAAATTACGCTTGACCCATCGTGTCACGGTAGGTCATGGCGTGAGTATGAATAAATTTTAAATTATTAGGAGTGATTGGGCAGACGGGTCTATTCAAAATTTTTACCGGGTGTGATCGGGCGTGAACATGAATTTCCAATGAATCACGGAAATTTTAATTTTTTTTTATAAATATAAATTTGAAAATAATTATAATACAAATTTTATAATTTAATTTAGTTCTTTTTTAAAAAATGAAAATTTATGTAAACAAAAAATATTCCTACATTTTATAAACAACATCTAGTGTCACGCTCAGTTCTATTTTCTTTTTATGTTTAGGTGTTTTGTCGCGAGATTTTTTACTTAAACTTTAATTATTATTCTCAAACACTTAAGGTAGCCTTAATTCTAGATCCTTTCAAAAGCCTTAAGTTTTTAATAGACGAAGAAAAGGAAGATATTTACAAAACAATCTTAAAAATGTGAAATGATATAAAATTAGATGATATGCATAAGTCAATGCCAACTGTCATTTGTAACTTTCCTAATTCATCCTACATTCATAAACCATACATTCTAGATGAAATATATTTTTAAATGATTCTGATGAAGCATCAACATCTACCGATGAAAGCTGTGTAAATTTAAAAGATTCATTCCATTAAACAAATAACAATGCAATATTTTGAAGTTTTGGAGGCAGAAAAATTTATTTCCTTTTTTGAGAAAATTAGAGAGTAAAATCCCTGGCAAATTCGGCTTCTAGTGAAAGGTTATTTTCTGTAGCCACGCCCATTAGAGGAAAAGCGTACACAATCGAAATAAAAAAAATAGACATTCTTCTTTTTCTAAGTAAGGATTTATAATATGTATTTATTTTTTGTTATTAAGAATTATGAAATGAAAGAATTAAATAGAATAAATTCAAAAAAGTGTAAAAAATTATAGCATTAAAGTTGTGAAAAGTTTAAAAACACAGTGAATTTTTGGGCGTGACGGGCGTTAATCAAAATATTGCCTTTCGTGAGCGGGAGGGTCGGGTCGAAAATTTTTTAGTGGTAAGCGTGAGTGGGCGTGCCATCATGAGAGGGGGGGCGTGAATAAAAATTAGGCCCGCGCCCACCTTTAGTCAGAACTATGCAAAAAGACATTTGAACAAAAGCTCATCGTGTTGAAAAATATTGACACTTTTTGGTTAGGTTATTTTCATTTGTATTTTTAAAAAAATTCTTAAATCTCAATTCATTAGCGTGAGTTTAGAACTAAACCATATAATTTTTGGGGTAAATTAATATTAAAATTGTATTTTAATGTTGTTTTTAATGTAAATTACTAGTATTTTTTAAGCTTTTATATAAAGAACGATAAAATTTTATATTCTTTATAATTTAAATTTAGGCCTAGGCTGCATTTATAGTAAGTGCGTTATTTTCAAGCGTTTCGTTATTTAACGCATCTTTAATACAACTGATTCAGTTTTCAAAACTAATTTAAGATAAAGTGAAAGAGATAATTATTTATATATAAAAATCATATATATTTTATCGAATTCGATAAATTTTATAATAGTATCGCATATTATTTGCATCCCAACATATGTTCTTCAAATGTTATAATAGCGGTATCATACATATTTATACCTATTAATTGGCTTTTATTTGTAATAACTCTGCTATAAATAACACGATGCATAAATAAAACACGTTTATTATATATGCGGCCTAATATTGATACAAGATCTTACAAATTATTTTGGTTTAATATTGTTTTCTAAATATTAGATAAACAAAAATTAAAATAAAATTTCCTCTGAATGTATCCTTCATCGTAACCACTTTTGGTCTCTCAAGACCAAATCATAAAATCTGGCATAAAATTTAACTTAAATCAGAGGATCCTAAAGAAGGATTTTATCTTTGTCAAAGAGTTGCAATCCAAATCATCAAATTTTTATGACCTTACATTCCTCTCTTAAATTTTTTACAATTATAATACAATGTTACCTAATTTGCTATTTTATATGCGATTTTTTATATTCATTTTCATATCTGTTGATTGATTTAAATTTGAATATTGTTTATTTTATATATTAACTATTTAAGTTGATTATTTAATATGTTCAATTAACTTTTTATATATATATATATAATGTTTTTAGATAAAAAATATATAGTAATAAATTTGATTTAAATTTAAATAGTAATAGTTGATATAAGTCCTTTCCTTTATTTCTTTTATGGTGCCCCGGTTACGGTGGTACGTTTTTCGTTCTTTTTTTAAAAAAATAAAATAAAGTTAAATAATAAAAGTTTAAAAAAATAAAATTTAAAAATATCCTTACCTTGATTTCTTTTGTAAAAATAAAAAGAAAATTCGTCGTTCGATATGGGAGATGATAAAGGACAAATAAATTTTTTGACTTTTCTTTTCGATAGTCAAAATTTTATCCAAATTTACAAAGTTATAAAAAGGTAAAAAAAAAATAATAAAAAAATAAAATAGAGTATATATATATATAAATAAAAGAGTTATATGATAAAAAATATTTTTTCATCAAAATCTTTCAATTTTTATGTTGTGATGTTTTGTTTTAAAACTTATGATATACCTCAATACGTTATTATTGATAAAATGTTGAAAGAAATGGGAATATGTAAAGAATTTTCTTATGTACGTGATAATAGGACGAACGAAATTGTTTTTTATTTTAAATCTTTACGAAAAATGATTGATGCATATACAGTCAAAACCGTTTAATTGCGAAAGCTTGGGACCGAAATATTTAAAAATTTCGCAATTATCCGATTTTTCGCAATTATACGATTAAAATTCAACAATTTATTTATTAAAAATCAGTTTGTGTTTTTTATAAAGATATTTATCATCTATATATATTTTAATCAAATAAGCCATCAAACTTTGCAATAAATACAATTTTTAATTAATGTAACCAACTATATATTTTAATTTGAATAAGTTATGTAACGAATAAAAAAACTAAATTTTAAAAATTTATCTTATTTGTTGAAACATATGATCATAGCTTTTTTTTCTTCCCACCAATAATCCTATATTTTTATCGTCAATTCATCAAGTTATTATTTTATAAAAAGTATTCAATTAATTTAGATCAATCAAATAATATTAAAATATCTGAAGCACTTGAAAGTAATGTGATATATTTTGATATATATACTTTCTCTAGATCTAGACATGATTATAGACAGAAAGGAACAAAGAAAACAAGACTTAATTATAAAAAGATTGTAATTATTTATGTATTAGCATTATAGTTGTTGATAAATTATTTTTTATTGAATAAAATTATAATTAAATTTGTTTACTTGATTTTATCTCATTTTTTATTTAAGATATGTAAGAATTAAAGCAAAAAAAAGCTTTTATGAAAGATAATAACATTTTTTCCTTTACAATACCCTAATATTTATTTCCATTAATTTTAACTACTTTTGTCATTTTACCTTCATTAAATTTACTGAAATATAATTTTACACAAATATATTATCACTTTTTAAATTCTAATTTATTATTAAAGCCAAATTTTAAAATATTTTGCCTAAAAAACTGGAAACAATAAGATTAATATAAAAGAATTTAAGTTTATTAAGTGTTTTGTTTTCATTCACATGATATTTGATTTAAAATCCTATGCCTATTCAAATCTTATAAATTCTAATATTATAAATGTAAATGTATTAACAGACCATGCTGGAATGAAAGTTTATTAATGCTTTATAACATAAGATTTTATTTGAACTAATTTTATTATACATGTATCACAATTATTATAAAGTAATATAAGATTTAATAAAAATATTTTGTGATAAGAGTTTGGCTAGACTCTGGAGTAAATAATTCTTTTTCCACTATATTCTCTAGCTTTCTTAGTGAATCTTGATCCCTTAGATGTTCATGAGCATATTCAAGAAAAGTATAATAACCATTAAGAGCCTGATTTTTTGTAATTAAATGATCAGATATCTCTAGGTTCCCTTCGTCATTCTCGGAGCTTTCATAACCTTCTATAAAAAATAAGATTAATTAAAATTTTAAGTAATTAAACCTTCCAACTCTAATCTTATCTGATTACAAATATCCTGATCATCTAAAATTCCATGGCAGCTAGCATCATCATCGTGTAACACATATTCTTCAAATATGGGATCAAATTCATCTTCTTCGTTGTCAGTTAATGCTATTTCATCCTCCGATTCCCAATCAAATGCCATAGACTTATCAAAAAATTTAGCTTCAATAAAACACTTTATGATTGTGGTACTTGTCACCTCACCCCATGCAAATTTTATAAGATAGAGGCTATCATATAGTGTAAATCTTTTATAAAAAGAAATGGTGTCATTTCCTTCCATCAATGTTATCATTTTTCTCATGATACCCTTTCTATAATGACATTTAAAGGATCTAATTGCACCCATGTCCAATGGTTGAATTAATGATGTTGTATTTGCTGGTAAAAAAATTAATTTTATATTGTTAAATGTTAATTTTGTTTTGTGACAAGATGCATTGTCACAAAACAATAAAATTTTCTTCTTTAATGAGGAATCCCATTCTTTAAGAATATCTTCAAAAGTTGAGGTTGTCATCCAGCTGCTTTTATTGGAGTAGTATTTAACTGGTAATTTTTTATTTTTAAAGCACCTAGGGTTTTTAAATTTCCCTACAACATATAACTTTTTATCAGATCCATCCCCATTTATGATAAATAGAACTGTGACCTTTTCCTTGTCTGGTTTGAAGCCCAGTGGTTGAGTTCCACTAAATTCCATTGTGCCCTTTGGTAATGCTCGGTAGTATAGTCCTCATCACAATTGTAAATATTACTCCTTTGATAATCTTTAATCAGAGATGGGAGTGTATTTCTGCTCCATTCATTTGCATTAATAATATCTGCACTCCCCTTTTCATTGCAAACATTATGAAAATTTATATTCTGTCTTTTCCTAAATCTCTGCAACCAGCTGCTAGTAGGAATGCCTATAATTTATATATATATATTATAAAAAGTTATAATTACCTTCATTGAATGTTTGGCTAAAAAACATAGCTTTTTCTGACATCACTAGCCCATTTAGACTGCAATTTTTACTTCGCATTTGTGTAAACCAAACCAATAAAGCTGCTTCTGTCTTTGGGTAACAACTCATTCTAACTCTTTTAGTTGTAGGAGGTTTATTCCTTAGAAATTGTGAGCATAGATTTTCTTTATACGCTATTAAACGGTAGATTGTCGAGACGTGGCAATTGTAAGATGTAGTGTTTAATTTATCAATTATTTCTTTTTTATGCTTCAGGGTTAATGTTTGGAATGATTTTTTTACCATTTTTATATTAATTTCTGGCGTGGTAATGAATGAATGAATGAATGGAAAAAGGTTAAATAAAAAAAATGATGAATAATTTTTTTCGATAAATTTTTTTTATTTTTTCACTTATCCGATTAAATTAACGTTATTGTTATATAAATGGGACCTGAAAAATTTTGCAATTATCCGATATTTCGCAATTAACCGATTCGCAATTATAAATGTAATTTAACATTATACCATAGTAATTATTATCAAAATCGCGGGGTTTTTTCGCATTTAAAAGTTTTTGCACTTAAGCGATATGCAATTAAACGGTTTTGACTGTATGTCTCTAAATGGGAAACCCTATATTCTTGATGACAATAATTTAATTTTTATATTTTGTAAAATTATTGAATATTAAAATTTAAATATCTTTATGCATTACATATTTGACATTATATTTATAGGGTAAAGAAAATTTTCCCTATATTTCATTATTAAATATAAATTTACGCAATGTTTAACTTATAGAATATCAATAAATTTTTTTTTCTAAAAACTTAGTCACGAATTAGTATTAAATTTTTCACAGATAAATTATATTGAAACTTAGTGGATTAAATCCTCTTTACGAATTCGAATTAGAATTTTTATAGATAAACTATTAAAACTTAGTGGACCATATTCTCTTGATTAAAATTAAAATTTTTAGACAACTTAAATTTGATTTTAATGAACTACAATGTTTTGCTTTTACGATTTTAAATATTGAAAGTTTACTTTACTCAAATAAAATTATATCATGGACGAAAAATTAACTCTTACACACACTCAATATGTTCCTAAATTTCCCAAGTTATCAGGAAAATTATCTGAGACTTATCTTAACTTAATAGAAACATACTTTGAAGGACATATTGAGTCAGACTCATCTAAAGTTAGGACACTACTATGCAGCTTACCAATTGAGATTGTAGACCAAGTTACATCGATATGTTCTAAAGCACAGTTAAAAGACTTTAATATTGTTTTTGGTAAATTGAAACTGTTAATTCCAAGTGAGGACATTAATGTAAATATAAAGAACTTTAACTTAGCGGTACAAGGTGCCGAGGAGTCCTTCCATACTTTTTATTTTAGAATTTCAAAACTTCATAAAAAATGCGATTTTGTTAACGATACAAGAATGATTGAGAAATTAATAACTTGTTCTTTAAATGATAATATTAGAAGGAAGTTAAATAAACATAAGCACGAAGGTTTAGATAAGATGATGAAATTAGGAGTGGAGTTAGATGGCAGCAATATTAAACCAGACGTTAGCGATACAAATTATGTAGATAATGATAAAAAATTGGATAAAAATAAAAAATTTTACAATTTAAACATGGATAAAATACCATGCAAAAGTACTTTTAGTAATAATGAGAATAATTCTAATGATTATGAGCATAATAATTTTAAAGAAAATAATTTTAATTATAATGGACGTAACACTCATAAGGAAAATTTTGATTTTAAGAAGAGGAATTATAATGATTTTAGGCCTAATTATAGTGCTAGCCGAAACTATCAAAACAATATTTTTCGAGACAGTGAGGGTAACTCTAGAAATTTTCGTAATAACCAATCTTCGAATAACAATTCAAACTATTACGGAAGAAACTCCATGTGGCACAACAACAATAATGCAAACAATTATAATAGAAACAATGCCTGGCAATACAATAACAATTCAAACAATTATGGTAGAGGTACTTGGCAAAACAATAATTATAATGGGATAAACAATTCCTGGTCTTACAACAATCAAAGAAATTAGAGTCAATATAATAATCGATATGGTTATCAATATCAATCCTATAATAACAACAATAATGGAGAAAATAATACGTGGAAAAATTATAATCAAAATATTAATCAAAGAAAACCATTACAATATAATGACGTGAATCAAAGTAACATCAATTGTAACATGAACATTGAAGAGATTGTTGAAGAAAAATATAACCCTACACAAAATAATAATGGTAGTGATTTTAATATCAACAATTTAACTGAGTTTAAACTTAATGATAATGCGTTCATGACCACTTTAAAAGTAAATGATGCTGTTGTTACTATGCAGGTTGATACGGGATCCAAGTTTACAATTATACCTCATGATATGGCTAAACAAATAGGTATTAAAGATCTTAAAAAGTCCACTCTACAACTCACAGCTTATGATGGAAACTTAATCAAGATTATTGGCGTCACTCAAGTTAAAGTAACCTACGAAGGTATCACCAAACACTTGCAAGCCGTGATCGTTAAATCTAATAAAAATGCGTTATTGGGACGTATGTGGATTAATGCCTTTAGTAATATTTTGAACAAATTTATAGCAAACATTGATACCAACTATGAAGATGAAATAAAGAAATTAATAAAAGATTGCGAATCTAAACTGACTAAAAAACCGATCAATAAAGGGAATGTCAAGATATATCTACGTAACGATGCCAAACCGAAAATCATACCACCTAGACGGTTACCTTATTCAAAGATAGACGCTGTTACTAGAGAACTTATGAGATGGATAGGAGATGGAGTAATTGAGCCTGTAACAGATGTCCGATGGGCAAGTCCGATAACCGCTGTCTACAAGGATAATGGGAGCGTTAGGGTTTGCGCAGACTTCAAAGACACTGTCAACCCAGCCCTTGAGGACTTCAGATACCCACTTCCAAGAATAAATGATCTTATCGCTAAGCTCAAGGAAGGGAAGAAGTTCACCAAGATAGATTTCAAGGATGCGTTCCTACAAATTCCCATCGATGAAACCTGCAGAGACATATTAACTATATCTACACACAGGGGGTACTACCGGTTTACCAGACTTCCTTTTGGGTTAAAGACTTCATCTGCGACTTTTCAACAAATTATGGATCAAATTTTCAGTGACATGAAAGATGTCATATTTTATATTGATGATCTACTAATTACGGGAAGTAGTGACGAAGTTCATTTCAACAACATAAAGAAGGTTTTTGAAAGAATACTATCTCATGGTTTAGTGCCTAATTTTGCAAAAAGCTTATTTTTCAAAAAAAGTCTAAGGTTCTTAGGACACGACATCGACGCCAAGGGGATCCACGCCAACCATGACAAGATCGAGGCGATCGTTAAAATGCCGGAACCAAAATCAGCCGCGGAATTGTCAACGTTTCTAGGTATGGCCGGGTACTACAGAAAATTTTTGAACAACTTCGCTGAAATAGCTGATCCTTTATACAAGATTGTTAACAAAGAAAAATGGGAGTGGAATTTAGAACACTCCAAAAGTTTTGATGATCTAAAGACATTAATTAGTCTTCCTCCAGCTTTGACGTACTTTAATCCTGAACTACCTATCGGAATTGCGACTGATGCATCTAAAAGAGGTTTAGGAGCTGTTTTGTTTCACACTGAAAAAGATGGCAAAGAAAAACCGATAGCTTTTGCATCAAGAACTTTAGCAAAATCCGAAACAAACTATACCAATATTGAGCGTGAAGCTTTGGCCATTATGTTTGCTATCAAGAGATTTCAAGAATACTTGAAAGGGACTAAGTTCACTATTATAACGGATCACAAGCCGCTAATCCATATTTTCACCAAAGGGCTCAAAGATAATAGCACCATGTCATTAAGGTTACAGAAGTGGAGTATAATTTTGGGGGGTTACGACTTTAACATCAGATATAAAGCTGGTAAATACAATGTTGTTCCCGATTGCCTCTCAAGACTACCACAAGTAATTGATGATGACGTTATTGATGATATCGCGAGTATAAATGACTTTGGCGATATACCTCTTAGTTTTGACCGAATACGTGATGAAACATCCAAAGATTTTGAATTATCTCAAGTTATGAATGACATAAGAAATAATGTGCCTATCCAAAATAAAATTTATGAAAATATTGAACAAGAACTAAGTATCATTAAAGATTGTCTGTACAAAAGCGACAAAATAATAATTCCGTCAAGTCTGAGAAAGAACATACTGAAGGCGTTACACGAAGGTCATTTGGGAACAGGTAAAATTAAATCCTTAGCCAAAGATCGTATGTGGTGGTCTGGTATGGTCAACGACATTGATTTGGAAGTCAAAAGTTGCGATGATTGTAATATTTATCATGACAATCCAAAGAAAATACAAAATCCATGGGTAGCAGCAACTAAACCATTTGAAAGGATACACATAGATTATGCGGGTCCGTTTTTTACAAAAAATTGGTTGATAATCGTTGATGCTTACAGTAAATTTCCGGTTATAGTTCCGGTAAAGAGTATTACGACTGAATTCACGTTAAAGGAAATTTATAAAACTATTTCACTATTTGGTATACCTGAAACCATTGTTACAGATAATGGTACCAATTTCACGAGCAAAGATTTTGAAAAATTTTGTAGCAATTATGGTATAAAACATGTACTAACGTCGGCCTACCATCAGCAATCTAATGGACAAGCTGAACGTATGGTGAGAACATTTAAAGCTCATATGAAAAGAAACATAAAGATTGGCTTAGAAACTGCGCTGGACAGATTTTTGTTCAACTATAGAAACACGCCGAATGACACTACGGGAGTTACACCGTCCAAAAGAATGTTTAACCGCGACATTAGAATAAAGTGGGATTTATTAAAACCTTTGGAGGATAAAGTTGGTGAAGTCTTCATGTCGTTACCACGAAATCGAACTTTTAATAGAGGAGATTATGTTTGGTATAAGAAACAGGGTGATGATACGTGGTGCAAAGGCAGCATCAAGCTTAAAGAGAGTAACACCATGTTTCAAGTTTATACTGATAAAGGGATAGTAAGTAGGCATCTTGATCAGTTAAGGAAAAGAGAATGTTACAACAGTTTAAAATATTATGAAATTGACCCTAAAAATTCCTCTAAGGGGGAGAGTGTGGACACAAAGAATGAGATTAAGATACCAATTACTAGACCAATAAGAATTAAAAATAAACCTGATTACTT